CTGTACATATATATATATATACCCATAAATAAATACCGGGGGTGGAATATCAATTCTAAAACATGAAATAAAAAACTGTAATGCTGTGATTGAAAATATTTAAGCGAAATACCTATGGTTTAATAAGAAATATAAAATCAAATTATATATTTTAAAAGAAAATTTACAGAATTTAAACAAAAACCAAAAATTAAATCATTGTAGTACAAAATCAGATTCCATCTTTATTTGGCATTATACTTCAGACATTACTTATATTTTTTGAATTTTTAATGGTTTTATGAATTTTAAATAGGAAACGTTTTCCTTCTGAAAAATCCTCCAAGCTACAAAAAGTTTCTAAACAAAACTACATACAGTGAGCAGTTTAATTCTAATTTTCCTTGTAATTTTCAATTCCAATTTTCCTTGCTGCAATAACACTGTATTAAAATATCGGAATTCTAAATGCCATGTGCAAATGCATGGTGCTAACTGCCAAAAAAATTACGGAAAAATAACTTACATTTACAATGTAATGTACGCAAATTAATTGTATTGAAAAGTGATTATTTAAATAAACGATTAATAACTTGCAAGTCGTAATATAATCTTAATAAAAATAACAGGTTCGTCAAATTCATGAGAAAAAACATTGTAATAATTGAAAAAATATTGCTTTAAATTATGATGAAATAGTATGAATTAAGCGTGTCTATAAGTAATTATCTAAATGTATGATTTAAAATTTGCATATCATATTACAAATTGGAATTTTTATAACCACTGGATAATGCACCCTAAAAACTGCTGTTAAAATAATGAAAAATAACTTGGACGTAAAAATAATGAAAAATAACTTCAAAAAGTAGCAAAAACAAAGTGTGCCCAATAGCGATAATTTAAATGTGCAATATAAAACTTGCATGTCATAATATTATTGTATTAAAAATAAGGGGTTTTCCAAATTACATGAAAAAGTGCAGCAATAACTGCTCTTATAATAATCAAAATCGTCAGAAATAAAACATGTCAAAAAGTGATCAATTAAATATCCGACTTATGGCTTACAATTAACAATTGAAACGTCAGAAGAATTTATGATGAAATTGGCAACAATAAAGCGAGTCTAAAACCGATTGTTTAAATTTGAAATTCGCGTATTGTAATATTTTATTAAAAATATTGAGTTTCTTATGCAGAATTTCGTAGCAATAAATGTTGAAAAAGCGATAAAAAACAATATAGATTCATGATAGAATCTGGGCAGATTGAGTACATCAGAAAGCGATAACTGAAATGTGTGATTAAAATTTTGTACTTTTCAAAAAAATTTATTTTTTTCATTGCATTCAGAAGCTCTTGCAGACAGCACATCAACAGTTGGCTGGCCACAGGTTGTGCAAATCTAATTCAAAACTAAAAATATTGAAAGTTATGAATAGAAATCTGAATTTCAGGAGAATTAAACCACTTTCAAATAAATAAAAAAAAATTTAAAATTTACATGCTTATTTGAATGAATTTTTCTTTAAAGTGATGCATTAACTACTGACAATGTAAGCAAAACTTAATTGTAGTGGCTTAATAAATATAATTTTGTAAAACTTGAAAGAAAAACCACTAAATTTTCAAAAAAAAAATCATAATATACTTAGGTATTTATTTACCCTGATTCCTGGAAATTAATATAGACTTAAATTAATAAAGGTGAAAAAAAATTTTGTAAATAATTTACTACTACAATTTTAAAATGATTATGAATTCATTTTTGTTTCTCTTAAAAAAATATTTAAATTGTCAATGAATTATATTTTCTTGTTACAGATAGGCATTATAAGTTCAACAACACAACAATAAATAGTTTTAAATAGTGTAAAAAAGAAGAGTCTACGGAAATGAACAAAGAGTTCAAATTTGAATGAAGATTAACATCGACAATGGAGTAACATAAAAATTAATCTTACTTTTGATCTTCTGGGAAGTACAACAATCGGAGTAAAGAGGGATCATAAAATGCTTCATCTATAACAGAATGTATTTCAGAATTATTCATAATTTTTTTAATACTAAATATAGCTCACAAACATTTTAATTAACATATACTTGCACGTATTTATATAAATTAAGAAAATTTTCTGATTTTGTTGATTTCCCCTAAAAAACTTGACCAAATTTAAATTAAATTTGATTTGAAGATAGGCTGGCACAGGGTTCCCACTCAATTAAAAAATAAATAAAAAAATTCTTGACTTTTCCAGGTATGCCAGGTAAATTTCAATGAAAATCAAGACCAAATTTTCATCAGAAAACTTTGATTGTTTTATTTGTAATGTAAAATATTAGCTTTTCTGTGAAGAAAAATATTGTTAAAAGAGGATGGGAACATTTCAGTTTGACTAAAGTGTAAAAATTTTATAACAAATAATTGTAATAGATGTAAGAATTATCTAACTCGAATCTCAATAACTGATTACTTTTACTGACAATTTCAAGACTGGTTATTATCCATGTATGATATAGTGGGAATATTTCAGGTTTTTGTTAAAAAAATTGCAGCTTTTCCTGATTTTTAGAGTTAAAATAAAATTCCCTGGCAATTCCAGGTTTTTCCTGTACTCCCTGACCTGTAGGAACCCTGTGAAATAATAGAAATTAAAATAACTGTTCCAGAGTTACAATCAGGATTAAGATGTTAATATATATATATATTTTTTTTTGTATTAATAGTCATTTTTAACTTGTTAGATTTTCCTCTTCTTTTAAATTTAGATTTTCCTCTTCTTTTAAATTATTTTTTATGAAATTTGAATGGGATTAAAAAAATAATTTAAAAGCAAAATCCTCTTAAAATAGAGCATTTTTCTTCTTAAATTAGTGCAAACTTTTAGTATTGATTCATATAATTTTAAATATCCTGTAAATGATCAAATGCGCAATTTGAATTCCCCATATCATCTGTAATATATCAGGATATCTAAAAGCCAATCAATGTCCATAACAGCAGAAAATACAATCAAAATGGATTTACAATATTGGCATAAATTGAGTGCTTCAAAATTGATTATTTAAAAGTGTGATTCAAATTTTACCAGTAAATTTCTGCAGAAAAGCAAACCTAAATGCTTTACTTTCCAAAAGAAAAAACTTTCTGCAAGAACGTTCTGTAAAGTTCTGCAANTATAATTTTTCTTATTAAAAAGCTCATATAAAACAAGTTTTTGAAAATTTTTAAGGATATCATTTTTCAATTCAAATTAATTTTTGATTACTTTTAGACTTTTTTCTTTATGTTTTGCTTAAGGATATTTTCCAGCATCTTCATCCTGGTTATAATACAGAAGCATAGTCTTGAGTAACAGTTTTTGGAGTGAGAAACCAAATTAACTAACTCAGGCTGCGTAGCCAGATTTTTAAACAAAAAATAATACTTTTTATGCACTCAAAAAATATTTAGAATCACTTTTAAAAAAATCATTATTAGGATCTGTGCAGTAATGAAAGAAATTTCTTTTTATTGTTTAAAGTCATTAATCATAAAATTCAAAAACATTTTCAAAAACTTTACAATCATGATAAAACAACTAGTTTCTGATAAATATTGAGAAGAAAATTGTGAAAATCATGTTTTGCTTGTGAGTTAGAACAATTAACAGGGCAGAGAAAAATTATCTTTTTAAAAGATAGAAAATTAAGCACTTTTTACAAACCTAGAATTAAAAAAAAGGACCTTTAAGGGCTTTTAAAAAAGGTAAATCAAAAATAAGCACCTTTAAACACTTTTTAAAAACACTACGCACTCTGTAACTACTTTTGAACTGTACAGAAATAAAAGATAAATAAAGTTACGTAGTAATATATTTGAAATTTAGAAAGGCTTAAATGAATTCTTATGATTTTGTCACAAGCCCTTTTTTCATGAGAACTTATAATGAGCAAATATTGTAGTCCCTTTGCGCTCGTGAAAAGCGAATTCAAATGTATTATAAAAACATAACACCAACAGCAACTACATCATGTTTCCTCAGTGAATTTATAAGAAGCTCTGACATCAACAAAGTTAATAAAAATATAAAAGTTAACTTTAACGCTCATGAAATAAAGTTTCTCTGCAAATTAAATGACATTTTCTTAAAACTGTCTTGAGAGTGCAACTGTTATTCATGACTGTTTTATAATGTTCATTTATAAATATCTAACATGAAATGTATGAAGAAAAACCACAATTTTATAAAACCAAAAAGACTCAGAAGTAACTTCTCAGACTGATTTTATCAAATTTCCCCAATTTTCCTAATGGATGACATACATTTCACTGATTTTTCAGCACTGTACTTTAGCTTACATACATAAAACATAATATTGCAAAACACTTTTATTCGCTACTAAAGTTAAGAAAAATAAAAAAAAATTTTTAAAAACTTATAAGGAGAATATATAAATACAGCAAACATATTACGTTAAAAGATTGAGGTACATAGCAGTATAAAGATATAAAAGACAATATTTTATTTTATGCAATCGCTATTTAAAACAAAGGTAGCTAAAAGGGTAACCCTAAATCAATGTGGGAATGAAAAATAGATCTACGATGGTTCTACAATAAAAAATGGATCTTTTAGTACCAAAGGCACAACTTTTGATTCAGATATTAAAGTATTTTCTAATAAACAATCAATATTTTTCCAAAAATATTCTTTTAAAGTATTACTATTTTTTTTAAGATAAATTTATACAATTTATATATAAAGGCATCAATAAAGAAAAAATTATAAATAAATAAAATAAAAAATATTAGGTACCTATTTATTGATATAAATTGGACCAAATTAAAATACAGAAAATGTTTTCAAAATTTGTACCAATTGTTTCAGAAAAAAAAATTGGGTTTTAGGTACTTCAAATTAATACATTTACTGGTAGTTTTGGGAAATTTAATTAAATTTCCTGTCATATCACTGATTTTTTACAGATTAACTAAAATTCCTCTTCTTTGGTTGACTTCAAATGCTGCATTGTCTGTGGTTATAAATACTTGGGAAAATCTAGAATTATTAATTGATTTTAATCAAAAAGGTAAAAAATTAGCAGTTTTTGGAAAAATTTAATAGTTTTTTTAAAAATATTTAAGTGATTTGTTCATTTTTCATGACAAAATGATTTAGTTTGAAATTATAGCATTGCTTTGAGTTCAAGGCTCTTAAGCTAAGGGTTTTTCTCTCTTGGCCAACACCTTGAACAACACTCTTAAATGGAAGCAAGCAAGATAACAATTCTATTTCTAATGCCGCAACACAAACAATGTTTATCTGAAGAAGATATTTTTCTGCGTATGAGCATTCAAATTTAAACTCAATACCTGAATCAATAAAAGCAACCTGAGCTGCTTTGTAACCTTCTTTTAAGTAACCATGATGTAAAAGTTGAAGACTTTCTTTGGTAGATGAGAGGGCAAATTGTACCTAAAACAAAAGAAAAACAGCACTAGTATGATTATCGTTGACTTACATGACAGAATCGCAAGATCAGACTCTACCGAATCAGCAGATCTTAACCATGGCCCACCCCGCTTTCTTGTTCAAGTAGGTCTAAAATGCAATATCTCTTTTATTGTATTGTCAGCGCTCATTTGAGTCACATGGGCCACCTATGGTTTGTCTGAAATAAGAAGTCCTCTAAAGATTCGTCTGGACCTGTTGCGATGACTATGGCAACAAGGTATGACTATTTCAAGTAGGAGTGCGGGGTCCCTGTTTTGAAGTGGTTTCGGGTCGGTGGGAGAAAGGAAATCTCTTGGGTCTATTGAAGTAGGAGTGAAGCTACCCTCCTTAAAATGCGCCATTCTTGTTTCTATGGCACCAGACTTTGTGGCGGGAGGGAGTTCTTAGCTTAGACAAACTATAATTCATTTTTATGTATTTAATAATAACAGGTTGTTTATAAACCTTGAACAGTTCAAAGTTAAATCTCCTTCTTCAGGTATTGTTTCTATTTACACCATCGAGTATACTCTGCAAAATTTGTCTCTCAAATATTCATCCATCAATATAAATCGCTCGACAGCCCAGGATGGGCCTTGGACTTCTCAAGAAGTTTTTTCCAGGCTAACCTTTTTCCTGCTAGTGTTTTCCAGTTTTTAGTTTCTAAGACCAAAGGGTGTTTTTGCGATATAATTTTCCTCTCCTCCAGTTTTGTCATTATCCAAGTTTCAGAAGCACATATCGAGACCGGCCAGACAAGAGTATTGTATAAACCTAGATGCAATAAATCATCTCAGCCCAGCTCTATTTGCCGATATCGTGATTAGTAAAGTAACTAAGAAACAGAGCAAGGATTGATGTTGATTGTGCCATTTAGAAAAAAACAAAAGGAGAAAAAAAGCAACTATACGAGTCAAGTCTTAGCCTTTAAACATCAAGATTCGGCATTGTCAGCCAATTACAAACTTGTGAACATTTTGCACAATTTATTGTACAAGTGGGTAAAAAATAATAGGCTCAACTTTCTGATTTGAATTGTTAATTGATCATATTTCCAACAAAAATGGGTCGGCGTGAGAAAATAAGGGGACGCCGCTTCCACGTTCTGATGTTACGGCCATCTCGTACTCACGGACTTCATGTATGCCCACTGGTAATTAAAATTAAACAATGCAGATAAAAGAAATATTTCTTTTTATTTGGCAAAATTAAATATAAAGCAAAAAAACAACATTAATAAAGCACGAATAAAGTACAGAAATGGACATACTATAGTTTTGGTTCTCTTAAAAGGAACAGAAACTACAGTATGTCTATTATTTTATCTTCAGTGATCGAAATTCAAAATTGAAGTCACCGAGGATAAAATAATACACATACTATAGGTTCGGCTCTTGTTAAGAGAACCGAAACTATAATATGTTCATTTCTTTATTTCATTTCTGCTTTATTCATGTTTTTCTTTTTTGCTTTATTCTACGAAGCACAAAGTATAACCTAACCTTTTATGGGACAATTAAGAATCCTTTGTAATTGCTAAAAACTCTTTACATAGGAATAATATCTCATAAAAATGTTCCTCTCACCTTTTGACCAATATCATCATGAATGACAATATTTCTTATTTTTCGTAACAAATGACTTAAGGATGAAAGTGAGGACATTGATGAAGATATCTGCTCCTGAACATTTTTGCGCAACAAAAAATCTTTCTCCTTAAAAAGAAAATATGTCAATTTTTTAATATGCAAACGTATTTATTTTATTAAAATATAAGATTTATTCATAAAAAAGCACTCTCTTAATTAATCATTTAATATTGTAAGTTCCCATTAAAAATAATATGTTATTATTTTAAAGTCCCATTTTTATAATTTAAGTTCAGAGGATACCATACCGCAGAAGAAAAATTTTCCTCTCAAATTCTCTTTCATTACTAATTTAAAGTGAGTTCAGAAAAACCTAGAGTAGGCCTTTCAAATACTGAAAAGAAAATACAAATGAAAATAAATAATGAGACGATAACTTAGCATTTTAATATTTTGAAGTCTTTTTTTTCAGCAATTGAAACTTAACTTTTGAGTGAACTTACTTTTTCTTTCTTTTAAATTAGCAATAAAGTAGAAAGTAAATTTGTGAAGAAATTTTTTTTCTTGTGGTATGGCATTCGCTTCAAGGACTTATAGAACTAATTAAATTTTAGTCACACAATACCCCAAAAAAGTTAATACAATACATGCAAAACATATATTTTACATGAAAATAATAGGGTGCTAAAGAAAAAAAATTCAGTCAACATCAACACAACAACAAATTTAATTATTTCTTTGCAAACAGTTTCTAATACATTTTTTGTTATATACAGTAATAGTAATTTTTTTTGTCATAATAGTTATCTAATTTTGTTTGACAGAAGATTTAAAACCATAAATAGCTGTGTAAATATCAGGTATTTAAGCAACTTTATACAGAATATCATTATGTAGGATGGAAACTAAATTTTCTAGGCTCAACCAGGGTTCTTGCTCAATTATTTCAACAACAAAAATTAGGACTTTTTTAGGGCAAAGAAAAAAAAATTAGCACTTGATGTAAAGAAAAATAACATACTTAATCTATACATGATATTAAAAATATACAAATAAAGTGCTTCACGATTCATGAAGTAAAAATTACATAATTAATCTATACATGATGCAAATTGCAGCTTAATTTTGTATGTCATAATCTTTTTCCTCAATTTTCTTTTTTTGACTTAAGTAATTTAATATGTTTCTCATTTTTAGAACACACTTGCTTTGGGTTTTCTGACATTAATTTTGGATTGATGCAAGCAACATTTCTTACAACAGAATAGTTTATTGGACATTTCTCTAGTAAAGTTTCTAACATTTTGGTGATAAACTTTCTGCAATCTTTCTTTATATTCACATGATCCCGGTCAGAAATAACTTTTGAGTCCAACAGCTGATTTAAAATTTGGTCACCTTTAAAATCTACACAGATTTTTGTCAGAGAGACATAATTCTTTTCATCACAAAAATTAAAATGGCACAGTTTCACTAGAGAATTTAAATTTTCTATAGATTCTGGCTTCAGAATGATATATAACTGCACACTATGTAATACCAAATCCTGGATATCTGCAGCAAAAATGGTAAAAGTGGCCGATCTGCTTGATACAGTTTCAAAAATGGTGAAACTAGTTCCCTTTTCTAAACTTGCCAACATTTTTCACATAAGATTTCAGATCATTCCAAAGCAATATTGCTCTTTCAGCTGCAACGGTGGTTACAAAATTTTAGTGGTAATTTGTTCTCAGTTGATTGATTAATAAAATCTTCTTTTCTTGTGGGTGAATCTTTAAAAAGATAGAAAATTGAGCTCAGGATGGAACCAATGAGCCATTCTGTTTCAGATTCACCTTTGTAGAATGAGTTATTTAAAATATGAAGCCCACAACTTCCTATTGCATTGCATTGAACACCATGTTCTTTTAACATATCTTCTTGAATATTATTATAAAACTTCCAATTGACAGCAGGACCGTCTATAGAAATCTGCAATAATTTCTTCAGGTCTACATTTTTGACTGATGCATAAAAGCAGGCTAAGAGGTCATTTGCTGCAGAATGGCCCACAAAAGCTGATGTTAAGTATCGCGTCTCTACAATGTTCTTATCTGGGTTCCAAAAGTGGATATGTATATCCAACTGCTTCTGCTGTGTCGCTTTGTTCAAAGACTCATAAAAAAGAAATGTATAAAACTTAGCATTATCAATGCTTTCAGAAGTAGCATGCTAAAATGAGGTGTAAGTTCAAAATGACAGAGATATGCACACTTAGATTCACTGCAGGCGAAATGACATGCTATTGAACTGTCTGGAAACATTGTACTAAATAATTTGCAAGTGTCTTTGGAAGAAATGTAGGAGTAGTAGCTTTCTACAACTTTTAAAGCCCATAAATTCTCAGAAGAACTTCTTTCCCCAAAGCCCAAGAATCTTCTAAAAAGATGGAGGCAGCAAAATTTTAGGATTTAGGGAAACCGGTTTTAGGAATCCGATCGCTGAAAAAATTTTCAAAACGCCAAAATAAAAAATATTTCGCACTTTTTTAGCACTCAGAAGAAATTTTAGCACTTTTTAGGCCCTAAAAAAGTTGGGAAAAAATTTTAGCACTTTTTTAGGACAGCAAAAACCCTGTCAACAAAGATTAGTGTTTTCTGGGCATGAGAGTTACTTTACGTAATAGGATTGATGTATACGAATAAATAATAAAATCTACAAATCAAATTTCCGGTAATATATTTCATGCCATTTATAACATAAAATGTTACTACTCAATTATGAAATTAATGTTTTGTTTCAATTTATGGAATTAATATACATAGCTTAAAAAAGTACACAAATACTCAAATGATTGACTTAAATTCGTTTAAAATACAAAATCATTTTCTTAAAAAACATTTTTATAAAAATTCCACTGAAATTAAATATGAGCTAATTTGCATAGATTATAAAAATAATTGGCATAATTTTTTCTCGCTCTAAATACTCAGAGAAAGTGAAACTTCCTTCAATAAATGTACATTCAATAATCTAATATTAATAGAAAATAGATACTTCACAATGACAAATTTGTTTCCATAAATGATTTATGATTTGCTTCTATAAACATTAGTCTTCTGAGTTAGGTTAAATTAGAAGGACACAATCATTATTGTTACTAGGCCCTTCATGAGCAAGCATGCAATAAAATAATATCAACTTAAAACTGCAACAAACTTGATGAATCCTAAATATCATAACAGAAATTGTCAAACATATAAAGTTTTGTTTTCATTAAAGTTACCCTTTAATAAGATTTAAATTTCAAGCTATCTCAAAAAATAAATTTCATCTATATTTTGAGAACCAGAAATAGGAATCCATCAAAAAATAGGCATGTTTATTCAGAGAAATCAAGTTTTTGGTTTCTAAAATATTGTCAGCACCAATTAATTAAGGCTGGTAAAGAGGGAATAAATGTCTCATTAACGAGATTTTGCATAAGTGACAAAATTTAAATTTTAGATTAGGGGAACTCTGAGAAAACTTTGTTTGGAATATACAGGGTATCTGCTACATTTTAGATTTTCAAATTCATGACTTCCCATGACTAATTCCAAGAAGTTTTCATGACTTATTGAAGTTACTATTTTCTCCGACAACAAAAACATAATAATAAACTCAAAAAGCATTATAATAACATTAATTGAAATGATAGGTATAACCAAAACTGTTATACTTTGCATATTTATTGATTTTAAATTCAAAAAACGGAGTAAAAAAAAGTATTGAAGAAATAAAATAGCTGAAAAAATAACAGCTGAGCAAAGAATTTTTTTTCTGCAGAATTATATTCTAAAGAAACTTTTCTTGTTCACCAGAAAGGAAAGAAATACTCCTGATTTTTCTGTTTTCATTTTGGAATTTTAAAAAATTTGCCAATGACTGGTTTGTTTCAGCTAGAATTTTAAATTGATAAAATTAAAAAAATAAATAATAATAATAATAATTCTGAAATCATAGAAGTTTAAAAGATACTTTGCTCTAGAAATGATGTTTTTTCTTTCATTATTTGAAAGAATACCATAATTTTTAAAGAAATGATAAAAACATATTATATTTCAATAAAATATGACTTTGAGTGGGGATTTTGTTATAAATTCAGACATTCAGAACAGCGTGAAATTTGGGGGGGGGGGGATTCCATGTTAAAAATAAAATTTTTTGGCGACCTAAATCCATGATTTTTTTTAAAAAAATAGTTAAAATCATGACAAATTTTGTTCAATACCAAAATTCATGATTTTCCAGGTCAGGGTGGCCACTCAAATCAGGTTTCAAATTTTCCAGGTTTTCCAGTAATAATCTGAAAATTTCCAGGTCAGCGTGTTTTTTTTTCTTTGCTAAAGTGTAGTGTAGGTACAAGAAAAGTGTCAATATTAGTGTATTAGTCAATAGTGTATTAAAAAAATAACTTTTTAAATGAAATACTACATCATTTTGAAAAGATGTGGAGGAAACAATATGTTCAGCTTGCAGAAAATAACGCTTTTAATGAATAAAAAAATTTTTTTAAGTGTTAAATAATTTTTGCACAAAATTTATCAAATAGCAATGACCCAAAACAATCTTGGATAAGTACTGTTTAATACATTTATATAAGCAAAAGAAAATAATTCCAGGTGATTAGAAACAAATAAATTTTAATATTTATTTACATTTCAATATTGTTCCATTTTATACTGTATTTCATCCAAACAGTGCTATTTATAAAATTCATTGATATAATTTTCTTTAAAACAATATCATAAGTCAAATGTTTAAATAATGTTGCTTGTTTCGAATTACCACTATTATTTAAAGAGATATTCAGTATTCATAAAGGAAAAATAGTCAAGTTTCTTGTTGCATATTCTATAGAAAAAAAAAAAACTAGATAAAATTCTTTAAATTTGATTCTTTTTTTCTCATTAGAAATTAGAATATATTAAGGATTCCAATCTAACATGATTTCCTAGTTTAGATTTAATTGTTTTTGTTTTTAAATCTGGACAATTCCATGGTGTCGGAAAGAAAAAAAATGAACATTAATTTCTTAGAAAAACTATATTGTAAAACAAAAGTTTATAATCATCAAATTTTTACATTAAAAATTTAGTATATCATAACCTATCAAAAAACAATTTGTTTTATAAAAATTGATTATTATAAGTTCAAATTAAATGGATTAAATTGTTGCTGTTGGATGTTAATCACACGAAAGCAAAAAATGATTACTAATTTACAAATTGTCTAAACTCTATGAATTTCTTTGTTATTTAAATGCAAACTTGACTTGAAGCTGACGTTTGAATAAAAAATTCTATGCAGTTGCTTGTAAAAAATGATACATAATTAATTTGAAATTTTTTTACTTAAGTGTCAGAAAAGGAAGAAAAGTATTGCTGAGTTGATGATATTTTCAACTTTTTTACGATAAATTTACATCTAAATAAAGTGGATGTAACGGATGGTAAAATAATTCAAATTAAGAGAAAAATTCCAGCTTTTCCTTGAAATTCCCTGATTTTTCCAGGTTTTTATCCAAATTTCCCTGACTTTTCCAGGTTTTTTCCAGCATAAAAAAATTCCCAGATAATTCCAGGTTATCAAGGTTTTCCAGGTGGGTGGCCACCCTGCAGGTGCACGGATACCCTGAATATAAATTATTCATTGGTGGAAATCAATGGTTTTGAGATTCACGGAATCCTGTGAATTAGCGGGTGAATCACAGGATTGTATAATCTTACCCATTCACGAATAATTGGTCCAGTCAGTTCTAAAAAGGATTCGTTGTTAAGATCACCCTGAAAAGAGAAAATGTTTTTTACTTATAAATATACATAAACATACATATATACAATCAATACTTGAGGTAATAACCCCTTTTATCTAAACTAAAATTTACGATATAACCTGAAGTTGTTAAATTGTGAGAGCACAAAATACAATAAACAGGGTTTGCGTTTAGGACTTCAAATTATCAGCCAGTAAATTAGAATCTGAAAACCACCAATTCTTTCGAGCACCCATGGGGAAAACATGTCCCTTCGCTGCCCTCTTTCGACCTAAAGATTATCCAGGTCAAAGAAGAAATGTTGAAGTTTTCTCTCGACAAACAAATTCTTACATTATGAGTTTTAATGTAAAAATGTAAATTTTTCAACATTAAGAGAAAAATTTTTCCCCCTTTTTTTTAAAACTGATTTTAGGGAGAGAAGCCAAATCTTTCAACAAAAAATAAGCATCTTTGAAGTACTTTTCAAGCACTCAAAAAATAGTTTTAAGCACTATATACATTAAAAAAATGCTAAATAATTTTCAAAGACTCTACATGATCATAACAAAGAACTCTTTCTTGATTATATTAGCTATTATGAAATGATTAGTAACTTTTTTGGTTCCATATCAGAGGATGGAAAATGAAGTCTGAAATTGAGATTATCTTGCAAAATGTAGCAGAATTGCACATAAGAGTGCAATAATCTCACCGAGCCCTGCTCAGTAGATATATTAACTGACAAGTATTTCATCAAACATATAAAATGATTCATACTCTATGGTGCTTTCATACTCTATGGCCTGATGGTACGCCGATATAGATTGTGGTTGAATAAATTGTGAAAACATTGAATACAACAATGTGAAAAGCACGCTTTTGCATAATATGTGGTGAAAATCGAGACGGTTAAGAAGAAGAAAAAAAATCTCACTTTCGAAAAGGGAAAATTAAGCACTTCTTAAAGACACCCAGTGAAAAAAGGCAGCTTTAAAAGCTTTTAAAAAACGAAAATTGAAAATAAGCACCTTAAGTACTTTTTATACACCATGGGATTCAGCAGTTTTGCAGACTACCATTTTGTTGAATTTATTTCCACAAGCCAAGATATATTCTATGTAGTTTTACTATCTCATAATTAATTAACTCAATTAATAATTCAACTAACAAATATATAGCTCACAAATGTTAAAAAATGATACTAGGATGACACACAAAAGGAAGGAATTGAATGAAAAGAGGCAATTTTTTCCCGTGTTTGACATTTGACAAAAAATTTAAAATATTTTTATTTCAGACTTTGGAAATGTTCCCCTTTTTATGGAATTTCAATAATCCCTTTTTTTCCCTTTTATAAAAGTCTAAACTTTCCCATCCCATAGCTGCCAACATGGATAGGAAAAAATCCAGTAGATTTTATGAAATAATATCAACTTCATTATAATTGTTGCAAAATGTACTAAATATTTTACACAAAGGGAATTTTATGGATTTTTATAGTCATTAAAATAGGAAAACTGTAATATTTTCCAAATACGATTAACATTAAATGACCTTGAAATTTTTAAGCATAATGTTTACTCACAATTTTGAATAGTAATAGGCATTTAAATGATCAAATAAAGTTAAAAGATTTTTTAATTAATTTAAAAAGGGAGTTCCGAATAAAGATAAAAGTTTTAAACTGATTTTTATAAATGGTATGCCTCATTATGTATAAGTAATACTTATTTAAATATTGAAGCAAGCAATAACCTGCACAAAAGTTCTATTTCAACAGGGATTTTTTTTAGGAAACTTACTCAATTTTAGGTGATTTATTAAAATGTAAAAAAACCAGAAGAATTTTTACTATACCAGTAGAAACTAGCAAAATCTAGTAACCTACAGGAAAATCCAGTAGAGTCGGCAGCAATGCATTTCAGATTTATTCAACTTTTTTTAGGCAATTTGAAATTTTCCTGACACCCCCTATTTTTATACTGTCTGCTTTCCTCAGATAGGTAACTTTCTTTAGATAAAGTTTTTAAAAGCTAATACCTATTCAGACTTTTAAAAATTAATAAACGAAATGAACTAGACTTACAACATTGAGCAAGCCGAGTAAGAGACGAAACTGGCTCAAGAAGACGTTCATGACACTTGACATATCAATGTGCAGGGTGTAGGGTAAAGATGAATTCTCAGGCAAATAAGGGTTATAGATCATGAAGCCTCCCCACTGGGGCAAAAGAAAAGCATTGGAAGGAAGAGCCTTTCCTGAAATATACATAATATGCAATAACTTCATATACATCAGATAGCTGTAATAAAAACATGCCAGTTTCACTAAAATAAGAAATTTTTACAACATATAATTGTAATAGACACTGGAATTATTGAACTTGAAACTCAATAACTGATTACTGTTAATGACAATTCTAAGACTGGTCATTTTCCAGGCATGATACAAGAAGTTACCAGGTTTTTGTAAAAAATTGCCCTCTTTCCTGACTATTCCCTGCTTTTTAAAGTTAAAATAAAATTCCCTGAGAATTCCAAGTTTTCCCTAGACTCGTGGGAACCTTGATATCATAAACCTGTTTTTAGTAGCAAGGCACGGAAAATGATACACAGAATTGTTCAAAAATATTATTACAAATATTGAAACATTTATTATTTACCATTTAGAAGACCAGAACAGCATTTGGAGAGGGCTTCACTCAATTCTCTCTCTATATTAAAAAATCGAAAGGGCCACTGTTTTGGGCGTTAAACTTAATGTTACATTTGTTTTGTTGCGCAAAAACTAAACAATTTAGAAACTTGAAATTACGCAGGTGAATACAGGTAAATGTACAAGGAATATGAAAGAATAAAAAAAAATTAGCATTCGAAAATTAGTTTCAGAATTTTAAATGTTAAACTTGAAGGAAAAAATACTATGTGGGTGGCTCAACAGACCACAGGAATAGAACTTCTGAGTTGAAATTTGGTAAGCAGAAAGAGCCATACTTGTTTATGAACAAAGTTTTTTTTCTTCTTCCAAAATTCCAATTTGTTGAAAGTTATTACAATTTTAATGCTTTTTTCCTCTTTTTTTTTTGCTTTAAGTTACATTTTGCTCTGTGGACCGAAATCTATGACACAATTTACTGTCTGAAATCTAGGGTTTGCAAAGTTGTCAATAATCAGATTTATTTGATTTAAATAATAACAATAATAATCAGATTTATTTGACTTAAATTCGATTTTTTTTTGTTTAAATTAATTTTTTTTATTTAAATCAAGTTTTTGTTTTAATTCTTTTTATATTTATCAGCCAAATCATCTGATAAAATATATTAACACCAATTAATATTATTAAAAAAAATAATGTAGCTAAAATAATAGATATTTCTCACTAAATGTTTTAAAAATTCTTATTCAATAACTACAAACTAATCAATGAATCAATAAAAACACAGTTAATTTTGTTAAACCTAAACATCATGAAATTTCAAAGACAGAGGGGCACTTTGTCTGTTAGATATCCAATCAAGTGTAAATTAGTTTAAATCAGAATGCAAAGAAAAAACAATTGTAAGTTTCTTTGGGCAGTACAAGTTTTTTCTCAATATTGGTAAACACTAACAACATATTTAATACATTTGAAAGCACTTAAAGTATTTAAATAAGCATAAAACTAATTGGGTATAATTGAAATATACTTAGTTTATTACCAGCAAATTATTCTACATACAGCTTATGGAAATTAAACAGTTTGGCATTACTTTTATCAACTTGTCTCTAATGTTATTTATTAGTCTATTTCGAAACATAATTCACCCTTGCCTTGTTTTATTTCTTCAGATAAAACCTCCGTTATCAAGGGAATCAGACTTAAAAAAGAATCACACTAGAATATATTTATGCAAACATTTTTGATTTAATGATTAATTTAAAAAAATCAAATGATGATCAATCAACATTTAAAAAATAAAAAAAATTACAGTGATTATAAAAAAATAATGAACATGGATAAAAGTAAGATGATACTTTTAACATTATAGTTTTCTTTTAACAATGCATGAAATGATTTGCTATTTAATAAACAAATTTTCCAAACGCATTTTCTCACACATACCCATTTAGTTTTATACTTATTTAGAGACTGATACTTTAAAAACTTATTAAATATGCTGTATGTGCATATAAACAATAAAGAAGATGCCAAGAGCAATAAAGAATAAGTGATTTTTTTTATCTTTCATAATCTAAATTAAAATACTCTTCGTTTGATATTTAATTAAAATTAGTCTTTACCTTTACGAATTCCCAATCGTGTTAGGTGCTGAGCTTAAACAAAAACTATGATTTCAATTTTTTAGTAATAAGTTTGCAGTAATTATTTACAATATGTTGTTACATATGGCTTTATAGGAAATATTAATCCATATACAATGTTCAGCATTAAGTGGACATAAACAAGGAGTAAAAAGGAACAAAATTACATAAACAAACAAAGAAAACACATGACAAATGCATATTAACACAAAAAGAACACATAGATAAAATTAAAGTAAGAAAATATATATATATATACAGTGAAGAATGAGGAGTAGTCTTTAGAGAGGGTTCATGTGATCTCTGGCATCCCAGTAAAGTTTACAGAGATCACCCCGCTCTTGGGATTGTTTGTCCAGTAAAGGGCATACAAGCAAGTGGTCTGAGTTCATGGTTCCCGAATTGCAGATTTTGCACTCACTAGATGGAAGGATACCTATTCTGTTGAGGTGCTCTGCCAAGCAGTCATGGCCTGTTGAGAGTCTGAAGTTTGCCACAGCCTTATTACGAGGACTGTGACAAAATATCTTCCAACTGTTTTGGATGTTAGCCCAGGGTTTTTTGGTGGATTTTACTGCTTGGTTGCGCTTTAGGTTGGTCATAAGTTTCTCGGAAAATTGCTTTTTAAGGGAGTCTGGTGGAATTGGTTTATTACATTGTGGTTTGAGTGTCCCTTTCTTGGCTAGTTGGTCTGCCTTTTCATTGCCATTGATTCCCACATGCGAAGGGATCCACTGGAACATAATAATTTTGTTGGCATTCTCGAGAAAAATCAAATTATCTCAAATGTCTGAAACAGTTTGAGTATTTGAATCATGGTTTATGGCAACTGCCTGGATACCTGCCTTAGAGTCGAGAAGGATTACTGCTTTAGTGAAGTAATTGATCTTATTCTTAAGGTTTTCCAGGGCTATCGATATAGCAAAGATCTCTGCATCAAAATTTGATATATAGTTTCCCACAGGGGCGCCGTGAGAAAAGAGCTCACTGTGTACTCCTGATCCGGTGCTGTCTTGTATTTTTGAGCTGTCAGTGTACACTCTCGTCCATTCTATTATTTAAAATATAATTTTAGGTAAAGAAAATTATTTATTGCATTGCGAGCTAGAGAAAATTATAATATAGTTTTTAAATAATATCATAGCTGCCAAAATGGATGGGGAAAAAAATCCAGTAGATTTCACGAAATATTATAAATTTCATGATAATTGCTGCTAAATGTACTAGATAATTTTACACATGGGGAATTCTAAGGATTTTTACAGTCATCAAAATAGAAAAACTATGATATATTCTAGTCATGATTAACATTAAATGAACTTGAAATGTTATGCATTATGTTTACTCATAATTTAGAATAACAATAGGCATTTAATTTATCAAAGATTGTTAAAAGATATTTATTCATTAAAAAAGAGAGTTTTGAATAAAAATAAACTCAAAATTTTACAACAAAAGGAACGGAATTATTAAACGGAATTTTAAAAACGAGACTCGCTTCATTATGTATTAATAACACTTATTTAAATATTCAAGCAAGCAATAATCTGTGCAAAAGTTCAGGGAATTTTTCAGGAAACTTACACAAGTTTAGGGAATTTTTAAAAATGTACAAAAACCAGGAGAATTTTTACTAAGACAGTAGACCAGGAGAAACAGGCAAAATCCAGTAGAGTAGACAGCTATGCAACATTAAGTATTATTTATACATTTTATCTGAGTTTTGGTTGGTAAGTGCTATGTGGCAGATTCAGAGCGACACGGCAACATTGCCGCAGAACGTTACACCTTCACACAGAAAGATTTTTCTTTTAAAAAGTAAAAAATATTACTTTTCTTATCTACAGAAATTTACACCAAAATCCTCGTAAAATTACCTAATCAACGTAACATTAATGTAATATTTGAATGCTGCAATTAGATAATTATTTTTAGATGTGATCAATTTACACCAATAGTATCATAAATCGATACAATGTTTCGATTGTATTTTCGGCATTTGTTAATATTGATTTTCATGTGATTTTTAAATATCACAATACATTTCAAACAAAATGGAAAGTTTGAATCGTGCATTTGAATGTTTACTCCTTCAGGCAATAATTTTACCGAATTTTTGGCAGTTATTGCTAGTGATTTCTCTATAGTTTAAAAATCTGATATTTTTTATACGATATTATTTATTACTTATCACAACAACCTAATTTCGAAACAAAACACAGATTTTGAGCAGTCTGATTCACGTGATTTTATTGTTGATCTTTTTTTCGGCAATTACCACTATGGATTTCATGATTTTTAATTATGTTTTTTATTGTGATGATTATTAACAAAATGCCAAGAAGGAAATGATTCGTGCGTTCCACCCCAACAAAACGTGAGAATATCACCCGTAATATTAGAATAAAAAATTATTACGTGTGCAATTTAAAAAAAAATTATATAGATTTTGTTTTTATAAGCACACCTCTTTTGTTACTTTAAATTAGTATCATATATGTTTGTTATTATTAAAAGTATCTTGCAGAAAGATATTAGTACTAGAGATGAAAGAGTTTTGTTGCAGATAGCTTGAAAAAATTCTGCCACAGGGAATAAGTGCATAAAATTCTTTAGAAAAAATTGATTAAATGAAAAAAATCCAATTTTCTTGATAATAAAAATAAAAAATCTAGAGACTCACCCTCACTATCTGATATTCTGAGTAGAGACTGATGTCTAGAAGGGATATATAGAACAAAGTTCACGTTGGGCTGGAGAGACGTATCCGAACCTTTAAAAGGTAAACACAAAATCCATTATAGTTTGGTCTATGGTAAGAAAAATGTGTATGTACGAGTATAAGTATTGATTGCTATCACTTGTTGCATTTAAGATATTATAAACTCCAATTTTATGATAAAAAACTGATTAACTTCTTTATTATCTCATTTTACGAAATTTTGATATTTACATATTAAAGCTTAATTGAATAAAAATCAAAATTATAAACTATATCATTTTAAGAAATAAAAATATTAGATCTATATTAGTAAAATAATTTTATAACAATATTGCTAATATAGATTCAGATTCTTTACACAGATATGGATTATTCAGTAAAAAATCTTTATCTTCAGGAAAATAATAAAAAAAATTTGAAAATTCCTTTTATTTATTGTCTGTATGAATATTGAATTTATGTGATGAGTATGTTTTGAATCATGAGAAGATCAGAAACGAAACTTATTCTTTTCACTCAGCAATGCTTTGAAATTGAATGAATATGTGTATCATGATGTTTGATTTTTCAAACACGTGAATATAAATAGGAATATTCACTTGTTAAATCGTTCAAAAAACTAGATCCTTTTTCTTTAAAAATTACAAGAAAAAAAGGAAAAGTGCCAAAAAATCATTCGCTTATTATATTTATATACCCAGGGATGATTGTGAGCTCAACTCAAAAATCCTGAAAATTTCTTGAGTAGAATCATTAAAGACACATTTCAAAAAATTAATGTCTTTATGCAGCATAATTTAAATTAATAATTATGTATAAGTTTACTTTTATTTCTAATTACATTTATTATTCTACCAGAAAAAATATTTACAAATGAAAGAGTTGCCAAGCATAAATTCAAATTCTAATATTTTTAAATAAAATATACACAAATTTTTAAACATAAATGTCGATTTCTCGAAACCTCCGGACCTTGCATTTCCAGAAGTTTCTGGATCCTAGTTAGCAAAAAATCCGAATTTTTTCTGGAGCACAATCATCTCTGTATACCACAATATATGAGGAAATAGTTGCCTAAATCTGTAAAAAGTCACTACTTTTTAAAAAAGTAAGTTTTTAGACACTTTTTTAGCTTAAAAGAGACATCATAGTCACCCAAGAACAAAATAGGTAGCAAGTATAGTTTGCCTAGGGTAAGAACTCCCCTCGCCACAAAGTCTGAGGCCATCTGCTGCTATGGAAACAAGAATAGCTCATCTGGAACAAGGTAACTTCGCTTCACTCTAGGGCTAACATAATAGAATGAAGAAAAATATTCCCTTTCTCTCGCGACTCGAGCTAAAACCTCTCCTAAACAGTGACCCCACACCCATACTTGAAATAGTTATACCTCGGTATCATAGTCACCAACACAGGTCCAGACGAATTGCCAGGGGAGTTCTTACTTTATACAAACTACATATCAATTAGATATTTATTAGGTCAAATGAGCAACATCAGATAAAAAGATAATACCAAGTTTATCTTCAATGGGGTTGACCAGAGATGGTAATTGTTCAGGCTGAAGAATAAATTCTTTTTCAGCGTTCATGGGAAGGTGAGCTGAAATGGGGAGGGAAGTCATGAACAAAACCTAAAAAAAAAAAGATCATTTTTATCAGGTTTCCAACAACTCAATTTAAGATATGCAAAACAGTTTATTGAGTTATCAATGTGTAGATGCAAGAAAGAATTTTAAACAACATTATAAATTAAAAATTATTATGTACCAATCCCAGGCTGTGGAAAGGTGAGATAAACTTGTGGCAGAGACTTTGAATAAAATATGCAAACATGAAGGTACAGATGGATATATCCGAGCAATACTAAAATCTAGATATGTCTCCAAAATATTTAGACTTTAGATATGTAGGAGATAAAAACAGAACCTCAACAATGCAGTAATCCTTCTCAATTGAAGATCTTTTAACGTAGCTGCAAATACAGTAAAACCTCGCTACAACAATATTTTGGGGACCAAATAAATATATTGTTGTAGAGGGATATATTGTTATATTGAGGTTCTACATATTGTGGGAACACAATAAAAAAAAATTTTAATGTTATATATGTATTTACTATAAATGTACTTATATATTATACAAAAAATTAATTTGCAGAGTGTTATTTATGGCTAAATATTGAAAACAATTAAAATAAATTCAGAAAATAAGATCGTTAACATACCTGAAAACGGTTTTTATTGAAAATAATCTGATATTTTTGCTTATTTATTTTTTTCTTTCTAAAATGCTGTGCCAACTTAAATCATTGATCAGAATTCAATTTAACTTTCAAATAAGGACTTAAAAAAAATAATGACAATCGTGCTTAACAAAGCAAAAATTAAGGACATTTAAGGACTTTCTTTTGAAAAAAATCAAGGATTTTCTTGAAAAATTAAGGACCTTAAAAATAGTATGATTGTTTATTATCAAATATACATATACCACCAATGACACTGCCAATTCTTAAAAAAGAAAATCAATAAATAAAGAAAAGTAATAACAAACAATTTTATTATAATGTAAGTACCGATATAATAGTATTAATTAATAGGGCTCACAAAAGTAGGACCAGGCAATTTTTCCAAACTCGGGTTGTGTTTTTTAAAAAAATATTTTCAGATTGTTACATATTAACATCTATGAAACTAATCCGTATTCCATTTTTAATGATTTCATTGAAATTGACTAGTAAAATTAAGTGCAGAAATTAAGATTTGTAAATTTTTTCATACATTACAAAAAAGAGTAATAAATAGAGACATTTGGGAAAAACATTGAAAAAATTATTAAAACAAGTTTTTATACACTACGAGAGATGTATATTTGAAAAAACTTACGGTTTTCATCAAAAACCCAATAAATCCCAGATTCTTGATGAAAAATCTAGGTGGACTGTGATTTTTTAAACTCTGTTTATTACAGACCTGTTTAATTATTTACTACAATCATGAATTTTAAAAAATTTTTACTGTTTTCTATAACTTTACAGTTACTTATTACACACTGAAATATTATACAAATTTACTTATTTCTTCAAGAACTTTGGAAATAGTTTTCATTATGGATTCTAGCTATAAAAAAAAATTTTGATACTTCTTTTTTTAGAGTTTTACTTCGTTCCTATATGCAGATGTGTTGTTGTGTTAAAATTGGATTTCTTGAATTCTATCAATTTTGAAGGCCAGTGTGGGTCGTTTAAAAGATAATTCGCTCTAGAAATGATGTTTTTTCTTTTATTCTTTGAAAGAACACCATTATTTTCAAAGAACATAATAAAAAAATTTTATATTTTAATCAAATATGACTGTGAATGGGGATTTTGTTACTAATTCAGATATTCGGAACACTATATGAAATTGAGGGGAGGGAGGGGGTAAATTCCATTTTAAAAATTAGATTTTTCGGCCACCTAAATTCATGACTTTTCATGATTTTTTTTAAAAAATAGTTAAAATCATGACAAATTTTGTTTAATACCGAAATTCATGACTTTCCAGGAGCGCGAATACCCTGACCTTGCCTTTAGTCCCTCACACACATCCTTTGTCTCTCTAAAATGCTCTACCCTCAATGCATGGTCTAATTCTAGATAATAAAAGAACTTTTTGTTTTTAAAAAAATGAACTGAAAAATTTTTCCCATCAACTATAGTAAAGTTGAAAAATTAAGGACTTTTAAAAACCTTACACCAAAATTAAGTACTTTTAAGGGCCCTTATTTTCTAAAATAAAAATTAAGTAGTTTTATAGGACTTTACAGGATGTTTGGAACCCTGACACTAGAAAGAAAAAATTTCTTAAAAAAAATTGCAAAACGAAACAAAGTTTCAGAATTGATTTTTGGCAGGATTGTTAGTTTGAAATGTTTCAGTATCCAATCAGAAAGCTAAGAATAAGAAGCAATTTGAAAGAAACTGCAAAAGAACTTCAGAAACTTCAACCCATCAAGTGGAGAGTGTTGCAAACAAGAGAGGTAGACTTCCTAGCAATATAAAAAGTAATAGGAGATAATAGGAATGTTCTAAATTTATTTACTCACAGAAGATCAGAGAAAATAATTTACTTCAACAAAACGTTATGTAAATCCTCAATATATTTCGGAAATTATAAATCAAGATTAGCACATTCAGAAAGAAATGGAATATATACCTGACTTTTGATCTTTATAGTCACAACATCTTTCAATTCATCAATAACATTCTTCATATATTCTGAAAAGAGGATTGATTACTTTTGATGCAATATATGATACAATGTTTTAAATACAGTAAAGAACTATTTCAAGCACTGTAATTGGAAACACCATATTCGTTAATGAACCATGTAATAATTAGACTTTCAACACCCGAATTAATCAATTAACAAAGCATAAAGGTAGGTACACTATTTATGTCACACTAGAGCTGCACAATAGGCTGTTGGTGACAGTCTGGAAAACATCTATGAGGATGATCGGAAGAAATGACATCACAACTTTGATCCTCTGCAAAGAGGATGACTCCCTTGCTTCGGTATCCTGACGAAATGTGAGTAAAATTGAGCTCTAAGAATAAAGGAGAAAACTGTACATTTCTTTTATGTTTTGTGTAAAAAAGTTATAAGATTTCTTTTTTAAAATTTGGATATAATATTTTGGACCAAAGTAACCCGAACTCACTGCGGCTTCTTTGAACCACTTATTTATTTTATTAGAAATAGAATAAACTCATTTAAACAGAATTTAAATTTTAGATCATTGTAACAGGGGTGATTGTGAGCCCAACTCAAAAATCCCGAAGATTTCTTGAGTAAAATCATTAACGACGCATTTCAAAAAATTAACTTCTTTGTAAATTGAAATCATTGCTATTTTTAAAACATGAAATTCAAATACATTATAAGCAGCATAATTTAAATGAATAATTATGTAAAAGTTTACTTTTATCACTAATTACACTTATTATTATTAAACACATGACTACAATAATAATAAATAAATAGTAATAAAAAACAATTAATAAATTGAATAAAGTATGCTTCATCTACAAATAAATTGTAGGTTTGATTCAATATTTATGAGGTGCAGTCATACCTTTGCACACACTAGTAATAGTATAAATAAGCAAATTAATAAAATAATCGATTGCGGAAACAAATTCTGATGAAAACGAGAAAATTAATGCTGAATGATATTCTTTTGACTAAAAAAATAATAATTAAAGACGAATCTGCTTATGCAGCTGGCGGCTTGCCAGCAAAGAATGAGAAAGTCTTTCGGAAAGAATATCAAAGATAAAGAAATAAAAAAACTGAATAAAGTTTAAATAAAAAATATCGTTTGCCAATATAAATTCTTGACATAACTTGTAATGAAACATAAGTTGAAATTTTTGGACCTTGGAACTCCAGAAACCTCAGGATCGTGGTTAAAGAAAAATTCGGAAATCTGGATTTTTTCCGGACAACAATCATCTTTGTTGTAACTCCTTACACAAGACTCTGCTAATGAAATAACACAACAAATAAAGGGGGGGAAATATTAAATTTCAAAAACAATTTTGTTTTTGCGACTTAAGTGCTAACTTTTTTTATTCCAACTCACATTCAGTCACCTCAGAAACATTGAATAATCCTCGTTTGATTATCTTGGGAGTGTGTATTTTTTCTTGACATCAGCATAATCGCAAACAAGAATATCTTTTTTAATGGGCTTGATATTATAGGTATGTTTATTCAAAATTTAAAACGTGATGTCAAAAATAAATAAATAATAAAAACAATTATTGCATATTATCATCTAACTGGATTTGTCCAAAATGAGAATATTTGGAGGTAAAAAATTTTACTTAACAAAACTATGGTTTACATTAACTGCAGTGTCACCAATGATAAAATATTTCAAGTATCGAAAATTTTTTGAAATACCCTCATATAGGGTACTAACTACTTAAGCTCAAAAATACCCATATGTCTTGTTAATTCAGAGCAAAAATAAACAAAAAAATTTGTGCTAGCCATGGAGGAAATGAAATTTGTTCAGCTTGTTTAATAATGTTTTTTACCAATGTGACTATTTTGCATTGATAAACTGCAACTTACATGGAACAACTAATTTTGGTTTTCACAATCATTTTATAACACAATACGAAACTAATCAATTATAGGGTTTTTACTGCAATTTTCCTCTTCCAGCATATTTTAAGAAATAATAATTTAAAACTAAAAAATTTATATTATATTTGAAAAATATAATAATTTCTTGAGATTTGTGTTATTTTTGAAAATGCATCTTTTAATTTAATTTCGATTACTAAGTTAATTAGTTAATTAATAAATTGAGGTTTTACTGTATCTTATTTGGAGACCATGAAACAAATTCATTAACAGTTTAAAATGCCTTTTCATTTAAAAGGTATTTATATTTAATATCAAAGTTTTTTTTTCCTACTTGTTGATAATTTTACAGTATTCTGCTGAAGAGTTTATTAATATTTTAACGTTAAGGTGAAAAATTGGTTTTTAATATTTAATTGCTAACTAACATCGATTTTTTTTAAGAAAGAAATTTAATCAAAAATAAAATATTTAAAATTATTAAAAATTACATAGCTTTAAAAAAATTTGTTGTGCAGTATTTTTTTAGATAATGTCATCTTTGAACAAAATATTTGATAAACTGAAAATAAATTCACATAATTAACTAGATTTAAGTGCACAAATTAATTTAGGAAGATAACAAAAATTCAAATAATTATATAATAGGTTATACAGATTTTAGAATTCTGTATAAAACTAAAATAAATTATATGGAAATAGTTATTTTTTTTTATATTTATGACTAAACAATTGCATTGGTCATTTTTTGCTTTCATCCTTGCCCAGTTTTTATCTCCAGAGTACTGGAAAAAATAAGACTCTTCGATAAGAAAATTCGAATCTGATGAAGCTCTAATTTTATAATAAAAAAATTAATAAACTTCTTTATTGTCTTATTTTATGAAATTTTGATGCATACATATAAAAGCTTAATGGAATAAAAATCAAAATTATAAACTATATCATTTTAAGAAATAAAAATATTAGATCTATATTAGTAAAATAATTTTATAACAATATTGCTAACATGGATCTAGATTCTTTACACAGATTTGGATTATTGAGTCTAAAAAAAAATTAATAATCAGTAACTTGGGGAAAATAATATAAACATTTTTAAAATAAATTCTCTTATTGTCTGTATGAATGTTGAATTTATGTGATGAGTATGTTTTGAATTATGAGGAGACCAGAGACAAAACTTATTCTTTTCGCTCAGCAACGCTTTGAAATTGAATGAATACGTGTATCACTATTTGATTTTTCAAACGCATGAATATAAGTAGGAATATTCACTAGTTAAATCGTACAAAAAACTAGATCCGTTTTTTTTTTTAAATTAGAAAAAAAAGGAAAAGTGCCAAAAAATCATTAGCTTATTATATTTATATACCCAGGGGTGATTGTGAGCACAACACAAAAATCCTGAAATTTCTTGAGTAGAATCATTAAAGACACATTTCAAAAAATTAATGTCTTCCTGCAGCATAATTTAAATTAATAATTACGTATAAATTTACTTTTATTTCTAATTACATTTATTATTCTACCAGAAAAAATATTTACAAATGAAAGAGTTGCCTAGTAGAAATTCTAATTCTAATATTTTTAAATAAAATATACACGAATTCTTAAACATAAATGCGATCAATTTCTTGAAACCTCTGGACCTTGGATTGCCGGAAATTTCTGGATCCTAGTTAGCAAAAAATTTGAAAATCCGGATTTTTTCTGGAGCACAATCATCTCTATATACCACAATATATGAGGAAATAGTCGCCTAAATCTGTAAAAAGTCTCCACTTTTTAAAAAATAAGTTTTTAGACACTTTTTTGCTCGAAAATTTTACCGTAGTCACCCAAAAACGAAATAGGTAGCAAGTATAGTTTGTCTAGGGTAAGAACTCCCCTCGCTACAAAGTCTGAGGCCGTCTGCTGCTATGGAAACAAGAATAGTGCTTCTGGAACAAGGTAGCTTTTCTTCACTCTAGGGCTAACGCAATAGACTGAAGAAAAAGATTTCCTTTCACTCGTCAACCCGAGCAAAACCTCTCCTTAAACAGTGACCCCACACCCCAACTTGAAATGGTTATACTTCGTTACCATAGTCACTGCCACGGGTTCAGATGAATGACTAGGGGAGTTCTTACTTTAGACAAACTATAGTTGCATTTTAGTCACCAATAGAGACCCTACAACTGAAACTTACTCCTTACCTTCAATAGCATTTTCAATGTCCCAATTGACTTCAAAAACATGTGGTTCTGGAACAATGAGACTGAATGTCAAATCAAAGGATTTCATTGCTTTGAGGTATCTCATTCGATCTTTGTCAGGCTGTTAATTGGAAAAAAATTGAATAAATAAGCAAATAATTTAAGAGGAAAGTTTTCATAATTCAGTGTAGATAGAAAAAATAATTTTTTTTTATGTAATGTGAATGTATAAATTTTAAAAATAAATAAACACTAATTCTTTTGTACCTGTTGAATATTTTATTATACAGCTTTCTTTTTTAAAAATTGGTTGTAAAAAGTTTTACCAAATTTGTTGATAAAAAAAGTACAGGGCTGAAAATCTAAAATATGAAAATTAAGGACAAAATTGCCACCCAATTTAAGGACAATTTATGGATGCTGATTCTCTGTTGGGAGCAATTTTTACGATACCAACATGGATTTGCAGATATACAATTGGTAACAGTTTTAATAGTTCCTGCACTTAAGTGAAAAATGAAAAAAAAAAAAAACTTGGATTTTTAAGTCACAAAAAAAATTTTTTTTTGGTTTCTTTTTTTACAAAAAAGGTGAGAAAATAGGAAAAACGCTGAATAGTAGCAAAATACAAGGATTCTCTGGTGAAAAACAGTAGAGTGTGATGAGAAAGATAAGAGCTTTTTATATATTTCTCACACATTGAAGGCTTTTATGTCATTGAATCAAGGAACTGGACACTGGAAGTAGATTCATATTGTACTTGACGCACTATGAAGACTTCGTTGCTCATTTTGTTATTTACTTTGTTTAATGGCATATAACGTAATTTTTAAAATTGAAATTTCTTCAATTCTTTTTTAGATAAATAATATTTATTCTTCTCGTAAACTTATACAAAAATTTGGAAAAAATCACAAAAATTTCAGGACATTTATTGAAATGTTTATTAATAATTAAGGACACTTTCTTTTTTAAAAATTCTTGAACAGATTACACATTTTTTTAAGTAATTCATCTTGTGTCACTTTTTGAAAAATATACTTGAATTTTTTTTTACCCCCAATTTTACGTTATCCAGCTTTGTTCGTTTTTTAACGATAGTTTAAAAAACGAGCGAACGCTAAGTAAATATACCAGGGGTGATTGTGAGCCCGACTCAAAATTCCTGAAAATTTCTTGAGTAAAATCACTAAATTTCAAAAAATTAATGTCTTTGCAAAGTTAAATCATTGATGATATTTTCACAACAGGATAATTCTAAATAAATTATAGGCAGTATAATTCATATTAATAATTATGTATAAGTTTACTTTTATCTCTAATCATACCTATTATTCTACCAGAAAAAATATTTACAAATGTAAGATATGCCAAGTACAAATGTAAGATATGTCTAGTTCTAATATTTTTAAATATAATACTCAAGAATTTTTATACATAAATATGATCAATGATTTCTTGAAACTTCTCGGCCTTGGATTTCCGGATTACAGCTAGCGAAAAATCTGCAAATAGGAATATTTTCAGGAGCACAGTCATCTCTGAATATATATTTGTTTCTAAATACAGCATATTTATGGGTGACAACTCAAAAAAATTTATAAAACTGAACTTATTTTCTTACTAACTAACACGGTCTAGCGTTGTTCAACAGAATTTTCAGAAATATATTGCCCAATGACTGCAAAAAGCATCTATCCATGAGAATGGTCCACATATTATATCAATGACTTATTTATTTTTTCTTTAAAAAAAAATTATTTATATGTATATATTTTTACAGCAAACAAAACACAAAAGCTATCTCATATCTCTTTTTACACCACTTGCTGAAAAATATAAACTACCACTTTTTTCTTGGAGCCATTCACATCTTTACACATTTTTAATGTCATCACCAGTTTTTAATCCAAACTTCATAAATTTTTATTTTTTTAAAAAATAATCACAATTTGAGTATTGAATTTTGATCCTTTCAACTTTTCTAAAAATAAGGGGAGAAAACAAACTCAAGCAGATTCAATGCTGAAGATGTCGGAAGTTCAATCGTTTTCCAATTCTTTTATTATGGTGTCACATCATTATTTGATCATTTTGCAATAATTACAAAAAATAATATTTTTGTTAAAAAGGATATTATTTTGTAAAATTGTTTTTAACCAAAAATATTTTTTAATTTTTATAAGGAAGAAAAATTTTTTTTGAAAAATTCAAAAAATAAATTGGAAAAGATATTAATTGTAGTATGGAATTCAGCTCACTGGCTTTTTCTCAAGACTGATTTCAGTCTTCAGGACAGAAGAGTGGTACCCATGAGCAGCATGTTTAAGAACTCCTTTCCGGCAGAAAAAGAATTTTACTTCCTTCACGTTAACCTACAAAGAATTACGTGTCCGGAATTTCCTTATTTATTTAGAATCCAATTAATGTTTTTGAAAACTTTTTGTTTTATTTTATTCATTGAAATGAGTTTTATAGATATTAGTAAAACAAATTTTAAGGTTGTAAGTATTTATAAAACTTGAACTTTGAATAACTTGTAAAAATATTTAATAAATTAAATTTCGTAACTAGTTTTCATGAACTCATTGCAATGATTAAAATGAAACCAATATAATTCAAAAGAAATTAATTACTAGATAAACAAGGAAATCAGGGACATATACTGGACATATAAGTTAAATCAGGACACATAGATCAAATCTGGGACATATAGGTAAATAAGGAGGGAGCGAAATCCTTTTTATGTCAGAATGGAACCCTTAGGAATGATCAGAAACATATTTGATTAAAAAAAAAAATCTAATTTTAGAATATTTTCAGCTTATCAAGCTATGAAAAACTTTTGTTCCGATTAATTTAATTAATCGAAAGAAATGTTTTTTTAAACAGTTTTCAAGTCATACAAATTTTAGAGATAAAAGTAATTTACATTTTTATCAGCAATATATGATGAGGCAGGTGTAAACAGCTTTTGCAGCCTTTCTACTTGAACTATTTTATTAACCAGAAGCATGACATCAGAAGCAAGTTTCTTACTATCTAAATGATCAATGAGAAATCAATTGCAAAACATAAATATGCCTCAAAATTGTTAATAAGGGATAATGCTAGAAACAGATAAAATAGTTTGTCAACAATACAAAAACAGATGATTAAATGCTTAACTTATTAAAACAGATGTCGTGTTGACAAAAATAAATGTGCACCTGAAAAAAAACAGAACCAATTTTTTATGGGTGGTCAGACGGTCTTTATTCATTTGCTGATGGTAGATCACTCATGGATTTTGACGTAGTTTCTGGTCTGTATTACAAGAGTATTGAATTGATAACTTGAAATGAAGATTGCTGTGATCTTACTTTTCATTGTTCATCGGAGAGTAATGTGTTTCTTCTTATTGAAGTTTAATATGTTTTTAAATGAATTGTTTCTCCATGGATTTTCCATGGATATTTCTGTTTTAAAGAAGATTACTATTAATTTGCATTAACGTCATTGCAACTATATCACAGTAAATATTTCATGCAAAAACTAGTCCCTAAAGTTCTTGAGTCAAACTTTTGCAGCAATTCCACTTTTTTTAAAATTGCAAGTGAACTATACTTCCCCTTTATCGAATTATCATTAGTTTTTCCAGTAATCGATTGTTTAGATAACAAAAAAGTGCTTTATATTAAAACAAAAAATATCGGCTTAAAAAATATATATGCTATTACAGTGTGCGAAGCCAAATCTTTCAACAAAAAATAAGCACCATTTAAATACTTTTTAAGCACTACATGCATTAACAAAATGCAAAATAATTTTCAAAGCCTTCTACATGATCATGAAAAAATTACTAGTTTTAGACAAAGAACTTTTTTCTTGATAATGTTAGCCACCATAAAAAGAGCGAGAGATTTTTCAGTTGGATTTCCAAGGGAGGAAAATGAAGCCTGAAATTGAGAATATCTTGCAAAATGCAGCAGAGTTGCGCATGAGAGAGCAAGAATTTCACCAAACCAGCTCAGTAGAAGCACATGCGGACCCGTAAGTATTTCATCAAACAAGTACAATGATTGGCGCTTTCATACGCTAAGGACCGACGATACACCTAAATATGTTGTGCTTGAATTGTGAAAACGTTGAATAGAACAACGTGAAAACCAAGCTTTTGCATAATACACAGCGAAAATTGACACTGTAAAGAAAAAAAAATTCAGTTCCAAAAAGGGAAAATTAAGCACTTCTTTAAAAACACCCAATAAAAAAAGCACCTCTAAGGGCTTTTAAAAAAACGAAAATAAGCACATTAAAGCCCTTCTTAAAAACGCTATGCACTATGTATTATGAATGGCCAAAATCAAGAGAATGTCGACTTTCACCAGTGAATGTCAACAATCACAAAGTCGCTTTGGTGAATGTCTAAAATATTTGATATATCTAAAGTGATATTAAGTTATTTATTGATTATTATATTTCTTCGATATATTTGATTTTTAAAATAGTATGAATTTTAATAGTTCCACTTTTTAAATAGTATGAAAAATAATGCAAATTTTTCTTCTGCATGTTAGGTTCTATTTTTTTTCAGATGATTGTTTGGCTAAAGGATGGTTCCATTGATAATTTAAGAGTTGCATCGAGTACTAAAGATGTAGATTGTTCACATTAATCAAACAATTTAACCAAATTGTATTACAAACAAAGTTATATTTATACTTTAAATACCTCCTCCATTATTTAGAACAAATCCATGCCTTTTACTACCAATAACAAATCTAGGGCAATCCATGAAGTGTTTTCGTAGAATGACAATCGTCAACTCTCCTTCAGGTTTTTTGTAAGAACTCCTTTCATTAAACACTAAGACATCATTCAATTCTGTAAGTAGAAAAAAATATCTAAGAAAACCACTATCAAATAGTCAGCAACAGTGAAATTTTTTAATTCTTTTTTTACTAATATTTCTCAAATTATAAAAATTATCCATGTAATGAACTTTACATACATGTGTTATTGAATGAACTTTACTTACATGTAAATTGGTCACTGGTTACATGCAAAAAATTTTACATATGCACAATTAATTAAAATAAAGCTGAAATGTTTTGTTGGTCAACTAATCAGATAAACTGCTATTTTATTGAGTACTAGAGGGCAAAGCCCCCTGTACTCAATAAAACCATGATTGCTTCGAAATAATTGTTTTGAATCGAAATAATTGATCGAAATATTTGTTCGAAATAATTGCAACCCCAATGATTGCTTCGAAATAATTGTTTTTTCTTGGCAGAAAACAGTTTTTCTACTTAAGTTAAAAATATTAATTTAGCATCTACAGTTTGCTTACGCTCTTGTGTCTCTAAATATTACTATCTATTAGTTTTATAAACATTTAGATCTCTTGGTGAACAGAAGTGATTTTTTTAATTATCATTTTCTTAAATAACATTTCTGTTCTTAATACATTATATTGTTCAAACAAATTTGATGAGTTCTCATTCCATAATTTAAAATTTTCGCTAATAATAGCAGTACTGAAAAATAACTTTAAATTAGGGATACAAAAATATTTAAAGGAAAACAATACCTTTACGACTTTTGTTAATTTTATGCTGATGACAACCTAAACGATATGGTAATGAATGGGGGAAAACTGGATCCTACCACGTGATTTTCCGGCCAATAAAAATGTGCCGACAACAATGGAAAACGGTATCAGACCATTATGATTTTATGTTATATAGAGATATGTTGATGACACCCTTTTTCAAAGCATCATTCTGACACAAGTATACAACTTTGCTAACTACTGTAAAAGTTTGGTATTGTTGTTTTTATGTACCATGAGCAAAGGGGAAGCAGCAATCTGAGAAACAGGGTCCTAATAGTTTGAGCAGGACAGCTGTCCAAAATTTGGAACCCTTAATGTTAATTTTGCTTTGTGTATTTCACTATATCTCAAGAACTTGTTAAGCAAATTGAAAAGATTTCACACACAATCATAAAATTCCATTATCCGAAGATAATTCCCTGCAAAAAATATTTACTATTTTCTATTATTTTATTTAATAATAGTCGAAAAAATTTTGTACTTTTCCTTACATTTTTTAGCCACAGTTTCATCATGTTGGTTTACAGTTTTAACAGTATTAAAGACTGAAATTAGTTTATGATGGTCAAAATCAGACTTTTGCGATCTTAGACCAATGGACCATGGCTAATTTTGAGCCTTCAAATTGTTTGGAGGAAATCTAAAGAAAGAATAGTTACTTCTTTTCTTTACTTAAGGAAATTTTTCAAAACGCATAATCTCTTAGGACAAAAGTTTTTTTCTTTTTTTTTTTTCTTGAAAAAACTGGTGAAAATTGATCCAGTTTTTTTCTTTTTCTTTACAAAAAATGAATAAGAAATTATTTTCGACAGTTTCTTATTTGGGGGGGGGGAAACCAGGGAGTGGGGGTTGGTTTAAATGTTATGAAAAAAATTACAGTATAAACAAAGATTTAACAATTTGATTACAGGTTTATTTTGAATTTCAAAACATTAAAATCAACTCAAGTGATCATCACGGCATATTCAAAATCCTCATTATCGGATAACTTTTTCAAAACAAGTTAAAAACATTTACTAATTTATGGTTAACTGTTTAATTTTATGATATTTAACGCAATAAAAATGGATATATTACATTTTCCATACCAAACATCTGCTTTATAATTAATAAATCCTAACAAACTTATAGCAAATCATCAAAATTAACCATGTGATTTACACAAGAAAGATGCTGCACAGTGGTGTCATCTGCTAACGGGGTGGTTCATCTATAAAATCTAATTCTAAGCAATGTATTAAGAAGTAATCAAAGTAATTCTAAATATTCCATTAAGAGGAAATCAATGCAATTCTAATTCAACAGTCAAATCTAAGAATATTTTAAAGTATTTAATAAAAGAAAAGAAAGTGTTTACATTTCAATTTAAAGCTCAACAGCTACATGAAATTCTACAAATTGATTGACTATTAAAATTCAGTTCTTTTTTGTTTTCAGAAGTGCGTATGCGCGTTGTTACTTCTACGTTCAACCAGAGTGAGAAAGAGAAAAAATGTTACTTGACGGGCACATCATCTATAGTAAATAAATATAATTACAATCTAGCCGATCCATTTTTACTATAGAATGAACCTTAGACAGGCATAAGAAATAAAATAACGTTACAAGATTGCCCACATGAAACACGGGCAAGTGCAAATTTACAGGTGACTTTCGCCCGTGTCAGGCATGGGCAAATGTGTTAAAGGGGATAAAAGCATTAACAGGGTTCAAACTCAATTTCAAAAAGAAAAAAATAATTCTGACTTTTTCAGGTAAATTTCAATGAAAAATGAGAATATATTTTCATCAGAAAACTTTGATTCTTTTATTTGCAATGTGAAACATTATATTTTCTATGAAAAAAAATATAATTAAATGAGCATGGGAACATTTCAGTTTGACTACAATCTATAATTGTTTCAACAAATAATTGTAATAGATGTTAGAATTATTTAACTTGAATCTCAATAACTGATTACTGTTACTGACAATTTTAAGACTGGTTTTTGTAATAAAAAAAAATTTAAAAAACTGCGACCTTTCCTAACTATTCCCTGATTTTTGGAGTTGAAATAAACTTCCCTGACAATTCCTGGTTTTCTCCGTTCTGCCTGACCCGTCGGAACCCTGATTAAGCATTTCCTGCAGGTAAGGTTCATAGATATAGAAATGAACGGCCTCTTTTTTTAAAAATTATTTTATACTATTAATTATTCTATTATTCTTTATTTATAATTTTCATTTTATTTATTTTTTTATTATATTATTTTGAATCTGCTCTCAGAAAGTTATTAGTTTTGCTTTGTTCTGGAAAATTTAGTAGGCATCATTTGGAAGAGACAAAATCTTTTAAGACTTTTTTTTTTTTTGTAAAATTAAAAAAAAGAAGAAAAAAAAACAAATTCAAAATATAGATGAGATTTTATGTTTGAGACTAAAAGTTCTGATGATTGTGCAGAAATCAATCAAATCAAACTTTGAGAAATACAAATATATTCAATATTAAAATTTGTGCTTATTGACTGAAAACTTTAAATTGAGTTTAAGACGATAAAGAACACAAAATAAAACATTTAAGTAATATGTTTGACAAAATACTTGTGATATTTTCAGATTCCTTTATTATTGCTGCTTCTTCATTCGAGGTGATACTCATAGACCATTGAAAATTAAAAACTGGCTGTGATGTTTCCTCATTTTTCAAGCTTCCAAGTTTCAATAATTCTTCCCAAAATAACCCTTGTTGAACTTCTCTATCATCTAATAAAATTTTTACGAATATGGTGTGCCCAACCTATATTAAGAATGAAGAAAAAAACAATCACAAAAAAGAGCTTGCCTATCACATGGAGATAACAAAAAATACAACTCGAGAACAAACCATATATTAGAATAGACAGTGTTTTGTTAAAGATGGTTCTAATATGCATTATGCCTCAAAGCAATTATCTTCTTTAACACTCTACCGCATGCACCAAGTGTTTGTTAGATAAAATAGATTTTTTGTTTTTCAGTTTGACTCGATAGTTGCTTTTCTTGTAATCCAGAAGAAAAGTGTCAATAAAAAATACTACACATTCAAATAAAAAAGTTATATTATTTAACTTTAACCAAAAAGTTTTAATTTGTATTTATTTATTTATTTAATTTTTGAAGTTAACACTTTTGTTACTTTAATTTAGTAGCATGTATATTTGTTATTTTTTTTAATGTATCTTGCAGAAAGATATTAGTATTAGAGAGGTATATCGCAGAAAGCCCAAAAAATTTCAGCCACAGGGTTGCTGCTATTATTTGGTTTGATTGCCCATTTGAAATCTTAACTTTTAAACCTCATAAGTTAATGAAATTATAGTCAAGAGAGAAAGCTTCAAACAATTTAGGGTGCTGCTGAGAATTTTAATTATATATATTTTAATATAATTATAAATGTTCAGAATATTTTTTCAGTGTGATTAATTCATTAGATATATGCAAGGCAGTCTTAATAGCATGTAGAGCCCCCAGGCACAGACAGGGTGCGTAGCTAGATATATCAACAAAAAATAAGCACCTTTTAAGTACTCAAAAAATACTTTTAATCACTTTCCAAAATAAAATCATAATTAGGATCTTTGCAGTTATATTTTATATCACTTAAAGATCTTAATTTATAAACAAAAAATAAATAAAATTCAAAAACTTTACACAATTATGTTAAAATAACGCCGACTCTGTGGCCTAGTGGTTAGTGTGCCTGACTGCGGAGTCGATGGTTACGGGTTGGAATCCTGCTCAGGGCATGGATGTTTCCTTCTCTTTGTTTTCTATGTCCTTTCTCCTTTGTGTGATTGTGTGAATGTGACTCGCGCTATAAACGGGTTTGTGGTTGTGTGACGTGGGCGTCGCTGCTCCACGGCTGTGGCTTCGCCACAGGTGCCCACTGGGTAACAAGAGAGTAGCGGTTCTGGCATTAAGAGGCCAATGGGACAATACATCGCAAGTGCCCGCCATTAAAAAAAAATTATAATAATTTAAATAACTAGTTTCTGATAAATATTGCAGAGAAAACTGTGAAAATCATGTTTTTTTTTTTTNCTATTTCATATATTTCAATAGACATGGCAAAGAAAAAAATCTCTTTTTAAAAGATAGAAAATTAAGCACTTTTTACACAAACCCCGAATAAAAAACTATAGCACCTTTAGGAGCTTTTAAAAAATTTAAATCAAAATAAGCATCTTTAAGCACTTTTTGAACCTACACACCCTGACAGAAGTGTTTTGTGCCTCTACAACATGTCACATTGTTTGAAATCAAACTAAAAAACTTCACATACAAGAGATAAAGCATTTTTAAGATATGCATTAATTTTACAAATATTGATTACCCCAAAAATTCAACGATTATAAAATAAAGCATTTTACAAAAATTAAAAAATAAAAAATAATTTAGTTTCTAATAAGTTGCAAACGTTGAATAATAAAATAATTTTCAAAAAAATGGAAGCTAATTAAAATTATTAAGTTTAAAAATAACATAAAGGTATAACAATCAAGAAAAAATCAAATGGTATCAAAGATTTAGTCAAACTTAGCAATTATTAAAACATCTTTCAATGTACATTAGCCATAACCAATTTAAAAGTTGCTGTATCATAGTGCTGTTTAATTCTAAACTCTTTCAATTATTACTTTATTTAACTAATTTCAAATACTAAATAGAGTTGGTGGTGATGAAGCATTTTATTATGACTTAACATAAAACTTTCTCACGCAAATTTATTTTACAGGAGCATATGAATCCAGCAGGCACAAATCGAACAGTAAGTGAAAGTTGAGTACTAAAAAATTCTTCGTACCTAACATGGAAAAATAGATGTCAGTTGCCTTTTTAAGTTTTCTTGGTGATAAGTTCAAATTATTGGTGTTTGCATGATAATCAATTACTATTTTTTGAAAAGAAAAACAAAAGGCACACTTTACATAATCAGGGGACTGTCTAAGTTTTCATAGGTGGTATCTATTTTGTGAAAATTTCGACATAATTTGTGCAAATTAAAAATTGTATTAAAAAATCAACACAAAATATAATAAAATAAGAAAATATTTTCAAAAATTGTCACTAAAAATAAAATTAAAAATAATAAATTTCTGTGCATAAAAGTTTCAAAGAGAAAAAAATGCTTCATAAAAAAAAATGGTCAGTTAGAATAAATTTAGAATAATGTTTAAAATAATAGTTCGAATTTCGACTTCTCGTAAACTTTAGAGAGGGACAGCCTCGTCATTTTATTTTAAAAAACTCTGCGAAAAAAAGCTCGCTATAATATGGCGTGAAGGACTGGTTAGGCTTACCTCACAGCACTTTCTAACCAAACACGTGTTACTTATTTGTAGAAGAGCTCCTTTTCCTCGGAAAAGCTCCTTCTTTCCATAGATTGCAACGAGAACGGGATTGCATTGTACTAGTGCTTTTTCTACCACTTCATGTAAGGAACAGAGTAGCTGATGCTTCTTTTCTTCCACAACGTTTTGGGATCCCGAAATGCCTTTAGCAAGGCTTGGGGAGAAAAAGCAAGACGTGTGGGATTCTTCTACTACATCATCAATCCCTGTTCCAGTGCATACGTAATTAACCTAGGAGTTTATTGTTTTTACGGAGATACAACAACAAAATTTTAAGAGCCGGGGGGAGTGAACTTGCTTTTTTTTTAAAGTATTTTGTGAAGCTAACATTTTTCCTTAAGTTGAATTTGTGACAGTACCGCTAAACGGTAGTAAATTTGCCCTGGACATATCCCTGACAATACAATAAGTTTCTTTTAAAAATATGTAAGACAATGTTGTTCATTCTTAATTTTTTTTAAAATACAACTTACATAAAGTAAAATTCTCAAGGGACACTGCGCAGGTGTGCTCGTGCGTAAAGACATATATCTTTTATATATGTTTTATGGACATATGTTTTAGAAAGAAAAAAATAATAAAATTACCATTTCTGACTGCAAGTTTTGACAATCATTATGAGGAATAGGATACCTATAAACTTCCGTCGTTTTCCACCATAAGGGAATTCCAATAAATATAAAGGTTAAAATATATACACTCGTAGTAATAACAGTATTGACATCTGAAAAAGAAATTAATCTCAGTAACAAAAAAAAAATTATTATTATATTGAATGGAAGATTAACATATAAATCATATCAGTGGGGAAGATTTCTGTATTAATGTCTGTACAAAAAGAAAAAAAAAACACTGGAGATACTTCTACATTTTATTAGAAGATTTTTTCAAATAAAAAATTCTTTCTGATTGTAGGTCATCATGAACAGGTACCGTTTCAGAATTAACTTTTAATCCCACCAGAATTATTTCAAAAGACATCATACTCACATCATTTCACCTCATTTTTGTGAAAATCGCAGATTTTTGAAAAAATGTTTGCACTTTTATACAACCCTATATTTATTAAAACCACAGGTATAAGTTTCGTATTAAAAAAAAACCCCTCAAAATAGCTAAAATAGAAATCCGAAAATGTTAAACGTAAAAACACTTTTTAAATAATTGAAAAACTATACGAATTTTGAGCAAGAAAAAGTAAATGCTAGAAACATTTATAAACATAATGTTATCAATTTAACTAATAATGAGTGATTAATAAATCATAAGAATGCCAATAAACAATTTTAAAATCCAGTGAATACGAATTTCATAATTCATAGTCACGTGAACAAGAATTACAATTAGTGGTCTTTTCTCTCGAGTCACGAGCTTGATTTTGGAAGACTTTCAAGATTTCTCGAGAATAACACGGGGCAAAAAAATTTTTGTTACATTTAAACAAATACTTAATCTTGCCTAACTTGGCTGTAGAAATTTCAAATCTGAAATTAATTATGCTCTTAAAACTACTATTTGTCTTAAATGACTTTTTTAGCCTATTTTATTTACCTAAATGTTTAAAACTTCATATGCACTAGGCAGTCACGTAAATGTTGCAACAAACTCCTAGGAGATTTAGGGCAATCATCAAGATTAAAACTACATAGGAATGAAATGTTGTGGTGAATCACTAAGGGAGGATTCCCTATTATGATCTGTTCAGAAGCAGGTGAAGAAACAGTTCATAATAGAGAAGTGTCCCAAGCCATTTATAACACCATTTTTGGGTTCCAAAGCATTTTTAGTCATAACGATGAGCCCTAATTCTCCTAGAAAATTTGTTGCAACACTTATGCCACCCCCTGTTATATATACATAATGTTTCTTAGCTTGTACATTACGTGTTTCGATAAAAAATGCCTTTTTAACAAAACAGTTGCTTGGAAAGAGCAACTGATTACAGATTTGGAATCAATAGTATTAGAAACAAAGAGTATCGAATACTTATCAATTAAAAAATTGCATGAAGCAGAAAACATTTGTTCCCCAGTGATTTAAGTTAGAATGGTGTAATTTTTGAGCGTATGAACTAGTTAAGAAAAGAAGAACCGCTCTTACTACTTAACTCTTCAGCGGACTTTGTGGCATCAGCCAGATTAACCTTTTTCTGAGGAAAATAAAGATTTGCAAAATAAAATAAAAACGTGTAATACTGGAATTAATGTTCAGGAACGGCGCTCTAGGGTAATAATTCCGTATCGTCATTTGTTGCGCCAACCAATTGCCAGGCATATTTTAAACTTGGTCATCTTTTATGTTTTTTTTTTCTTCAGTTTCTTATGGGACACTGTCCGAGAGTTGCAAAGTCTTGGCTATTACTCTGCCTTAGAACATCAAACTATAAGGATATTAATATCGTTATAGTTTGAATATCAGCGAATTTGTGTTTCAAAAGCTATCTTAAAAACAAAACTTTTACCTAAGTTACTTTTATCCATTGTTTTTTCTAATAACACAAGGATCTTAAAATCTTGATTTTAATTCCATGTTAGAATAAATTATATACATTTAATGAGAATTATTAATTTTAGTTTTAAATTCTAACTTGCATTCAAATTACAAATGTTCATTTTTTTCTTTACGACTAGTGCGATCCTAGCGATCTATTTCTGTTGCTTTTAAAACTTGTATCATTAATCCTTCATGCTAATGTTAACCCGTAACTATGTAAGCTACAAGCTTATATTATCAGACACAATTAAATCATAATGGCAACAGACATGACTGGTGTACAAAAATGAGAGAAACTCATGAAAAATGATAGGCAATAAATTGTGTCAAGATGGGGAAATTCATAAAATAGCAAACTTATTCGAATATTATTGTCTATTCACGCTATTTTCTACAATAATGATAGGATTTTCTAAAATTTCTTTGCTGAGGCAATCCTCTGATCAGAGCATAAGATGTTGATTAGTGTGTTTGTTTATTTTTGAATTTGTGATGACAGTGTTTAGTTGATGGCTCCAAACAAATCTTTGGAGCAAAACAATTATTTAATGTGGTTCGCATCTTTTGTATATCAAAATGTCCAAATGTAAATCAACGACAAGGTGTTTCCCTGCCTTTTGTGCGTGGACGTTGTTAATAGCTACAACCGCATTGTTTTTCGTATTTCCGTAAGTCATTTGTTTATTTGTAATTTTTTTTAAACAATTCTTTTTGTTCCATTTCATTTATGAAATGAATTAAAAGGATAATACGCAATTCAAATTTTTCTATTTTTTAAATTTAAAAAATTCAGAATGTGAATAAGACAAGACTTGTAAAAAATTTTATCTGTTTGCTTATCAACAATGTAAAATGCGTTTTGCCGATTCTTCTTTATTTTTGTATTCATTAAGTGTGAAGATTATTGCAATTTAATAATCTTAAAACTAAAAAAGAATTTTAAATAAAGTTGCATTAAGTTCAGTCTATTGTTTTTTTATAAAGTTGATAAATCCCACACTTAGTGTTAAATTTGTTCACCAATCACTTTTCAGAACAGATTTATATCAATGATGATTAATATTGCTTTCACTTTACGGCAGCATATTAGGATAGATTTCCGCATCTTGATCTGTGGCAGAATAATTGCCACATCTTGGAAACTTCCCAGCAGTGGCCCGCAGGTAACTGAAAAGAAAACATCACAGAGAGGGACCAACTCGAAAGGTATAACTCGTAGCCACCCCCGGGCAAATATCTACATGTTATTTTTAAAAAAATTTGAAAGTTTAAAATCTATTTGGCACCTTGTTGATTATAGGTAGTTGGCACGACAGATAACGACAAGGAAATATCCCCGCATATTAAGCCGATACTCTTAAGTTGACGGTTGCATTTGTAAACTGAATTTTTGGGGGGATTTCCCTATCGGGATCTGTGGCCGGATGATAAGTTTTCGTAACTTTTGAGCAGTGGTCCGCGAGAAACTAAAAAAAAAAATCACAGAAAACGACCAACTTACTCGTGGCCTCCCTTGGGCAAACCTCTATGTGTTTTCTTTTTTTTTTAATTTTTGTGTTTAAAATTAATTTGGCATCTTACCAACTCTAGTTGGTTTAGATATTCAAACAAGCAATAAAGAAGGGAAAAGTCGTAGAATAGAATGTATGTGTGTTCGTAAGACAGTACTTCTTTAGGAGACACACTGTCTACAAACACACAAGAGCCTTTATGTTGTCAGTGGAAAAACCAAAACTGACAGTGCCCCAAGGCCCCATAATGGATAGACAAGTAAGAAAATCATTACCAGAATGTAAAAACACTGAAAAATAATGAACTAGCATTACTACTTAAAAGTTCAAAAATTAAGGCTTAAAAATGAAACTCCTACTTATAAATCAAAATATAAATATAGTTACAGTAAGATTAACCAAAATAAATTATAAATTGCTGACACCTGTTTGAAAATCTTGAACAACAAAAATATTCAATGAGCCAAAAAATTCTTCCAAGTGTTGCCATCTGCTTTGGAGAAAGAAATTCTTAATTTTCACCGCATACGCCTATTTATGCAGGCTTCAGTATCCTCCAAACTATTTCAATGTATGTAAAATATTTAGAATTAAAATGTCAAAATTATAGTAATTAAAAGGAAGATTATTATTCTTTAGGGTAATCCTTAAAGTCCCAATAGCTGATAGAATATCTGTTTTATTATAACAAATCAGTGTTCTCCCTAAGTGTTTTTAGAAGGGCGGTCCGCCCTGCCTGCCCTTTGACACCTATAAATGCACCCACTTTGTCCTTTTTGTAAAAAAAAAGCCACCCATCCCTAAAAACACTGCCTTTTTATTCATATTCCATATTTTTTCAAAAATTAATTCACTGTTTAAATAATAACTACATGCTAGTAAAATCATATGTGTTTATAGGTTTAATTCTGATTACTATTAAAAACATTTACTTTGCTAGAATTATTCTCAATTTGTTACATTTTTATAAGTATCTCTTTTTTCAGGGGGAGGGGATATTAATAAATTTTTTAATGGTTTTAATTTTTAAAATTATTATTATTTTTTACTATCTTTTTTTTCAAAAATGAAACGTTAAATATTTATTTTTTCATAATTTTTAGTTTAAATTACATAAAAAATCTTTCAAGTTGTTTATCATTTAATAATTTTTTTTTTAGATTACTTTTTGTTGAAGCAAAAAATATTCCCAGAGATTATCTATCAGTATGCTTTTAATTATTTTTATAAACCGCAAATTTTTCCCTTAATCTGATAATGAATGAGAATCATTTTTTGAAATATACACATAAAATAGTATAAGAGGGCATGGGTGCAAGTCTTCCGTCCCCAGGACGGATTTCCGTCTTTTGAAAATGTCCGCGGACGGAAGTAAGACGGAAACAAGACTGACTAGAAGACGGAAATCAGAATTTATTTTTTTTTTTGTCCATAAAAATATTTTTTTAGGTCTACGTTATTGGTCTACTTTCTTATGTCCTGTTGTTATTTTATCAAAAGACAGATGAATAAATATTTTTTGTGCAGTATTTAAACTTGATGTATTATGGTAAAGCTTTCTTAGATAGTTTGCATATGTCGAGGGGGTATCGTGTATGTTAGGTATTTCAGTCAAAAAATTTTCAGTCTTGGCCTTTTATCAAACTTGCACCCATGTAAGAGGGTAATTTAAAAATTGTGAAGATCAAATTCAGTCATCTCATAATATTACCCATTGTTAAATGAGTGTACTTTCAAATCTTATAGAGCCCTTTTTTGAGTGGCCGCACCCTCTCCTTTTTAATTCCTAGGTAAGACTCTGAACAAATGAAGTTAAAACTAAGAATTTGACCAAAAACAATATTCTAAAAAATCTTAAATTAAAGGTTGGAATTAAAATGTGTTAAACTAATTATGCTAAATTTATCCCTTCTTTTAACGTATTAACATATCTTATTTCTCAAAAGAAAATTTTTAAGCTGAAAATCTCTATTTTCCAATTACTGCATTTTTGGAAGGAAAAAGAATAAAGTCTACTAGAAATTTGCCAGATTATATTAAAATCATGGACAAAAAAAAAGTTTTAAAAAAGACTAAACTTATTAGAAAACAAAGCAAAAATCATTATTAATTTTTAAACAAAAAAATTTAGCACTAAAAATCTCAATTTCACTCTTTCACATTGTTCTATTTTTAGAATTATCTGAGTTTTTTTATTGCTATACAGAAAAAGAAAAATTTCTTAGTTTTTGAAATATAACTTAAGTGTTGAATATCACAGTTTTCTTTGTTACCTGCTATCTTTCTTACTGTACTGAAGAAAAGTGATAATGCTGCTTTCTTAACTCTTAAAACATAAAGTGTTGAAAAAGCGATGAAATTTACTTACCAGGGATAAAATGTAAAAAAATAAATCAGCAGTACAAAACTTGTGGTTCAGTTTAAACTAATCAAGTTAAAATTCTTCTAATTTCACTTTTACATTTGTCTTCAAAAATATAAATTTGGAAGTCATGTGCAAGTTTCAGAATTTAAATATGTGTAAAAACTTTTCTGTAAAATACTTTGCCGAAGATTTGACCAAACAAATTTTGGCAAAAAGACGAAATAGGTGGTCGACTATTCGCTACACCCCTAGTATGTATGCACTCTATTTTAACTTGGGTAATCTCTTTACAGTGCTAATTCCTGTGGCAGAATTTGTTCGGGCTTTCTGCGACAAACCTTTTTAACCTTTTCTTTCTGCATGATGCAATTAATTATAAATAATAACAAGTATATATGTGGCAAATTTAAAGTTACAAAAGCGTTGTGTTTCACCCCCATAAAAAATCTTTATAGAATAACAATGAATATTATTTCTTTTAATTGCATTTGTCATACTTTTTTTTTCTAATAATATTAGTAATTCTCTCGCATTTTTTTAGCGTCCCTTCAACTTAGAGATATGAAGTAATATCTCAAAGTTGTCATTACTGTAATTATAAATAAATGTTAAAATAAATATGTAGGTAAAATTTTCAATCAATAAAATTGGGTCCAAATGCAATTTTTTTTTTTTTGTTAATTGTTTTTCTTTTCATTTAAAAAAAATATATAAAACAGTGTGTTTTTAATTTCTTATACCCCTCCCTACCCTTGTCATCAAAAAATAAGCAAATCATTAGGGCACTTGCATAATAGTTTAACGATCCAATTGGTTGAAAAGTTTGCTTTCATATTCCAACAGGGATCATTGTGTAAATAGCTGCATTGTAAATTCTGGTTCTAACTGGCAATTGTTTTATTTCAGATGCCGTTACTTAACATATGATTATCATATAGCTATTCCAATATGTCAAGCTTTTGTCACGTTTTTTGTGATTGTGAATTTCTCTTTGGCTACCTTCATGGATCCTGGAATTATTCCAAGGGGTATGTCTTTTAATTTTGTTATCTCCACAGGAAACATTGGGAAAACCTGAAAAATACAGGGAATTTAAAAATCATCTAAACTAACAAGAAGTTTTGATTCTTTCTTTACAAACTAGGAAAATGCAGGGAATTTTATTTCTTATTTTCGTCTTTTAAAAAAGGCTAACCACTTAAAGCATAATCTATGGGATAGGATGATATTTCTGCTATACTAAACTATTTTATTCACTATAGCATTATTTGTTTTAAGTAGGTTAAGCTGTTCCTTATTTCTTTAAGTTTTTCAGGAATTAAAACTAGTATAATTAGCCTAATACAGCTGAGACAAGATCACAGTGATTGTTGTGTTTCCTCTTTATATATTGTCTATAATACGTATACAGGGAAAACGGAATTTTTTTTCTTCCAGATTTCAGTGGTAACTCTGATAATAAATGAAATGCATAGTTACTTAATGATTTTTTACAAGAAATGGAGTGTAATAATTTTTACAGGAATAAAAACAGAGCATGTTCTTCATAAATTAAATGCTGTAAATTTTAGTCTGATTAGGACATAGTAAATGAATGCCTATAACAAAAGCATGCAAATTAAAAAATAATTTGTCTGAAACAAACTTCATTTGTGTTAAATATCTGTTACTCCTAATTGGTAACTTGGAAAATACGGGGAATTTAAATATCACCAATATAAACAGGGAAAATACAGGGAATTTGTTTCTTATTTTCATATTTGTTTCTTATTTTAAGGATGATATTTCAGTTATACTAAACTATTTCATTTACTATAGCATTATTTAAGTATGTTCAGCTGTTCATTTTTTTTCTCTAAGTTTTTCCAGCATTATAGTTAGCCCAATATAGCTCACATAAGAGGGCAGTAATTGTTCTATTTCCTCTTAATATATTGTGTATAGTGTATACTGGGAATTTTTTTTCCAGATTAAGTGGCAACCCTGTTTATGTAAGATGTCATTTTAGAGTTGTATGATATATTGAAGCTTTCTTTCTTAACCAGTGTTTCATAAAGGGGTTTGTGTGGTATTTAATATTATTGTATACATGTATTGTAGAAATGGAATCTCTGAATATATTATTGTAATGGTAGAAAGTTTACTAACAAAATGGGTATTTTAATATTTAAGTTCTACCAGTCACTCTTTTAACCAAGGTTGGCTTTTTTGCTGCCAGAAACTGGTTTTTACCACGCAAGTGGCAGAAACTGGTTATAACCGGTAAAAACCGGCATGTAACTCCATGTAACTGTAACAAACTTTTAATTTGCAAAAGATGCTTGTGATATTTGGATTAATCTAACAAAGGAAGAAAATCTTATGGCTGTTTGTGAAAAGGAAGTGACATACAGATTTAAACAGGCAGTTACTGATTATCATTTGCTAGCTTATATGCTGCATCGAAAGTATTTAGGATTGAAATTATCATGTGCTCAAGAAGAAAGTGCCAGAATTTTACTCGCCAATATTAACCCAGATTTTGTACCTTATGTCCTAGCTTTGCAAAACAAATCAGCCCCATTTCCTGAAACTTATTTTTCCAGTAGCTATCCCAGCTGCTGCATGGTGGTCAAGTTTTAAAAAATATGCAATTAATGAAAATTTCATTAATCTTGCTTGTTCCTTGATGGCAATGCCTGTTAGTTCTGCTGGACTTGAGAGAATCTTCTCAAATTTCTCGTCCGTGCATGGCAAATTGAGAAATTGTTTAGGTTTATAAACTGCATCAAAACTTGTCTTTTGTTATAGATTACTGCAGAGTGCAAACAATGTAATATTTGATTTTGAATGGTGATGATTTTGTAAATAAATTGTACTTTGTGTAACCTTTAATTGTTTTTTCTATGAATTATCCATTGTATGTCAATCTCAGTACTTACTTTATGCCAGTTTTAACCGGTTTCTACCAGTAGTTTTAACCACCTCGGCAGAAACTTGCTAACCTTGCTTTTAGCGGAAATAAAGTTAAACAATGTATATAAAGTATTTTCAGAATAAGGCTTCATGTTTGAATAATACTTTTTTTTCTCTTTCTAGTTTTAGAATAAAAAGATAGAAAGAAAAGCTCATTAAATATTCTTGTGATAACTTAAAGAGTTATTTCTTAATATTATAATGTTGCTATCACATTGAATGACTGTTGCTTACAACATAGGCATTTATCAGAACTTTTTTTTCTTTCCTATTAGCTACTCCAGATGAGGAAAAGGATGATGATTTCCGTGCACCACTATATAAAAACATACTTATTAATGGGGTTACAGTTAGAATGAAATGGTGTGTAACCTGTCAGTTTTACAGGCCACCAAGATGTTCACACTGCAACACATGCAACTGTTGTATAGAAGTAAGCAAATTATTTATTTTCCCCCCAACTGTATTGGATTTTCCAGTAGATTGCTGGATTTTGCCAGTTTCTCTTGGTCTACTTGTTTCATTAAAATTCTCCTGATTTTTGTACATTTTAGAAAATTCCTGGAAATTGGGTAAGTTAAGTAAAAAAAATCCCTATCAGGGTTATTGTTTGTCCTAAACTGTGAGCATTGTTAAAAGGTGAAAATTTTATATGTGTAACCATTGTACACATAATAATTACATGTATTTGTAAATATTTGATACTTTTTATACAATTTGCTTTAACTTATTAAAGGAAAATAATCCTAGTAGGAAAAGATTTATAACTTTTAAAGCTCCACAATTCAATGAAAGCAAAAGTGAATACCTTACCCTTTTAATACGAATAAATATGCTTTAATACTGATAAATTATATTTTTGCATAAGGAAAAATAAAGCAATACTAAAAATAATTATAAACTTTTTAATAAAACAAAAACTTTTCTTCATTTTTCCTGTTCAAAAATTAACATTTTATTTTTAACAATATTTTTTTTAAATTGAGACATAATTTGAATAAAAGGTTTTGGACAGGATGGTTTAAACCCTGGTTTAATCCATTCTGTCCTAAACCTTGCCAACTCTGATCCCTATTGAAATAGAATTTTTGTACAAATTATTGCTAGAATATTTAAGTATTACTAATACTTAATGAAGTGAACCTCATTTATCATCAGTTCAAAATTTTTTTTTGTTCAGAAATGTTCAGTTTATTCTTTTAAATTAATTGAAAAAATCTTTTAACTATCTTTGAATTAAATGCCTATTAATATTCGAAATTATGAGTAATTATAATGCATAACATTTCAAAGTATGTTTAATGACAATCATAACTGGAAGATATTGCAATTTTTCCATTTTGATGACTATAAAATGCCCTGTGTATAAAATATTTAGTACGTTATGCAACAATTATCTTGAAATTGATATTATTTCGTAATATCTACTGGATTTTTTTCTTTTCCTGTGCATCAGATTTTTTCTAGTAGAGCTTTATTACATAAACTTCAAACTTTTGTTTATCTGAATAATCCAATTTGTAATATAATGAGAATATATAATGTAATATAATGAGTCTTAGCAAATGTTCTTTTTTTTTTTTTTTTTTTTTTTTTTTTTTTTTTTTTTTTTTTTTTTTTTTTTTTNGAGCTTTATTACATAAACTTCAAACTTCTGTTTATCTGAATAATCCAATTTGTAATATAATGAGAATCTACTGTCTTAGCAAATGTTCTTGTTTTTTTGTTTGTTTTTTTTTCTTCTTTTTTAAATAGGTAGGAAAAGTATTTGTGTTTAGTTTAGTTTTATTCCACAAAACTGTTATAAATTTTTATTTCAAATTATTTATTAGCATTATATAAGGATGTTTTTCAAACATTGTTTATTAAAAAAAAGAAAGAAATGTGTTTCTGTGCTTTGATTACATTAAAGTATATTTAAGCATTTTCTTTTTTTAAACTCTGAATACTCTAAATTAGCTGTTAGTGTTATTGTCAGGAAAAAAGATGGGTTTTTTTCTCATTTTTTGATTTCTGTATTTCTAAAAGTGAAATTTCAAATATTTTTTGAATTATTAAGTGAATTTAAAATGTTTATTTAAAAAAAAAAAAGAAGCAATCTTTTTTGTGATTCAAACTTATTGATTACACAAAATATAATTTATGCTTTTCTGTTTTAAATCCTGTATATTCTAAATTAAATGTTAATGTTTTTTTTTTTTTTCAGAAGAAAGGGAATTCATAACCACTTTTCCATTTTTGAATACATTTTAAATATTTTTTGTACATGGAATGCTGATTTAAAATCGCAATGACACCCGCAAATTAGATATCAAAATTTAAAATATAACGAAAGATTAAAAGTGCGTAAATATTGAGATTTTACTTCATTTTGGGGTCTTTCTTAAAACATTTTTTATGCTGACGCTGTTTTTATTAAGTAACTTAAATACACTTTATCTGTAAAGATCTTATTACATTCAAATAAAACTTAAGTTTTTTTTCTTTCAAACTTCTATTCTAAACTAGCTGTTAATATTATTTTCAAGGGAGGAAGGGGGGGGGGAGGATTATTAATCATTTGACAATTTTTGTAAATGTATAAGTTAATTTTAAAATCTTTTTATTTATTTTGTGAAATAATCTAACTTAAGCTTACAATAACACCCAAAAATTAGTTATCAAAATTTAAAGTTAAAATTCTGATAATCTTTTTACAAAATGTGTGACTGAAAGATAAAAAAGTTTACAGAGATTTGACATAGTCTTTCATGGAATTTTTTTTAATACTTTGAAGTTGTTTGTGCTAAGTTACCTCACAATGCTTTTAATTCAACATTATACGAATAGAATTATACAGTAGGGAACCGATTATCCGGAACAATCGGGACCATCGCTATTCCGGATAACTGATTTTTCCGGTTTTCTGAATCGCTACAAAAAGCCATTTTTTTAATTGTTAAACCCAACTAAAAAAAAAAATTTGGAAATAATCTTAAAAAGAGGAAAAAATGATGAAGTAATACACTAATGATTATTTCCAAAATGATGGTAAGGTAAAAATCTTTCAAAAAAGAAAGAAAAATCCTAAAATCTTATGAGTAAAAAAAAAAATTTTTTTTTAAATGGCGGGAAAATTCATCGAATTTCGTTCCGGTTTTTTGGTTTTCTGATTTCCGGATAACAAGTTCTGTACTGTATATAAAATCTCAATTTTCGTACAAAAATTGTACTTCATACTTTATCTAAAAAAGGTTTGCTATATAATTAATGATGTTAAACTTCTAAGGATATTGATTTAATAATTATTACAAAAAAAAATTTTTTTTTAATATTAAATTTAAATAATAATTTTTTTATGCATAAGATTAACTATGATTTCAAATTTCTCAACTTTAAGGGTGCTATTGGATCAATCCTTGTTTTTTTTTTACCAACTCATACCTGCCAAGTCTCCTGTTTTTTAACAAAGAAAGGACTCCTGTATTTTAAGACTATCTGCTGTTTATCTGTATATTCTCAAATTTCTCCATATTTGTTGAAGAAATTTGGTGATAAAATATCCGCTAATGGCGAAAATACTTCTGTTGTTCCTCAACTAGTGGTGCTATTACCAGTACTGCAGTATGTTGAGTGTTTATAGTTTGATTAATTATAAGAATTCATTATAATAAACAATAATAATTATAAAAATCTTTAGATTAAGATTTTAAGATCTTTAGATTACATATTTTTTACTTCACTAAATGTAAATGCTTATATTATTTCCAATTTTTTGAATTTCTCTTATTAACTTACACGATTATGCATGCTGTATCTTTACTTGTAGCCCGAAATATGTTGCTAGTAAAATCTCTGTTACTTGTCTGGCAACTTACATCACTTTCCAGACACATTCTTTCAGGGTGCGTACAGACTCCTTATAATCCTTAGAAACTCCTTGGAAATTAAAAAAAGTCTCCTAGGAGTACTTGGAACTACTTAGATTTCTAAATTAGTCCGTAGAAACTCCTTAGATTATTGCATTGCATAGATGAACTTACTAAGTCCGCTATTGAATTTGCTGTCCAAGCAGGGAAACTAAATTATATGACTTAGCTGTCAAAATCTAATAGTTTAAGAAAAACTTTAAAAGAAAAAAAATTGAATTGCACGAGTTAGAAGAAGAAAAAAATGACAGCAAATAATTTTAATTTTACATGTTAGAAGAAAACTTAATTAATAATTTACTGTGATTTTTTTTTTTTTTTTTTTTTTTTTTTTTTTTTTTTTTTTTTNATTTTCTTACGTATTCAAATTTAAAAATATAAGATTGGTAAGTTTTTATATTAATTTTTAACATCTATACTTTAACAAGATTTATTAAAATATTTGAAACTGAAAAATATATTTATGTGTAAAAGTGATAACTTTATTTATTTTTTTTGATGTAGTTTGACAAAGTCAAAATTTATTTCAAAAGGGCTAGAAAAAATATGCAAAATATACATTTTTGCAAGTTCCTCATAATAACTGTTTTTTAATTTTTAAAAAAAAAAACTGTCTAGTTATCTTTTACACAAAGTTTTTAAATTTTTGATAAGTCCTTAAAATTTTGCACTCCTTGGATTTCTTCTGATCTCTGTGTGAACCCTGCCTTTATGTTTATAGCCCATGTGATAACCAATTATTTATTATTTTTCAGACATTTGACCATCACTGTCCATGGGTGAACAATTGCATTGGTCGCAGGAATTACCGTTACTTTTTTTTATTCCTCATTTTCCTGAGTGTACATATGATTAGCATCTTTTCCTATTGTGTATTGTACATGTTGGAGCATCATGAAGAAATTCATCACAGAGATACCATTGTTACGTATCCTTTTTATTTATGGACAACTTTTCTTAATAATTTGGGAAATAGACAAAGCTATATAATGTGAATGATGCTGAAATGTGGCATTTGTTTATGTTAGCAACTGTTCTTTCTATTTTATTTTGAGTAAGCCAAGCCCGTCAAGCATCAATTCTCTTAAAACACATTCTAAATTCTTTCGCAAAGATTCTTCTTCGGGGATTTCAATTCTTTCATTATATATTTACACAGAGACTCAACACAAAGACAGGCACGAATCCATGACGAACATGAGCAAGCTAATTATACATCAAAGTTGCTTGGTACATGAAGCAAAAATGTATCATGGTTGCAATAATATACACAAGCAAATAATAAATTTAAATAAAATAAGTAGATGAGAGAGAATTATATTTCAATATCTAATTTGATGTGAAATACGGCTAGGGATGAGATTTTTCCGTTTTTTAACGGATTTCCTCTTTTTTCTCTCGAATTTCAGCCTTTTTATTGAAAACTCCGTTTCTCTAGAAATTTTACTTTTTCTATTACAAATATTCCTCTTTTTCAGAAAATTCAGCCATTGACATAAAATAATTACATTTATTTCCGTATTTCAAAGATAAACACAAAATTCCAGCTACATAGCTACCAACCCTTCCGCATTTTTACTTATTTTAGCTATTTTCCCCATTTTTATGCGCAGAATATAAGATTTTCCGCATTTTTCCTCCTTCCACCAGATAGCTCTTATTTTTGTAATTCAAATGAAGCTGCTTCAAGCAAACCTTCTAGAAGTCCCAAACCCAGAATCTGCTAATAGCTCTATTCTTATTCACGCAATTTTAATATCAAACAGCTTTTCGTATTTACATGATTTAAAAGTTGTGTGCTGCGGTTCTTATTCACGCGATCTGAATATCGTACATTGCGATATTTACGAGTTTTTTAAAACCTATGTAATTATTTGTATTCACGATAGTTTAAAATCCTATGTCGTAATACGCTCATGCGGTTATAATATTATACATCGATTTTCGTATTTATACGTGATTTAAAAATAAGGCATTGTGATTTGTATTTACGCGATCTAAAAATTCTGCATCATGATTCATATATACGAGATCTAAAAATTATGAGTCGTGATTTGTATTTACGCAATTTAAAAATTATGAATCGTGATATGTATTTATGTGATTTCTATATCGCAGTTTGTATTCTCGAATATCGAGTTTCATATTCCCGTGATTTTAAAGTCCAAGATCGCAATTTGTGATAACGCGATTTTAAGATCGACTTTCGCGATTCCAGTGAGAAGTAAGTTTTTTTTTATTGAATTAGTTACTATAAAGGTGACTGTTTTTCTATCGACTATTATTAGTATATGTTGGCATTACAACATTAGCGGAATTTTGTGCTTGCAAAGAAGAAGAGTAAGATTTGTCAAAGGATGTTTGAAGATGAGCTAACGACTAAATTAATCTTCAATCTGTTAGTGCAACACCCTCTGTGTGTTGAGTTCAGAGGGTGTTGGTTAGTGCCAGTTTTGCTATTACTACAAGAATATACAAGCAATTTGACCTTGTTAAAGGATTTTTTGCTTGTTTTGTGAAGCATGAAGCATTTGCAACAATTGGAAATAAAAAAGAATATAGCAAGCAAAAGTAATCACTTAAAAAGTGATTAAATTTTTTTTTGGAAAAAGAGTTACATAACTCAGCACTAAAATCCAAAATTTTAAAAATAATGTTGCTGTTATTTATGCTCTAAAATGCGAAATTCTTATCAAAAGAAAAATAATTATCTAAACAGTTGCTAATTATCATGTAATTTTTCAAACTTAAATAGCAATTTTTGTATGTTAAGGAGTTACTATATATTTCGACTTCACAGTTATTGATATGTTTCACAGGGCTCTAGCTAGATTAGATTATAATTTGAACATAGTGATTCTAATTGTAAAAGTTTCTTTTCTAAATAGTTTAAAAAGCCATGCTACTGGTATATTTGTTATAAACTACGTAACAGTATTTATTAAGAGAAATATAATATTAATGTGTGTTCTCAGTAGTTTTAATTTGCTAAACCAGGCACTTTCTCAAGTAATAATTGTCTCTTATGTGAACTGAAGAAAAATTTCATTTTCTAGCTTTATTATTTCAATTGGTAATTTTACTTTTTACTAAATGTTAAGTATCGATGTAATCATTTATGTAATAATAAGTTAGTGAACAATTTTATGTCAACACATTGTTATTTATTATCTTAAATTGTCCGGAATTTATTATTAAAAGGTTGCACGCATGTAAAATTTACTTGCAGGGAAATTCAACTTTTGGCCAATCTCATCCCTGTAATTAATGTTTATTATAGTGTTTAATTAATAGGTGATGTGTGGGTATGGGAAGTCTTCTTGAAGTGTGAGTACAAAATCGGAAGAATTTATACAATTAATTTGAAGCAACAATAATTTTCTAAAAAACAAAATTTTATTGTACCTACTCCTAATCATTTTGTAATACATTTTATGTATAGGAATAAAACATAAACTAGAAAATTTATGTTGATATTTAAGCTGTCAGTCACAAAAGTCGCGGATAACCCATTGTCCAGCTCTGGTGAGACATATTTAGAGTAGCTACCTCAAACCTTGTTAAAATGATTAAAACATGATATAATTTTAAGAAATAGTTTTTATTCACGGGAAGTTCTTAAGCAAAATCCTAGTTATATCTAGTAATTTTCTGATTTCGATTAATGGGCAAGAAGCAAGTGGGACATCAGATCTTTGCAAAATTAAAAACATTGTTTTAATTTTGTGATTTATTTATTTTTTTGTAATTTCTAGATTTGTTGTTTGTTTGTTATATTTCTGAAATCAGCAGATTCTGTTTCAAAACCAAATGATCAGAGCGAAAGGAAAACTCATGCTAGACCGTCGCATGCTACTCTAGTGCGACGTAAACAAACAACAACAATTCTAAGCTTTTTTTTCCTTCAAAAATAAAGACAAAGCTTGTCAGTTTTTATTAAAACTATCTTTAATCAGCTTTTTTTACATTTCTCATCTAAGACATGCATACCTTAGCTGTATTGTAATCCTTAACTGTAATGTAGCATTGTTATCATTATCATCATTACTTTGTTATTTATACCAATATTAGGACTCACTGGGTTTCATGTAGTTCTTGTATTTAGAGGCAGAACTACTAATGAACAGGTAGGTTGTTGTTTTTTTTATCTGAAAATATTTTATCATCGTTACTTTGCTTTTTATACCACTACTAGGATTCATGGTCTTCATGTATATTTTATCTAAAGTGAGAAGTTCCCTAGTAATTCGTCTGGACCTGTGGCAGTGACTGATGAGGTATAACTATTTCAAGTAGGGGTGTGGGATCATTGTTTAAGACAGGTTTCAGCTCTGGTTGACGAGAGAAAGGGAATCCTTTTTTTTTCTTCTGGTGTTTGCCCCATAGTTAAAAGGAAGCTAACCTATCTGAAATGCTCTATTCTTGTTTTCATAGCCGTAGATGGTCTCAGACTTTATTGCAGGGGGAGTTCATACTGTAGACAAGGGGTGCACAACCTGCGGCCCGAGGGAAAATGCGACCCTTCGACTGCTGAAGTGCGGTCTGCGAGAGTTTCTAAACGCAATAAAAAAAAATTAAAAAATGGCAATTTTTAATCGCACTTTTAAGTCATCACGTTTTGACGCAATCAATTTTAACAGATTCTTTAGTAAATGTAGGTTTAACGCGCTTTCTTTAAGCCGATTTTATCGTAAATATAAATGATTTTTTTAAAACAGTTATTTCCGCTTTTCTACGTGATTTCGAAAATCCGGTATTTTTATTATGACGCGAGTTTCAAATCACAAATTTAAATAATCACTTTATTTGGGACGATTATTTTATTTTCACTTATTTGCAATTCTTTCTCTTTTTTTTTTTTCAAAAAACTTTTTCGTCAGTTATTGCTATGTGTTCCCACATATTATAAAAAATTCCAATTGTTCTATTACGACATACAATTTTTAAATCATGCATTTGACACGCTTTATTCGTGATGAGTTCAGCATAAATATATTTTTTCCCAATTATTTCTATACTTTTCCACATGATTATGATGATCCTGTTATTTAACTAGATGTTATTACGACACATGATTGTTAATTGCGCAATTAAATAATACCTTTTTGATACGGTATTTCAGTGCAGTTTTATCGTAAATCCTAGTTATTTTTCCTTCGTTTTTATTTCCGCAACGAATATGATTTGGTCAAATGTGGTAATGAATTGTGATTTGATCAAAAACCAAATATTCGACAAAAAAAAATCGACTGAATGCCGTACACTTGGGGCCAAATAGCAAAATCTTTTAGCAGCATAGCAACACTGAAACTAAAATTTCAATGCTCAGAATAATATTTCCTGGAAAAACGTATTCATAAATTAACTCTAAAAAATAAGGCCGATCAAGAACGTTTTTGAAAATGTTGAAAAGCAAAACAGAGAACATAAAAATCAATCTTAATTTTTGGAAAAAAAATTTTAAAGCTGGACATCTCAGTTTTTCAATTATCGGAAAAAGCCAAGAAAAAAGAATTAAGTCAACAGAAATGCTATTAAAAATTACTGCATTATAAGGAAAACGTCTAAAAAAAAGTTTTTTTTTTTTTATTTAAAGAAAATAAAAAGATGGAAAAAACGTTCTTAATTTTTCAAATGAATTTCTTATGCCGAAAATCTGAATTTAAATTTTTCTCATTGCCATAATTTTAGAAGAAAAAGAATTGCTATCAAATAAATTTTATTAGTAACTTTATTTTTTTAAAAAATACTGAGTCATAATAAAAATACCTAAAAAAAGAAAAACAGAAAAAAAAAATTTTTTTAGTTCCTGAAACAAAACTTTAATACTGAAAATCACACTTTTCTATGTTACTGGTTATTTATATTACAGTACAGGGAAAGAGTGAAAGAGTTAACAGTATGAGACGTTCTGTTAAAATGCTGGGTTATAATAAAAACAGCAAAAAATGGAAATAAATCCTTCTCAATTCTCAAAGTATCGAAAAAAAGACAAAATTGACTTGTCTGATTATAATTTTTTTTTTAAAAAAAAAAGTAATATCCATAAAAATTCAAAAATAAAAAAAACTTGGAAAAATGCATTTCTAAAAGATATTCTGCCGAATATTTGACTGATCATTCAACCAACTGAATTTTTCACAGAATGGCCAAATACTCGTTACATCCCTCCCTAATTTAAATGCAATGTTATTGCAACTTGAGAAATTCATAAAAATGACGGAAAACCTGAATTTTTAAACTGCTCACTGTTGGTAGTTTAGATTTCAATTTTTTGTTGCTTAAGTGATCTTTTTCGATAAAAAAAAGGAAAATGTTTTCGATATTAAAGAATCTAATAGTTAATAAAATAATAAAGTACATTACAAAATAAGCATTGAATTTTATTTTGAACTATCACAGTTTTGTGTTTATTTTAGGCTTTTGTTTAAAACCTATAAATTTTCCTCAATTAAAATATTTAATTTGAATTGATATTACTTAATTATGACTAAACTTTATCCTACTTTCATTCTGTGTCATTGCAGTTTTTTTTTTATTTATTAGAATTTAATTCTAAAATGAATTTTCGTATTGCATGATATGATAAAAAAAAAAAACATTTCTTTTCTTCAATGTTTATCTATTTTGATAAATCTATCGTTCATATGATAAAAATAGCAAGGGTTTTTTTTGTAAAAAAAAATAAGGAAAAGATTTATTTTTGAATGATTTCTAATAATGGAACACTACTAAGTTATTGATATTACTAAGTTTATTGATAAAAAAAATGGAACGCTAATGTTTAAATAAACATTACTACATTTGTCATTAACATGTCTAAATACATCTGCGGCCCTTCGTTAGCCAACCTGCTGTGCAAGTGGCCCTTCACTCAAAAAGGTTGTGCACCCCTAGTATGAAGCCATTTTTAGTGCTANTGCTGGGAAATTCAGCTTTTGGCCAATCTCATCCCTGTAATTAATGTTTATTATAGTGTTTAATTAATAGGTGATGTGTGGGTATGGGAAGTCTTCTTGAAGTGTGAGTACAAAATCGGAAGAATTTATACAATTAATTTGAAGCAACAATAATTTTACTAAAAAGCAAAATTTTATTGTACCTACTCCTAATCATTTTGTAATACATTTTATCTATAGGAATAAAACATAAACTAGAAAATTAATGTTGATATTTAAGCTGTCGGTAACAAAAGTCGCGGATAGCCCATTGTCCAGCTCTGGTGAGACATATTTAGAGTAGCTACCTCAAACCTTGTTAGAATGATTAAAAGATGGAATAATTTTAAGAAATAGTTTTTATTCACGGGAAGTTCTAAGCAAAATCCTAGTTATATCTAGTAACTTTCTGATTTCGATTAATGGGCAAGAAGCAAGTGTGACATCAGATCTTTGCAAAATTAAAAACATTGTTTTAATTTTGTGATTTATTTATTTTTTTGTAATTTCTAGATTTGTTGTTTGTTTGTTATATTTCTGAAATCAGCAGATTCTGTTTCAAAACCAAATGATCAGAGCGAAAGGAAAACTCATGCTAGACCGTCGCATGCAGCTCTAGTGCAACGTAAACAAACAACAACAATTCAAAGCTTTTTTTTTTCCCTTCAAAAATAAAGACAAAGCTTGTCAGTTTTTATTAAAACTATCTTTAATCAGCTTTTTTTACATTTCTCATCTAAGACATGCATACCTTAGCTGTATTGTAATCCTTAACTGTAATGTAGCATTGTTATCATTATCATCATTACTTTGTTATTTATACCAATATTAGGACTCACTGGGTTTCATGTAGTTCTTGTATTTAGAGGCAGAACTACTAATGAACAGGTAGGTTGTTGTTTTTTTTATCTGAAAATATTTTATCATCGTTACTTTGCTTTTTATACCACTACTAGGATTCATGGTCTTCATGTATATTTTATCTAAAGTGAGAAGTTCCCTAGTAATTCGTCTGGACCTGTGGCAGTGACTGATGAGGTATAACTATTTCAAGTAGGGGTGTGGGATCATTGTTTAAGACAGGTTTCAGCTCTGGTTGACGAGAGAAAGGGAATCCTTTTTTTTCTGGTGTTTGCCCCATAGTTAAAAGGAAGCTAACCTATCTGAAATGCTCTATTCTTGTTTTCATAGCAGTAGATGGTCTCAGACTTTATAGCGGGGGGAGTTCATACTGTAGACTAGGGGTGCACAATTTTAAAAAATGGCAATTTTAAGTCATCACGTTTTGACGCAATCAATTTTAACAGATTCTTTAGTCAATGTACGTTTAACACGCTTTCTTTAAGCCGATTTTATCGTAAATATAAATGTTTTTTTTTTTTTTAAACAATTATTTCCGCTTTTCTACACTGTTTCGAAAATCCGGTATTTTTATTATGACACGAGTTTCAGATCACAAATTTAAATAATCACTTTTTGTGCACTTTATTTGTGACAATTTCATCTTAAATCTAAGTGATTTTTTATCTTTTTTCGCAATTTTTCTTTTTTTTCAACAATTTTTTTCGGCAGTTATTGCTATGCATTCCCACGTATTATAAAAAATTCCAATTGTTCCGATCGCCCAATTAAATAATCCTTTTTTGATATGGTATTTCAGTACAGTTTTATCGTAAGTCCTAGTTATTTTTCCTTCGTTTTTATTTCCGCAACGAATATGATTTGGTCGAATGTGGTGATGAATTGTGATTTGATCAAAAACCAAATATTCTGCAAGAAAAAGAAGAAGAAAAAAATCGACTGAACGCCGTACACTTGGGGCCAAATAGCAAAATCTTTTAGCAGCATAGCAACACATGAAACTGAAATTTCAATGCTCAGAATAATATTTCCTGGAAAAACGTATTCTTAAATTAACTCTAAAAAATAAGGCCAATCAAGAACGTTTTTGAAAATGTTGAAAAGCAAAACAGAGAACATAAAAATCAATCTTTATTTTTGGAAAAAATTTTTAAAGCTAAACATCTCAGTTTTTCAATTATCAGAAAAAGCCAAGAAAAAAGAATTAAGTCAACAGAAATGCTATTAAAAATTACTGCGTTATAAGGAAAACGTCTAAAAAAAGTTTTTTTTTATTTAAAGAATATAAAAAGATAGAAAATGAAGATCTTAATGTTTTTAAATGAAAATCTTATGCCGAAAATCTCAATTTAAATTTTTCTCATTGCCATAATTTTGGAAGAAAAAGAATTGCTATAAAATAAATTTTATTAGTAACTTTATTTTTAAAAAAAATGCTGAGTCATAATAAAAATACCTAAAAGAAGAAAAACAGAATAAAAAAAAAGAATTTTTCTTAGTTCCTGAAACAAAACTTTAATACTGAAAATCACACTTTTCTATGTTACTGGTTATTTATATTACAGTACAGGAAAAGAGTGATAATAATAGTATGAGATGTTCTGTTAAAATGCTGGGTTATAATAAAAACAGCAAAAAATGGAGAGAAAAAATCCTTCTCAATTCTCAAAGTATCGAAAAAATTACAAAATTGACTTGTCTGATTATAATTTTTAAGAAAAAAAAGTAATATCCATAAAAATTCAAAAGTAAAAAAAACTTGGAAAAATACATTTCTAAAAAATATTCTGCCGAATATTTGACTCATCATTCAACCAACTGAATTTTTCACAGAATGGCCAAATACTCGTTACATCCCTCCCTAATTTAAATGCAATGTTATTGCAACTTGAGAAATTCATAAAATGATGGAAAACGTGAATTTTTAAACTGCTCGCTGTTGGTAGTTTAGATTTCAATTTTTTGTTGCTTAAGTGATCTTTTTCAATAAGAAAAAGGAAAATGTTTACGATATAAAAAAATCTAATAATTAATAAAGTACATTACAAAATAAGCATTGAATTTTATTTTGAACTATCACAATTTTGTTTTTATTTTAGGCTTTTGTTTAAGACCTATAAATTTTTCTCAATTTAAATATTTAATTTGAATTTATATTACTTAATTATGACTAAACTTTTTCCTACTTTCATTCTGTGCAATTGCAGTTTTTTTTTATTTATTAGAATTTAATTCTAAAATGAGTTTTCGTATTGCATGATATGATAAAAAAAATATTTCTTTTCTTCAATGTTTATTTATTTTGATAAATCTATTGTTCATATGATAAAAATAGCAAGGTTTTTTTTTTTTGTAAAAAAAAAAAATTATAAGTTTTTTTATTCTTGAATAAATTCTAATAATGGAACACTACTAAGTTATTGATATTACTGAGTTTAATGATTAAAAAAATGGAACGCTACTGTTTAAATAAACATTACTACTTTTGTCATTAACATGTCTAAATACATCTGCGGCCCTTCGTTAGCCAACTTGCTGTGCAAGTGACCCTCACTCAAAAAGGTTTGCACCCCTACTATAGACAAACTATAGTTCTTGTATTTAGTAGCAAATATATTAAAGAGGTGGAATTTTTTAATCTCTCTGAAAGTATTTTATTATCGTTGGTTTACTTTTCATACCATTTTCGGGATTCACTGAGTTTCATGTAATTCTTTTATTTAGTGGCTGAACTACTAATAAAATTGTGTTTTTATTTTTTAATTTCTTTTTTATCTGAAATTTTTTGTGTTAATGCTGAATTTGTAATGTGTAAATTATTAAACTTCTTCTGAGTGTGTCCAGAATGCATTTAGAGTTACATTGTATTTAAATTTTTATTTCTAAAGAGAAAAATTTTAGTTCAAAAGAGAAATTTTATTAGCAAAATAATAATTTGATCATAAATTTTATCTAGTACCATCTTTTCCTGTGGGTGTTGATAAAATGTTGCTAATTTTTCTCCTTTTATGAGTTTGATGCCATGTGTTTGAGTTCCCTTTCTGTCAGACTAACTGTGGGAGGTTCTCATGGTTTTCCTCTCCATGTAATGCGAGTTAGTTTCATCAAAAAAGTCCTCCATAAAGATAAAATGTCTCCCAATACTTGATTCAGAAGTTCCATTGTCTTCTGGATAGGGTTTTAAATTACAAGCCTGCGTAGTTGAACATTAGTAGTCGTAAACCCAAAAATAGGGTCGATAGGACGGTTATAAAATAAAATAGTTTAAGCAGTGCTCCCACGGGTCAGGGAAAACCTGGAATGCGAATTTTTTTTTACTCTAAAAAGCAAGGAATAGTCAAGGAATGCTGCATTTATTTATTATTACTATTTTTTTTCCTTCAAAAACCTGAAAAATTTCTATGTTAAACCTGAGAACTATCTATTCTTAGAATTGTCATCAACAGTAGTCAGTTATTGAGATTCGAGTTAAAAAATTCTAACATCCATTACAAATATTTGTTATTAAAATTTCACATTTTAGTGAAACTTTTCTACCTTTTATCCTCATTCAAAATTTTTTGCTCAGAAAAGCGAATATTCGGAGTTATAAATAAGAAAATAAAAGTTATCTAGTGCATGGCATGTCAAATTTCATTGACATTTTCCTGATATACCTGGAAAAGTAAGAATTTTTTTTCTGAAATTAAGTGGGACCGTATGTGGACAGTTAACTTTGCCCTAAAATGTTATTTTCAATTTCTTCAAACAGGATACTATGTTTTCTAAATTTAAAAATATTTATAATCATTCTGCTTTATATTGACGGGGGGTGCAACTTTTCACCGTTTTTAAGACACTTAAATTTTTTTGCCTTATCCATAACTAAAAAAATTGTTAAGCTATTTCAGTACTGAAGTATCTGTCTTTCTCTTGTCACCTTGCATTTTCTTTACATTGAAATGAGAGAAAAGATTACTGCTCATTCGGACAGCGGCATCTTTTTATCTAGACACCACAGGTTATGAGACCCCAGAAGCTGAAATGAGGTCTTAAATGCTCTCGATGCTTTTACCACACTGCAAATTTCTTTCATTTTCTTATCAATTTGAAGACTGTATTTGACACAACTGGGGTAAAAAAAGACAATAGAAATATAATCTTTGAAGTGTTCATATGAATGAAATATTTATTCAGACACTTGATAGATGATTATTTGTGATTATATATACATATATATTTATATATATTTGAAAGTTCAAAATGAAGATAAAACAAAAGAAAATTACAGACATGTGAAAAAAGGGGGAATTAGGATAAAAAATAACAAACAACTGGGGGGGGGTAGAATTTTTTTTTAAAAAAATTCAAGAATGATTTATAAAATATTTTTGTAACAAGATTGCAAAATGTGAAAACAAAAGTGCACATTGAGTGTAACTAGAGGAATTTTGTTTTAAAATGACGTTCTTACTGCATTGCTGAAGTGCGTTTGATTTGTTAGTTACCAAGGCTGGGGCCGAAATGTATATATATACAGTCGGACCTCTATATAACGAAGTCACTAAATCCCGATAATAAGTTTGTTATATGGAAAATTCATTAAATCGGAAATCACCTTTTGAAATACTTAAACAACACAAAACAGGTTATAAACTCATAAACAAGAGACATAATTAAAATAGCAATTGATACACCTTTATCTTGTAAACTAATATCTACTATTTATTTTATAAATCTTAACCATAGAAGAAATCTGCATAGAAATGAGGGACAGAGCGAAATATTATCCAGTGTTACACTATCATGCTACATGCATTTTCAACTTAAAAAAAAAGATTAATTTATGTATAATATTAGAGTAGCATTTATAATAAAAGTAATTTTTAGCATACATTACCGCATGCATTCTTAAATGCAATTGCTACTGATAACTTTTGTCTGAGTTTTTCGTTTAAAATGCAAACAAGAAGGGAAAGGGATTTTGCTTTTTTCTCTAAAAGTTAAGTGGCTTCGAAAATTAATTCAAGGTCATTGTCCCCATAAAATGCGTTAACAAGTTTGAAATGTTTCGGGAAATAGGGAAAGTGCATGTATATATATATACACATAAACTAGATTTAATTAGAAAATTCAAGAATTAATATGGCTGATATTTACACTAAATGCCACTAAGTAATACATGTCTAGTTTTTTTTCCAAATTTTTTGTAAAATATTGAAAGTCAAATCAGAAATAAAATTAATTTTAATATGTGCCCTTCTCCTTTCCCCAAAAAGCATTTGAGCTTAGGTTTTTTTGGAATTTGTGGGTCAAAAACCTTGGCTCCTCTGTAAATTCAGAATGCACTTAATAAATAATATGGTTTTGGACATGGAATAAATAACCTTTAGTACCTTTTGAAAAAAAAAAAATTTTGCCATGTAACTTATTTTATTATTGAATGACTTTATTTTCCTTCTTTGACAGGTAACTGGAAAGTTCCGAGGTGGATATAATCCTTTTTCAAAAGGTTGCTGGAAGAATATATGCAATACTCTTTGTGGTCCACAATATCCTAAGTATATACTTTACAACAATGTTCAATTTATCTGATTATTATTATTTTTTTGTTACAAATTTTAAACTTTTAAAAGTTTGAATGTTTACATTTAAATGTTTGGATTAAAAAAAAAATTAACTATTTGTACATAATTTGGGTTAATCCAGAATCTTGACTGTTGTTGACACCTGAATACATACCTGCCAACTCTCCTGTTTTTTAATGATTACTTCAGTATTTTACTACTCTCTCCTGTTTACCATCATATTCTCTGCATTTGTTTAGGAAATTTTATTTGAGAATTTACCAATTATTAATTAATGATTGGTATTATTCATTAAATATTTTTAATTAAGAAATTTGGCGACAAAATATTCGCTAATGGCAAAAATACTTATTATTCCTGTTTAACCGAATATTCTAAAATTTCTCTGTATTTGTTGCAGAAATTTAATAAAAAATAAGAAGTTTTAATTAAGAATTTACCTATTATTAATTAAGAATTTTGGCGATAAAATATCCGCTGTTGGCAAAAATACTTCTAATTCATAATTACCCAAATATTCTCAAATTTCTCCATATTTTTTGAAGGAATTTAATTAGTAGTAAGAAATTTTTTAATTAAGAATTTTGGCGATGAAATATATGCTAATGGCGAAAATACTTCTTATTCCTTAATAGATAGTGCTGTTGCCAGTATTGCCATATGTTGAGTGTTTATAGTTTAAGTAATTATAAAGAGTGGTTTAAAAAAATCTCCTTCAGATTAAGATTTATATACATATTTTTTACTTCGCTTGTAAGAGCTTATATTATTTTCAATTTTGACTTACATGATTATGCATGATGTATCAGAACTTTACTTATAGCCAAAAAATGTTAGTAAAATCTCCGTTATTTTATTTCTCCAAAGTTGGCAGGTGTGTGAATATTAAAGTGATGCCTAAATCGGAAAAGTTTTCATAAGATTTAAAAATGCTAATCCTAAGTATATACTTTACAAAGTATATCCTTAACAAAGATGTTCAGTTTATCCGATTATTTATTTATTTTTATTTTTGTTTCAATGTAAAAAGTTTGAGTGTTTACATTTTAATGTTTGCATTTTCAAAAAAAAAATTTGTACATAATTTGGGTGAATCCAAAATCTAGAACTGTTGTTGACATTTAAATATTGAAATGAAAGGAAAGTCATTTGAATAATGAGGAAAGTTTTCAAAAGTACTGATCCTAAATATGCACTTTACAAAGTAATCCTTTACAAAGATGTACAATTTATCTTTTTTATTTATTTATTTATTTATTTTGTTACAATTTTACAAAGTTTGAATGTTTACATTTTAATGTTTGGATTAAGAAAAAATTACTTATTTGTATTTCATTTGGGTGAATCCAAAATCTTAATGAAAGAAAGAAAAGAATCTAAAAATAATTCAGAAAATAATGATTATCAAATTAATTTTAATCTGTATAAATGGATTATTCGATACTTTAACGAAAGCTGTATTGAAGCCAATTTCAGTTGTTTTTCTTAGTTCAAACTTTAGGTGTGTTGCTGTTTTCATTATTGAAATGTGGTGTATTTTCTTCTGTGTTGCTGTTTTTGAATTAAATGTTTACTAATTTACATCTTTGGTCTTGATATTTTACTTATTTAGTACATATTCAAAAAACTTATGATTAGCGATTTATATTTGACCGAAAATGGATTTAAATGAAAAAGTTTCAAGTGACATATATAGTTCTAGGACTGTTGTGGATTCATCAATCAACCTGTGTTAAAAAAAAGTAAAGCAGTAATAATAAATTCTTGTTCAGGGTTACCACAGTACTTGAAAGTCCTTGAATTTTGCTGTAAAAATCAGGTGTAATTTGATGTACACACAATATAAAATTAGGTATTGTGAATCATATTTACACAATTTAAAATGTCATGCCTTGTGATTCATGATCTATTTTAAAGAAAATAAAGTTTGCTCAATCTTAATTTGTTATTTGTCAAAATGTACTACAAAAGATTTTATTTTGTTCAAAATACATTACTGATATTCTGAGGTAATAAAAATATCTTTTGTTTTTGAAATTGAAACAGTTAGGCTAAATATTTTTTTTTCAATTAATTTGATATGCTTGATTAAATTTTACATGAAATAAAGACTGGTCTCAGTCTTTAAAAATTGAAGAGCATACTGTCAATATTAAAAAAATTGAAATACTCAAGTTGATATAAATCACAATGTAGCGATCAAACTATTTCCATTGGTTGCTTGGGCTGCACATATTAAAAAATTGCTACAACTATTAAACAATTCAAAATTGATATATATGCTTCTTATATATTGATAAATATGCTGGGAATCCTGAGTTAATATACAGAAATTTCCTTTTTTAACACAATAAACATACCATAACCAATAAAAAGATCAGTTATTGTGTGTTGTATTGTAAAGTGTTAGTATGTGTAGTGTTAAGTGTTTATTATCATTCTTTATTTTGTCTTCGCCGCGAAATCCAAATTTAATGTTGCTTGTTAAACCTAGGCAACTATGTTTCAATTTTATTAACAAATGAAATTACATTAAAAGATTTCCTACTGTCACCATAATTGTTTATTTTTGTTGTAAAATGATAGTCATATCCAGTTGTTTGTCTGCTAGCGATGGGATCGCTAATTTTAGGGCAAATTGAGTTTTTTTTAAACCCTTTTTTCTTCAATATCAGCACACATCCAACTAAACTACCTTCTACCTAGCATAAGTTATGATTATATTGTTGTCTGCTTCTTATTTTATTTTTTCCATGCAAACATTTTATTTTATTGCATAAATACTTTTTTTTTAATATTACAAAAAATATGAAAGTATCCACAAAATTGGAAAATCTCTTCCAATGTATATGTGTGTGTGCATCCATATTATCTAACTATGCTATTTTTTTCTTAATGGTACTCCATTAAGAAGAAAATATTCACTTTGTCTAAGCAAATTTGACACTTTTTGCATGTAGACATAGACATGGTGCATAGTGCTTTTAAAAATTGCTTAAAGGTGCTAATTTTCATTCTTTAAAGGTCCTGAAAGGTGCTTTTTTTCATGGGGTGTTTTTAAAAAGTGCTTAATTTTCCTTTTTTGAAAAGGGAATGTTGATTTCCTCTGCGTATTATGTAAAAGCATGCTTTTGACGTTGTTCTATTCAGCATTAGCGCAATTTATTCAACCACAACCTATTTCAGTGTACCATTGGTTGTTGGCCTATGAAAAAAAAAATCATTTTACATGTTTGATGAAATACTTACGAGTCCGCATGCGCATCTACTAACCTAGGTTCGGTGAGATTATTGCACTCTCATGTGCAACTCTGTTACATTTTGCTAGATATTCTCAATTTCAGGCTTCATTTTCCACCCTCTGATATTGAACAGAAAAATCTCTTAATCATTTTATCATGATCATGTAAAGTCTTTGAAAATTATTTTGTTAATGTATATAGTACTTAAAAATATTTTTTGAGTGCTTAAAAAGTACTTAAAGGGGGTTATTTTTTGTTAAAAGATTTGGCTACACACCCTAATAGACCTTTTTCTGGGGCTGGGTGTTAAAGTTTTGAGATATCACTTAAGTGTTTAAAGGTCTGATAGAGTAATGTGTAAAGATCTGCAGTCAAAAGGTAATATATCTTTCTCTTTTGCATAATGTCTTTTAATCCTATAATCAAGTGTTAAGTTAACACCTCATGGGCTTTGCTAAAGCATTTTCCTTACTAAGGAAATAAAAATTTCTTTTAACTTTAGTTGATGTTTATTAACTGAAAAATAGAATTATAATTTTTACTATTTTTGTTTTTCCATTAAAGTGCTTTATTTCTGTAGGTACAAGAGTTTTAAAAAGCAAAAAAAGAAGCAATTATCTGTTGCTGCCCCATCAGTTTCTGCTCAAATGGTTGAAAACCAAGTCAAGATTTATATGGATAATAGTAATGTGATGCGCTCAGTAAATGCAACATACAATAAAGTAACTATTTTTCTCCATTTTCATGTAAACTTTTATTTTACTAACTTTTTCAATTTTAATAATGCGGACTCTAAAATTGATATACATAGGGCATCCGCACACCTGGAAAGTCATGAATTTTTGTATTGAACAAAATTTGTCATGATTTTAACCAATTTTTAAAGGAAATCATGGAAAGTCATAGATTTTAAATGGAATTTAAAAAATCTGCTCCGAATATCTGAATTTGTAATAAAATCTCCACTCACAGTCATATTTTAATAAAATATAAAAGGTTTTTATCATGTTCTTTAAAAGTTATGGTGTTCTTCAAAAAATGAGGGGAAAAATCATCATTTCTAGAGCGAAATACCTTTTAAACTTCTGTGATTTCAGAATTTTGTTATTATTATTTTTTTTTTATCAATTTAAAATTCTAGCTGAAGCAAGCCAGTCATTTGGCGAATTTTTTTATTCCGAAATGAGAACAGAAAAATCGGGTATTTCTTTCCTTTCAGATGAATTAGAAAAGTATCTTTAGAATATAATTCTGCAAAAAAAAATTATTTGCTTTAGTATTTTTTTCAGCTATTTTATTGCTTCAACTCTTTCTTTACTCTATTTTTTAAATTTAAAATGTATAAATATGAAGATGCTGAGTATAATAGTTTTGGTCATTCTATCATTTCAATTTATGTTATTATAATGCTTTTTTCTTGTTCTGTTTTTGTTGGAGAAAATAGTAACTTCATTAACTCATGAAAATTCTAGGAATTAGTCATGAATTAGAAAATCTAAAATGTAGCAGATACCCTGTATACATTGGTTTGCTCTATTGATGAATGATTTGTATTAGTGATGTAACGAATAGTGATGGGGCCGAATACCGAATATTCGGCCAAATTTTAGGCCGAATACTTACTTTTTAAAAATTTCTCTTTTGATTGTAATTAAAGTAATTTTCAAATTTTAAATTAAAAATGAAATAAATATTAACAAATTTGCTTTTTTAAACTTTCTATATTTCAGATAGTATTCACACTTCTATTTAACAAACTATATATATTTGTATTTTAATGTAAAAGATTCCAATGCTTGTTTAAATACATATGATAATAAATTTGCGACAAGAAAACGTTTTTATTTATGTAACGACATTATTAAATACACTTATGTATTATACAACTTAAATTGAGTAAATGTTAGATTTTCTAATTAATGCAGTGAAATGTAACTCTGCAATATTCATGATTAAATATATTCAAAAGCACAATTAAAAAAATATCTTTCTTTATTATTATGAATTTATTATTATGAATTTATTCAGCCAAATATCTAATAATATTCATATTCAGCCGAATAACTTCATTATTTGGCTGAATGACTTCAGTATTCGGCAAAAGGGCCGAATATTCGTTACATCCCTAATTTGTATTTATTTTCCTGCAGTTTTTCATTAATTTAGAAAAAAAATTAAATGCAGACGAATTTCTCTATTTTGCTATTTTTTTCGAGGGGCCAAGAACTTTTTAGAAATTTCTTCATAAAATAACTTTGAAATTGCAAAGTGAATTTTCTATTTAACGAACTTTTGAGATCTACTTTGCCTATTTCCCCAAAAAATTAAAAAAAACATTTTAAACTTGTTAACGCATTTTTGGAGGGAAATGACCTTGAGTTGTTTTTTGTAGCCAGTTAACTTTCAGAGAAAGCAGTAAAATTCCTTTCCTTCTTTGTTTGCATTTCAAACGAAAAACTGAGACAAAATTTACGGATTTTAACAGTATTACTTAAACTTAAAAACGCCTGTGGTAATGTATGTTTAAAATTACTTTTATAATAAATGCAGCTATAATTTTATGCATAAATTTAGCTTTTTTTAGTTGAAAATGTATGTAGCATGTACTGGATATTGTTTTGCTCTTTTCTTGCTTTTCATGTTTGTAGATTTCTTTTATGATTAAGATTTATAAAATAAATAGTAGATACTAGTTTACAAGATAAAGGTTTATCAATTGCTATTTTAATTATGTCTAATGTTTATGAATATAAAACTTGCTTTCTGTTAAGTATTTCAAAAGGTAATTTTCTATTTAACGAATTTGCCATATAGCAAACTTATTGTCTAGATTTAGCAACTTTGTTAAATAGAGGTCTGACTGTATTTGTATGTGACAATTTCTCCCTTGACATGTGTCTCTTTTTTATGGTAAAATGTATTTTATTGGATAATTAATATGCTTTACTGCACTTTAATAGATGATTTTTAATCATTGAATGTTTCACTCTCATTTTCAAGTTTTTTGAAAGGGATCTGCACTATATATATGCATATATATATATATATATGTATGTATTAAATTTGTAAAAATCTGCCCATTATGCAGCTCTAGTGCGACGTAAATTAACAACATCAACATTAAAAATCAAGCAGTTTATATATTTATTTATTTATTTTTTTGGCTATTCTAATTTAACCTTATCTTTATATTTCATAGATGTAGAAGTGTCCTTATAAGTGTTTTCTCATTGTTCGTTTGACTTGTGTTTTTTGTGTATTATCAGTTTTACATCTTGATTTCAATATTTGAATTTTTGAGGTATTGCATTTTCTTATTTAGTTTTCCATTATGAGGGTCTTGGGGGCACAGTAAGCTTTTGGTTTAGCCACTGACTACAGAGGGGCTCCAGTGTGTTAGCAGACTTTGTCCCCTGATGAAGTGCTATTTTTGCTAACATATATATCTTTACAATTTTATTTTGCTTACTTTTGGTTTCTAACTTTTTATTTAAATTATTTCTGTAAGACAAATGTGGTTTTAGCTGCTGTTACCACTTTTCCATTTTGGCTTATTATTTTAAAGTTTTATCCTAATATCCTAAAATTTTTATGTTAAAATTTGTTTAAATCAATTTCATATTTTGATTGGATTGCTGACATTTTGACTTATTTAAAAGTTTTATCCTAAAATTTTTATCTTAAAATCTGTTTAAATCAATTTCATATATTGATTGACTTGATTGGTGGGGCGAATTAATAGTTGTGAAAGGATACAGCAAAAAAGAAAATCAGCCATCATTATAAAACCGGAAAAAATATTGGACTTAATTATACAGTGTGCATTGCATTTTTAAATGGTGCTTATTTTTATTTTTTAGAAGTGCTTATTTCATTGGGTGTTTTTTAAAAGTGCTCAATTTTTCTTTTCCAAAATGACCACGTTGATTTTTACCACAAATTATGCAAAAAGACATTACTTTCGTATTTTATTTTTTTTTAATTATTGCATACTTTTTATTAGTTATTGTATTGTTACTTTTAAAATTTTCTGTAGTCTTAAATTGTTTTATGAGATAACTCAATAATATTTTGAGGAAAGGCTTTAAAATGTGAAGGACTTTTAATATTTTACAGGGTTCCCACGGTCCTTAAAAGTCTTTAAAAACTGCATAATTTTTATTTTGGAAAATAACGGCCCTTAAAAGTACTTAATTTTGGTACAAGGTTTTTAAATGTCCTTAATTTTTCTTTATCACTATAGTTGATGCGAAAAAATTTTCAGTTCAATTTTTTAAAACAAAATGTGGTTCTTTTATCACTTAGGCCGGCCACACACTGAGGAGGCAAGCGAGAGGAATACGGAAGGTGGGGTAAATTTGTTTCCCATAATTTTCTACTAGCAAGTGCACATTGAGGGAGTGAAGATTTTTTTCCCTCCGGGAGGCTAAGAACTCCCCCAAACCTCTCAAATAGGTTCCACCCTATTTTCGCCTCTCGTAAAATCTTGCCTCCTCTTCACGCGAGATTTTGTTTCACTCAAAATAAGGGATGATCCTGAATTGAATTAACAATGTTAGTTATAAATGTAATGTTATGGATTTAAATGTTATAAACAATATTTCTTATGAATAAATTAATTTAATTATTTTTCACTTAGAATTTGAAAATTAAATAGGATCTGTACTAGTTTTGCATCTACTTTCTATTTTCTAAAGAGGAAAAAAAATCTTTTTTTTTTTCAAGGTTATGTGCAAAAAAAATTTAACCTAGTCTAAAATGTTCTCATAATTAAAATAACTTTTAGTATTAGTACTGTTAATGCATGTTTTTTTCTTAAATTCAAGTTGAAATTTAGCTATGGGCAATGATTTTTATGGATTTTTAACTGTGAGTACAATTTTAAGTCCAAGAGTATACGATAGCAAAATTATTTTTGAATATATGGGGAAAATGTATAGAAATTTACCAGTATACCAATATAGAAATTTACCAATATAATTTTTAATTATCATAAATTATGTCTAAATTTTCACAAAATAGGTAGATCTCAAAAAAAACTTAGACAAACCCCTGCTTATGAAAAAACTTTAATTGATCTCTTAATGATTTTATTTGCAAGCAATTGAAATAAAATATTCAATTATCCCAGATTTGTCAAATATGAATGTAGGGACCATGTGAAAATTCACTTCTGACAAAAAATTTTATCTTCAATTTTAATCATTTAATTTAAGAAATATTGAACCAAGTAACAAATAATAATAAAAATTTGTTAAAGTGCCATTCACTAATTTACAGTTGTAATATGAATTTATTGGAGTTTTGCTTAATTCTTTGCATATCTTTATAAATTTGGCATGATGAATAATAATTAATTCATTAATGTTTTGTGTAATATGTTTTTATAAGTAACTTTTATTTAAATCTAAAGAATACACTTTATAATCTTTTTAAGTAATAATAATTAAATCAATTAAAATGTAGAAATAGAATGAGGCACTTAGTATTAAATATCTTTAAAATTGAGTATAAATTATTTTTATGTTGGCTATAATTAAGAAAACAGTTCTTTGTCAGAAATTAGTTATTTTATCATGATCACGTAATGTCCAAATTATTTTAATTTTGTTAATGTATTTATAACAAACTTTCAAAAATAGGAGAAGAAAATTATTTTGCATTTTGTTTAAATAGTGCTTAAATGTATTTTTTGAATGCTTAAAAGGTGCTTATTTTTGTTGAAAGATTTGGCTATGCACCCTAACAGTAGCCATAGAATTCTTAAATGAGGAGTTATGGAATCATCAACTAAATTACTTTTGTATGAAAATGTATTAAGGCTTACTCACTGTGTTTTCATTTCAAGATTATTGAAGCCCTATTTTAAAATCATGAGAGTTCATTCTAATCCTGATTTTCTTGTTAAAAAATACTTTGTCCAGATTTTTAGATTTTTCCCCTCGTATTCTTGATTCTGAATATCTCGTTTTCAATTTATATCAATAATTTGAAATATTCATAATCAATTAAAAGAATGTAAAGATTTGAATTTTTAATTCTACATCATTTTGATTTTAATTAATTTCTTGAGTACAGATTGCAAAATTTGACAGTTTAAACTTAGGGACCATTCAGGTGCATTATCTCTAATTTTTTAGGAGTTTAGTCATTTTACAAAAATGAAACTCAATTCACAATTTTATATCATCAAGTTTTTATACATTTTCTTAGATTTTTCAGGTTATAAAAATGATTCTTTTTAGGTTTTATTTTTTATTCCTTTAGGCTTTTAAAATGTTATCTTAAAAATTTCTCTTAAGGTTAATGTTATCTTAAATGTCATCTTAAAATCTTAAGGCATTAAACATTTATTAAAACATGTTTCAAAAGATTTAAATTTTTTTCCCTTCATTTAAATATGACTCTTGTTATTTAAATACATTTTTTTTCTCTCCTTTATTTTATTGGAAAGCGAGTGGATGCAGGTTTTATGTGATATCTTAACAAGGTTGCCACTCAGATACCTGAATAATACAGAAAATTCAAAAATTAACAGGGAATTTTTTTTTTACAAATGGAAAACACAGAGATTTTTTCTTTTCTTTATTTTTGTCTTTTTAAAAAAAAATGGGGATCCCTCAAAGGGCTATCTGGTATATTTAAGGAAAATATTTTGTCTATACTAAATTATTTTATTTACTTTGTGGGGATAGTTGTTATCGACCATGTCAACCTTCATCTATGAAAGGTTACCTCACCATCATAAGGTTGCGTGTTCAAATCACGTCCGGGTCACCAATGTGGGCGAATAGATATCGACAATGTCAACCTTCATCTATGTAAAGGTACTCCATTATCAAATCGAGTTAATACGTCTTATATACTAGTGAATTGGAATTGTATTTTTGTAGTGGTAGGTACACTACAACTTATAGCATTTAAGTATGTTCAGCTGTTTAAGTTTTTGCGGGAATTAAAACTAGTATAGTTACAGGGTATTGGTGCACCTGGAAAGTCATGGATTTAGATCCTCGTAAAATCTAATTTTTAAAATGGAATTTACTCCCCCAATTACACAGTGTTCCGATATTCCCAATATCTGAATTAGTAACAAAAATCACACTCACAGTCATATTTTATTAAAATATGAAATGTTTTTATCGTGTTCCTTAAAAAAATTTTGGTGTTTTTTCAAAAAATGAAAGAAAGAACATCATTTCTAAAGCGAATTATCTTTTAAACTTTTATGATTTCAAAAAATTTTTTCAGTCAGTTATTTTTATTTTTTTATTTTATCATTTTAAAGTTCTAGCTGAAGCAAGCCAGTCATTGGCGAATTTTTTTATCCCAAAATGAAAACAGAAAAATCGCTAGTATTTCTTTCCTTTCGGATAAACAAGAAAATTATCTTTAGAATATAATTCTGCAGAAAAAAAAAGAGAAAAAAATTATTTGCTTTTGTATTTTTTTCAGCTATTTTATTGCTTCAACTCTTTCTTTACTCTATTTTTTAAATTTAAAATCTATAAATATGAAGATGCAGAGTATGACAGTTTTGGTTATACCCTATCATTTCAATTAATGTTATTATAATGCTTTTTTAAATTTATTGCTGTATTTTTATAACTTTGTTGTATTTTTATATTGTTGTATTTTTATAGTAGTAACTTTGTTAAGTCAGGAAAAATTCTTGGAAATAGTCATGGATTTGAAAATCTAAAATGTAGCAGATGCCCTGTAGTTAGCCCAATATCGCTCCGTACTGGAACATAGTAATTCTGTCCTCTTAATACGTACAGGGAAAATGCAGATAATTTTTTTTTTCTTTCCAGAACTGTGTGGCAACCCTGATTAAGGAAAATTATTATTCTTTTATCTATTATCATATTCTAGTATTGCGTTAAATTTAGGTTTTTTATTATATATATATATATTTCTTTTTAGATGTCTCAGGGTACAGGTGATTTGTCGGACGTTGACGTTATGCTAGATTCATTTGAACACAACCAGAGTCAGTCACAAGATTGTGAGCCATCACCTCCCATACCACGACATGGATCAAAAACAAACTTTTTCAGTTCTTCAGAGAGCAATCGTGCTTATGTGATACAGCAGAGCAAACCATGGTCTCCTTATGGGGGTGCCGGACCACCGACCCCCAGGGCCCCTCGAGCATCCATTCCCATGGATGAGCGGCAGTCCGCCATGCCGCGATCACCCGAGGGTTTCCCTCCCTGGGGTGTTGTAAATAGTCCCCATTCCTCCCGTACTCCACCACGCAGTCTCACGAGCCCAGTCGTAAATGCCGAGGGTAACAGGATGCATTCACCTTCGAGGAGAGGGTCGAGCCCCAGTTCTCCAGCCTCGCTGACTCCTGGACAGTCACCTGTTGCAGTAAAAAGGCAAGCTGGAGGATCTCGTAGACCCACGCCACACTATTATGGCTACCACGCAAACGTCAGGACTCAGAGGTCGAGTTCGAGAAACATCAGCCCCAACAGAAAGTTTGCTTCTGAAAGTGAATTGGCTCGTGCCGCAGCTGATAAGGCTAACGGTAATTACGAAGCGAGAGCCAATCAAACAGCAGATAACATTCAGGAATTGGCTGATTCCGGACCCTCTTGGGACGAGAGGGTGCGTTATCTGCAGCGAGGCCAGGACTGTCAGTACATGCATGGGGTGCGTGTGAGCAGTTCTTCGCGTCGGACTAATGCCTCTCCTCAAAGTAGGCGTGGTAGCAACCATAAGACACCCCCGATGGAGGCATCGCCAGTGAAGCCACATCCGAGACGGCCTGTCTCCATCGTGAAAGCTCTCGAACTCACCGAGAGTTATGAGAAAAGTGGACTCAAAGCGGATTCACACTCGAGGCAGTGTTTGCAACAAAATAAGCCTTCTAACGCGGAACAAGATGATCGCAAGAGTTTATATGAAATGAATTATGAGATATCTGTATAGTACATGTTAAGTTACAATTGGGATGCCTTCCCGCACTGTTATGTTTATGGGAGGGGAAAAAAGAAATATACTTTCATAAAAAGTATGAGTAACTCTTGTTAATTCTACTAATAAAATCACTTTGAAGAAATAATATTCTTAGTAATATGTAGTTAGTCGGAGAAGCAGCATAACAAAATAGTTGATGAATTTTAATACATATCTGTAGGATAAAACAATTACAGTTGTTCTGCCATTCCCCTATTTTAGTGCATTCTAAATTTTCAAAAGATATATTGATTAAAAATTGAGGTGACGTTCGATATAGGCACACCTATGGCCCATTTATAAATTAAGGTTCCTATGTTCTTAGTGCCTAGAAATATCGCAAATATTTACTCATAAATATGAAGCTAATTTTAACAATAAATGCTTAACGTCTCGTGATTATTAATAAATTAATTCATCTTCAGAAATCTTATTTTGTCATTTCAAAGAAAACTGATTCATCTTTTAATTATTCGATTTTAAAGCAATCAAAATTATCAATTCAATAATCACAGAATTGCTGAAGATAATTAGTTAAGGGACCATAAAATATTTCATCTTTGACTAAAATGTTTAGCTGCAATTCTTATTGTGTTTTTATTTATTTTTTTAGCTTTTTTTTTTAAATTCAGTACCTAAATAAAGTTTATAACAAAAAAAATGTTGAATTTTGTCTTCAATATTTTTTTTAATAAAGTCTCCAGCTTTTTAATCTTTGCATTTTTAAATTTTTATTGATTATAGAATCCAAAGAAAAATTTTATAGTAATAAACATTTAATAAGCGGTCATTCAATGACTTACATTTGTAACATTATTTTATTTAGGTTTTCTTATTAGGTTAGGGTTGTTCAGTTAATTGTAATTGTAATGAACATTTAATAGTAATAAAAATTTAATAAGCAGTCATTCAATGACATTTAATGGTAATAAGAATTTAATAAACTGTCATTCAATGACTTATACTTGTAATATTTTATTTAGGTTTTCTTATTAGGTTTATGACTAATTCACAACCAGTGGTTGAAAAAACATTTTCTTTGTAGTTAACTACAAATACTATTTTTAAATGTAGCGACTATTAACTACTTTCGAAATGTAGACCTTTTAATTCATGTTTACATGAAATAGTTTTTTTTTATTTTTAAGTACTTTTTGCTAATTTGTTCCTCAAACTTTTAAACTCTATACTTTTCTTGACAGAGATTTACCAGTAGTCCTAAAATGGACCTTTTTTACAACCTCATCTCGTTATCACAATTAACTTTTAATCTAACTTTAAGGTGAAAAGACTTTTTAGTGTTGTTACAAAATTTACTTTTTCTTGCTTTAAAAAGTAATTTTAACTGGTTCATCTTCGGTATCGTGATTATCATTATGTGCCTCATACCCTACAACTGCTGTGGAATTTCCGTAGTTTCAAGAAATGTTTTTCTTTCTATTAATATCTTAAATGTTTTAAGTACTTTTTGCTAATTTGTTCCTCAAACAAATTTTGGAAAAAACCATTTGAAAAAAACATTATACGCAGACCTCAAATTGAAATAATAAATGCAATTAAATGAGCAACTATTGAAAAAATTGGGGCCTATAATGGACCCCACTTTACCATGCAAAGTTTAAATAATACGTTACCGGGAATGGCCGAAATCAAGAGAATGTGGACTTTCTCCGGTGATTGTCAACAATCAGATTGATGGTCGCTTTGGTGAATGTCCAAAATATTTGTTATATCCGATTTGATACTAATTTATTCTTCGATATTATCATTTTTTTCGATATATTAATATCAGCTGAGAATAGATTAGATAAATCAGTGTTCAGAGTGCCACTTAAATGCATAATGGGCAATGGCACTTAAAAAAACATCAATTTAAACAGTGGCACTTAACCAGACCTAGTATGTATTTCGGACATGGACCAAAGTGACTAAGTGATTGTAAACATTAGTAGTAGTCGGAGTTGAACATTAGTAGTCGTAAACCCACTCAATTGGGTTGACTGTTCAAAGACAGTTATAAAAATAAAATATATGAAACCTTAAATTATGGTAGGGTTATTAAAGATTCCGTAATAGGCAGGATATATATATATATACTGTACTTAAAATCATAAAACTGATTATTTAGAGGTGAAATTAGAAATATTTGTTATATCCGATATATTACTTTATTTGTTGATATTATTATATTTATTCGATACTTTAATGTCTGCAGAGGATAGATTAGGAGAAACACCAGTGTTTGGAGTACAAGCTAAATGCATACTGGGCACTTGACCTTGAAAAAAACATTGATGTGGGGCATACCGGGCCAATGTATACTGGGCATTGGAATTTAACGAGGACGGACATTAACCAAAGCGACTACGTAATTGTCAACAAACACCGGTGGAAGTCGACAACCACCCATTTCTGTCCTTCACAGTAACAGATACACTGTAATCAGAATGGCAGACCAACACATGTTTTAGCCAACAGATTATCTGTACAAAATTTTAAAACAATCGTGGACATTTTGTGATAGCTTTTAAATATTTGTTTCCAGTTTTTATTGCAAAAATAAATATTTGTGTTGACACAAGAATTGTTTCCCAAGAGTGGTTGGCATCCCTTTTGCACTCTATACTCAGATTTGATTCTTTAGGATGTGTATAAATATGGAGCAATTTCTTAAATTATTAGAGCTAATAAAATGATACAGTGGTTTGTTTTTTTTCCCCTTCTATTTATTAAAAAAATAACGTATCACAAAATACACACATAAAAAAAAGACATAATATATACATATGTGTTGATGTTCTATCAGTTCCACTCTTTATCCTCTTTTTCATTTTTATGATCTAGAAGGGGAGAGAAAAAATTATTTTTAACTAAAAGAGAACTTAAAGTATTACTAATTGCTTTAACAAAATTAGGATTAAAAGTTACGTTAATCAGTCACGTTAATTTGAAAGTTGAAGACTATTAAAAAACAACGAAACTCCATGAAATCACATTTTTTTTAACTAGTCTTGAAATTGCGTCTATTGCTATTTCTATGCTGATAAACCATAACTCAGTAACAGCATGATCAGTCCCAAGGTCGGATTTACGAATAAGCTGTAGCTTGGGGCCCCGAGATGACAAGGGCCCCCAGATCCTACTTTCCCCCCTCTTTTTTTAAAGTTTTATTCAGAGCTGGGGCCCTCAGAAGCCGAAAATGCATTTTTACATTGTCGGACATAATAAATATAAATAAATGACTGAATAAAACAAAAAACTTCGTTGTCACTAGTAGGGTACATATCATCTTTCAAGCAATTTGAGTAATAATAAATTATTTATAAATAAACAATTTTTTAGTTTAAAAGGTAAAAAAGTTTTTTTTTTGCCCCATCATTCGATCATCAGACTATTTAATATCTGTTTCTAAGGATCAGAATTCCCTTTTATTTTACTTTAAAATTGTACAAATGATATATTTAATGCTTTCATGTGATATGCAGCAGTTTTAAACAGCACTTTAAAATATCTAAAAAAGGACAGAAATTGTCAGTTAAAAAAAAATTAACTAATACTTTTGAATAAGAATTTAAATAACTACACACGTTTGTTTTGCTATCTCATTCTATATAGCATTATTTAGAGTAGACAGTTGCGTGTGGGTGTGATGATGACGTAATAAAAGAGGCATACAAAAAAAGCAAATTTCATTTCAGTTAAAATCCTCAATATCATATTTTTAAATTCCTCGAAAATGTAGTAAAAGAGGTATACAAATTAACTGTCGCAAACAAATTAATATTAAGTAAGAACGAAACAAAAATGATATCGAAATATGCTGAATCACTAATGAGACCGGGATGAAAGACATCGAAACCTATTTGATTGAATAGTATAACTAGAAGGTGTTTCTAAAATTCTGAAATCTATCAGGCTTTAATTTTTTTTTCTGTCACAAACTTTATCAGTAATTAAAAATAATAAATTCGTTAGATTTCAATATTGGTTCTGTTTTTTCGTTGATTAAATGTTAAACATTAACAGATATTTGTCTTTTAAAACATTTCATTCTATAATAAGATAATTATTCTACAATTGTAATTATCTAAAACTAATTGATATAAAGCTTTAGTGTGTTCCATTGATATGTTGAATGCTCGTTTTGGCTGGATGCCCGGGACAGTCGCTCTTTCACATCCTAGCCACTATACACCATCAAGAGCAGAGCTGATACTTTAAACCCGTATGACATTTATTCTCTCTGATATTTAATAGACCCTTTAATAAATCCTTAAAAATATAAGCCAAAAATTTACATAAATAATGACAATTTTTTTCTTGCACTAAAATTTAACAAATGTACTTAAAATAATTAAAAAGAAAGCAAACATAATTAAGAAATATTTTCAATATAAACATCAATTAAATAATATCAGCTAACGAAATGTTCTTTTTATTGTTGAAATGTTTTTCACCTGCTCCAGGGACTGCTGGATTGGGTTCAAAATGACAAGGCTACGGAGTTGAATGTTAGTAGTCGTAAACTCGAAATTGGGTCGGCTGTGCAATGACTTATAAAAAAAACTAATAAATTTGGCCGGGATAGCCTGGTTGGTAGGGCGTTGGACTCGTGTTAGTGAGAATGGGAGTTTTAATCCAGCCGGCAGAAGAATACCCATGAATAAAATGGTGACTGGTACATGTTAAATCTGTCGGGGTCACAAAGTCCTCCAAGTTCTCATAACAAATAAATACCTCTAGGTACTAATCTAGCAGTTCCCTTGTCTTCGACAAGGCTACGGAGTTGAATATTAGTAGTCGTAAACTCGAAATTGGGTCGGCTGTGCAATGACTGTTATAAAATAAACTAATAAGTTTGGCCGGGATAGCCTGGTTGATAGGGCGTAAACTCAAAATTGAGTCGGTTGATCAACAGCGGTTATAAAAAAATAAAACTAATAACCAAATTTTATTTTGTTTTCTTTCTAACTCTTTGCATATTTTCTACGTACATTCTAAGTCTTATAGATTTTGTAGCGCAAAGAATCATTAAAAATTGCAAATAAAACATATTTAAAATGAATCTAAAAATTTTTAAATATATAGTGGCCCAGCATGCCAAATTTTTACTCTGTGCTTAAAATGTGTTTCTTTTGTAACTTTTTCCCCTCGTTCAAAAAATATGTGCAATAAAAGAAAGGTTCTACATAATAGTCTCATCACAATTAATATATTTAACAATAAAGTAATATTATCAAATTTGATAACTGAAAGGCTTCTTCTACAGAAGAACTACCATAAAAGAGGTCACCAACATAGAGGAAATTATTCAGCATTTCATATGCAAGAGGATGCGCATTTTTATAAGCTTTAATATGAGTTTTGACAGTCCAATCCCTCAGTGGATCAATCGATCGTAAATACAGGGTTCCCAGCAAAAGACCCAAGTCCAGCATCACTGGTTGCGGTCACTAAGCGGGCGGGTGGGAACTGAGGGTACACGGTATCGGTCCTCGTTAAACTGTTCTACCGTAAAGGCGAGCAAAGCGGGGGAACCTTCTCCTATGCAGAGGATCAAAATTGCGATGGCATGTCTTCAGATCATCCTCAGGGATGTTTCCTAGACCGTCCTCAATAGCCCGTTGTGCAGCTCTAGTGCGACGTAATTAAAGTATAGTTCGTTCACCAGGAGTTGGTGGTATGCGACGATACTATTTCGCTATTTTTGGGAGAAGGTTGTGAGCAATCCTGAACAATCTTGCTATTTGGAGATCGTTTAACAAAAATATTTATTTCGCAAGCTTTATGTGCATTTTTTTAACAATAAATATTTCATAAATTTGATGATATTTTGCACCATTTTTTATGATATTTCTTTCTTTTGAGTGAATACTTTGTCCTTTATGAGTCATTTCGGTGGGAGTACAGCAGTTTTTAAATTTAAACTATATTTAATTAGCTAGTGTAACAAAATGTATAATAGTAGATGATAAAGCAAAGTAAGTGACTGAAAAAGAATTCACTTTTCGTGTTTGGCGCAAATTAAGGGTTGTCTCAATTTCAACAACGGAGATGTTTCTCTTCTAACTCCCGCGCTGAAATGAACTCTGCGTCCCAGGAGGTGGAGCCAAGTCTCAACTTCTGGTGAACGAACTATACCTACCTACCAACCACATGGTGCGTAGCGATTTCAAAAAGTATTCAAAGGTGCTTTTTTCATTCTGTGTTTTTAAAAAAGTGCATAATTTTCCCTTTTCCAAAATGAATGTTTTGTCAGGTATTATTCAGATTGTTGTGTTTCAATGTTTTCACAATTCATTCAACCACAATCTGTTTCGGCCTACCCATAGCGCATGAAAGCGCTGCAATCATTTTAAATGCTCGAGTTCCACTGAGCTGAATTTGGTGAGATTATTGCATTTTGCTAGATATTCTCAATTCATTTTCCACCCTCTGAAATCGCACCGAAAAATCCCTCGATCTTTTTATGGTGGTTAATATAATCAATAAAAAAAAGTACTTGGTCTGAAAATAGTTATTTTATCACGATCATGTAAAGTTTTTTGAAATTAATTTGCATTTTGTTAATGTATATAGTGTTTAAAAATATTAAGTGCTTTAAAGGTGCTTATTTCTGGGGGAGAGATTTGGCTACTCACCTTGTTGATACGGAATGTTTATTAACGAATGATAAATCTCCAATACAGTACCCCCAGAGGTGCAATGGGGGACTTTGTAACCCAACAGATTAAACGTGTAGTCACCATTGGGAGTTTGCGGCCGGCTGGTTCTCACGAACATGAGTCTAGCAGCCAGGCGATGCCGGCTCATAGATTTTACTACTTACCAAAAATGGAATGTGCCGTCGTCCAGCAAACAGAAGCAGGTATTCCCTTCCATATGAGAAGTAAAGTTGCCAAATGCTCATCTGGCTTTGAACCAAGTATCTAGAAAATTCATTGTTGTGGTTCGTAATTATTTTTAAATGATAAGTAATTCATAATATTGCATTAGTTTGTCCATCCTTTTGTACGCTAAGAATTTTCGAGATTGAATTAATAACTTTTTGGATGTGTGAATTGCATGCCTCTTTATTATGTTTCGAAGTATTTTGTATTTTCTAGCTGCTGTAATGCACTTTTGTGCACGATTATGTGCAATTCGAATATAGAAGTCATAGTGTTTAAATAAAATCGAGCGCACACTTGACGATAATTTTTTGTCCTTTTAAGAAAACAGGTGACTGTTGAAATTGTAACGCCGAAAATCATTACATATGGCGATTTATTGCTTTGCATTTGATTGTGGTGAATTTTGAAAATTTCTTAACGGACATTTCACAAGTAAGATAATTTATCACTTTTTGGAACTAAAATTATTTTATTTATAGTATAAATTATGTTTTATCAAAAAGATTTATTTATAATATAAATAATTATTTTTCTTAAAGCATCGTATTAATCCCGATTATTCCATTTTATTCATTCTAAAATTCAAATTTATACTTTTTAATTTATCTTACTAGTAAATATAAACAAATAAGAACTCAACTTAACCATAAAGTAATGATTATATATAACTAGTGGGCTGCTCGCTAACGCTCGCCAACCCCCGAAAAGTGCTACGCAATCTTAAATGGTTTGCTTCGCAAACCAAGCTCGCTTCGCTCGCTACTAACTTAGGTACGCTGCAAATGCACAAAATTCTAAGAATTCTAAACAATCATTCAAATCCATTTAAAAACTTTTTTTTAAAAAAAAAATTGCATCTTTTTAGTAAATACTAAGTCATTAAAATAAATTTGAATTCAAATAAATGACATGTAATTCGTTAAATCTATTAGAAATGTGCTATAGTATAATTCGTGATGTAAATCAAAAATCGTCAAATAAATTCGTGAAAAAAAGCGCTTTCGACAAAATACTAAAATAGAGATCCATCGGCAAAGACTACTCACTTCTGCCTAGCTTAATAGTATGAGATTGCCGCAGCTGATGCTCTCTGGTTATTTCTGTTTTTAAGACAAAAAAAATTCCACCTGTTTAAAAGCGATATATGTTGAGCCACCTCAGATAGATTTTGCATGTGACATTTTCAGCGGCAATCATTGGTCGATTTTCTAGTGATGCCATTCGGGGAGTTGTAATGAAGCTTTTATTTGCCGCCGTGTAAGAAAAATAGTAATGTAAACAAAACAATGCAAACGTTGCCATCGGCGGAAAAGAAATACAGCCAAAATTTGGGAGCCACGTAAGAAAATTATGTATATTGGATTATTAATAAAGAATTTCTTTTAATTTTTCTGCTTAAATGCAGTAGGCAAAGTCAAGACAAACACTGTTGTTTCTTTCCTTCTTCGTTTATTTACGTTGTATATTTTACTCTCTCTTTAATGTTTTCGAAAGAATGTTTTTAAATTTGACTACCTGAAAAATCCATTCTTGTAAATCTTTGCGAAAATTCCAAATACTTGAAGAAATATCTATGATTTTACATGATGCTGTACTATTGTAAAATCTGCAATAGATTAAAATTTAAGTGCGTTTTTAGACTTTATTGAAAAGCTAATAAAAAGTTATTAGATATTATTAATAATTTTGTTAAATTCGTATTAGGCTTACGACCTGTTAGAATTCATATAAGTTACTGAAAACTCTTATGAATGGTAAAATTACAACAATAAAACTTCTCAGGTTATTGAGCCTGTTCACACATTGCCTCGTAAGCGAAGGGATACACCGGAAATCTTCGAAATTTCTTCCGGTTTTAGTAGCTTGTTTATATTCAGTCAACCATCCATAAAATATACTTCTGGCCAATAACAAAATTTCCTAATTTAGCTCGATTCTTGAAGGTATGGCACCTTCAAGTGACGTCATTAATGGCTCTATATTTTAATGTTAGATGATAGATCAGTCTTTGTTTTTGGAATGAATGCATACCTGGTGAGCGGCTTGCAATTTTCCTTCTGTCGTCAAGTCGTCCCTTAAAAGACAGAGTGTAGCTACATAGACTCTGAAATCTATGACACCTGTGTGTCGCTGCAATGTAAAAAAAGGTGAGTGAATTGCTTGCAGTGAAAACTCCCTTAAAAGATGCGAAATGTGCAAAGGTAAGTAAGTTAACTGACCATAAAAATATAATTACTTGGAAAGATTTATTGCTCCAAAAAAAATACAGCAATGTAAGAATCACTGTCAAAACCTATCTCGCAGTGGACTAATCGTAAAGACACGGTTCCCAGTCAAACACCGAGTTCAAGCAGCACTGGCTGCGATCAGTAAGCGGATGGGTGACCACTTGGATCAGCCTGCGGAGGAACCGAGAGTGCGTGGTATCGGTCTTCGTTGAACTGTTCTACCGTAAAGTGCTCGACTTCGCGCGCAGGTCGTTGGGCTACCAAAGCAGGGGTGCCTCTGCAGAGGATCGAAATTGCGATGGTATGTCTCCGAAACATCCTCAGGATGTTTTCCAGACCGTCGCCAACAGCCCAGCTCTAATAAAATATAAATAAAGTATCTACCCACAATCATACCGTGCAATAAATTAAGCAGCATATAGTCGTAGATGTCTGCCTGTGGTAAAGTGCGGGCAGGATCGGGACTCAAGGGTCGAAAACCTGCCTCTTACATATTTATTTATAATCATCGTTGAACAGCTGACTCAATCCTGGGCCTACTAATGTTCAACTCAGCCTTGTCATTTTGAACGAAACCAGAAGACAAGGGAAAACCTGGATTCAAGCATTGGGAGAAATATGTCTTCGTGGCGGACGTTTTTGATGGTCCACATTTGCATTACATGGGTATGGAAAACCTCCCACTGTTAGCCTGGCAGCAAGGGTACTCTAACCTATGAGTCGTCTAACACTGAAAATATTTTACGTCGCACTGTGGTCGGTGCGAGCTTGGTGCGGAATTCGAAGCCGGTTCACCTCATTGGAAGGCGTCTCTTATATGTAAAGGAATTCCTGTTCGGACATCGATTTGCCACAGACATTACAAAAACCGTGATATGACAGTTATTCAGATGTTGAGGAAAATATCGTTAAAATATCTTTTGTGGGGACATTTAATATGATTCTCCATCCTCTACTCGCTCTCAAGTCCAGGCTTATACACTGTTTTTCATAATCGCTTCATGGTTTGAACTCGCCCACTCTTTGCTTTTTTTTTCTCCGGAGCTTCCGCTACTAATGATTTTTGAATTCAATACAAGAATACAACGTTTTTATTTCATACATAAAAATTCATTTCACAATATCTATAAACTAATGAAAATACAACTGAATAATGATTAAATAATAAATATATATTTAATAATGTTATATATATTTAATTTTATCTTTAATGACATAATTTCCCCTCCGTCCCTGCTCGCACTTAACACTTCTTCCCAGAAGCCTCTACTACTAACGACATGCGCATGTCATTCAAAAGGGCTTTATTTTAAATTTTATTTAAAGAAACATTATGAAAATTTATTTTAACATATGTATAAATTAATGAAAATAAAATTAAACAAAGAATAAATAATGAAAATATTCTAAATAATATAAAGCATATTTAATTTTATCATTAATAATATAACTTTCAAAAATGTAATTTGAAATAATGATTTCTTTTTTTAAATGGTTCCTCAGAGGACTGATCGTAAAGAACACCGAAGTTAAGCATCACTGGTTGCGGTCAGTAAGCGGGTGGGTGAAAACTTTGATCAGATTGCGTAGGGACCGAGGGTGCGGGGTATCGGTCCTCATTAAACTGTTCTACCCTAAAGTGACCGACTTCGCGGGCAGGTAGTCGGGCTACCAAAGCAGGGGAGATATCGTCTCTGTTTCGGATCATCCAGGGATGTTTCCTAGACCGCTGCCAATAGACCACTTAGTAGCTCTAGTGTGACGTCAATAAAAAAGTTCTTTTTTTTTAAACAATAAATAAAAAACGCAATTTTAAAAATTGAATTTTTTTTCAAACTTTTTCTTTTTTGAATTTAATTTCAAATTTGAATTGTTTTTTCTAACGTAATTTTTATGTTAAATTTTTTTCATAAGATGATTCTAATGTCTCATGCAGTGACGGATCCAGCGAGGGGGTCATAGGGGTCACGACCCCCCCCCCCCAAAAAAAATTTTTTTTTTTAAATAATAATTTTTTTAATAATTTACAAAAGAAATAAAATATTTTAAAAATTATTTAAGGGGGCATATACACCTAGGTAGGTCGGAAAAATTGATTTTTTTTTCCTATCTAACTATGTTTTTCACAGTTTTAAGAATCATAATCCAAAAGATTAAAACGAAATTCGTCATAGTTTTATTGTATTCCTTTATTAGATAATATTTTAACAGATTTAAAGGACAGACTTTCCCCAGATGTGACGAAACTTTTTAATTACGAGTTTTTTTACCTCGTCAAACTGTTACGGAAGAAGATTTTATAGCCGTTCGTGAAACTGCCGAGTTTTATAAGAATCTCTCATATGCTTCCGTAAAAGTTGTCCAAACAGAATTTTGTCTTTGGGTGGCAGTGTGAAACAGAAGCAGGACTTGAAGTGCCTAACGATCTTTCCAAGATTATTAATGCCTGTGACATCGATTTGCACCCATCAATCAATATGTTGTTGAGAATTTGAATAACTCTGCCAGTTAGTGCAGCAACAGCAGAACGTTCCTTTTCAACTCTTCGACGTCTCAAAACTTGGCTTAGCGCAACTCAAAATCAAGAACGATTAAATGGACTCGCATTAGTAATCATTCATCGAGAAATTGATTTGGATGTTGAAAAAATCATTGACAGATTTGCTATAGTTTCTAAAAAACGTATTACATTTATTATTTAAAGATGGTTGAATACTTGAATTATTTATGTATTGTTCATTAGGAAAAAAATAAATGAGAAAACTAACATTAAAAAGCCCAGTTTTATTTTCCAAAAAAAATATTAAAAAAAATTTTTTTATAAAAAAAATTAATTGTGTGGGGGGGGGGGGAGAATCTGAGTCTATGACCCTCCCCAGGAAAAAGTTCTGGATCCGCCCCTGCATGTAGCAATTGTATATGTTGCCAGCAAAATTGGATAACTGGCATTGTGCGCAATGTCGAAAATTGTCCCACTGTGTAAGAAATTATTAAACATTTATCGCATTGCCTAGGCATTGNAGAATTTTAATAACTCTGCCAGTTAGTGCAGCAACAGCAGAACGTTCCTTTTCAACGTCTCAAAACTTGGCTTAGCGCAACTCAAAATCAAGAACGATTAAATGGACTCGCATTAGTAAACATTCATCGAGAAATTGATTTGGATGTTGAAAAAATCATTGACAGATTTGCTACAGTTTCTAAAAAACGTATTACATTTATTATTTAAAGATGTTGAATACTTGAATTATTTATGTATTGTTCATTAGGAAAAAAATAAATGAGAAAACTAGCATTAAAAAGCCCAGTTTTTTTTTCCAAAAAAAATATTAAAAAAATTTTTTTATAAAAAAAATGAATTNTAGTTGGGGGGGGGGGGATCTGAGTCCATGACCCTCCCCAGGAAAAATTTCTGGATCCGCCCCTGGTCTCAAGTAAGCATAGTTCACACTCCTTCTTCAAGCAAATATAAGCAAATCCCCCCCCCCTCCATCCGTTTGATGTGTTTACGATGATCAAAGATTTAATCATCGTAAATTTAACAAATATTTCATTACAGGACGTTCACCATACAATGTCCTTAACGAAGAACGATTTATTTTTAATTGATATCCATGCTTTTATCATAGGACACTCATCATAGAGCATCCTTATCGAAGAACAAACAAAGCAATTATAGAAACTATACATTAAGAAACGGTCGCCAAATTGGCGAACTATCTAACTTTTACATGGCGACGACAACAAATTCAGACATGACATTTAACAAGATGCTTACGTATGTTCGAACGGCCTCCCTATGAAATAAACTTACTTGATCTATTAAACGGCTAAAGTCTCTCACAACTTCGGGGCAGCGTTCCAAACCTAAATATACAGAGAATGCATTGGCATCTCCAATTGTTGATATTTTGCCTGATAACTTCTCCTCCTTTGGATCAAAGTAGCTGCAAAAGAAATTGGTTTTACAAAAAGTGAATACAAGTCTTTGGAGGGGCTTCGTGAAAAGTTTTGTAGAATTTTGCTATGTGCCACATTATAGACAGTGATGACAAGCAGTGTTGCCAGAAGTTAAGATTAAAAAGTAGCGAATGGGAGCTCCAAAAGTAGCGGATTCGAACATTTTGTAGCCCAAATGTATATATATATATATATAGCTTGGATAGCGCTATGATGAGCTTTGGATGAGCTATATATATATATATATATAGCTCAGCTTGGATAGCGCGTTTTTTCAAGCTTTTTTATATGTAAAAATCCGTCGGAACTGTCTTCGATATTTTAGTGTTGGTGCGGTTTTTGAGCTGCATAAGAATAATGGGACATTCTGTGAGAAAATATTTTTCTAAGAGGTTTCGACCTCAGCTCGATTCGTTCCCCAACCTCAAGAACCTTAATTACTTACAAATAGAAATGTTCTCACTAGCTAATTGTATTTAATGAAATTAACTTGCGTTTCGAGGAAATTAAAAATAAGACCTAATAAGGACCCAATCTCCAACAAGAAATTCAGAAAAGTTCAACTTCATGGGCCTACATCTGTGTGTATTTAAAAATAAAAGGCAAAAAATCTTTTTTTGATAAGCAAAATAATTTATTTAATCATTTCTGCTCTGAAGTTCGAAACAATACAAAGTACAAACATTCAGCTCGCAGATGAGAAATATGACTTTGCTTTTCTTTGTAACAGCATCAATAATTGTTTCAAACTCGATTGAGAATAGTTTTGATAGTAATTTAGTGAACAAATGAATATTTTGATTTGGACCACGTATGAAACAGTATTTTAAAGCGTCTACGAAGCAACAAATATTTTTAACTAATTTTTTTTTCATTTATAGTAGCCGTAACATCTGTTGTAAAGTTNTCTCGTATATTTTTTACTTATTCAAATATAAAAGTATTTATATATCTTTTCATTCAAGAAAGCATATTTAAAATTAAAATAAATAATAATAAATTGAATTTTACTTAATTTTGTTAAATTAGAACTAAAAAACAATCATAACATATATATTTGAAATTGATTTTATTTTAAAATCATTGTTTTTATTATTTTTTAAAATTTTTTTTTCAAAAAATTCATTTTAATGGGGCCTCTAATCATTGGGGTCCCTAATGGGTAATCTGCACTAATCTAAACTAAATCCGAAAATATATGTAGTTACTTTTAAAAGTCAATTAAATTCCTACTCACTCTACCTATTATCTTGCTCAGTCGTTAATAAAATACTTTTTATTCAAGCTCAAATACATTTTTTTGAAATTGTAGCAAATGACACTTGATGTTAATACAGTTTTTTCAAATAATAATTCATTCATTAAAGAGGGTTGAGCGAAAAAAGAAAAAGTTAAACATTTGGATTTTCGTTTCTCCGAAGCTATTAATTTAATTTCCATATTTTTAAGCTCAGAAATCGAAAAAATTCATTATTAATTATTCGTCGGAAAAAAGAAAGATATTTTTAATAGAGAGAACGTTTTTGTTTCAAAAGAGTAATAATTTTTTTTTTCTGGTTGCTACTCTTTTGTTCGTTTAAAAAAAATTGTGTCATAATGGATTTTAAATAAACAAAGTACCAAATAATTGATTACAATTAAATCAAAATGACATGCAATCGATTCAAAATTTCATGCAAACGAAAGGTTTCAAAGCTGAAACTATGAAATCAAGTTTTTCATTTGAAAAAGAAAAAAATAACTTACCCTACAGTTTTCTGCAGTCTCAAAAATTTCGCCATAGCAGCAGTTTGCGGAAGTTGCATATTTTTTGCGATATTCAAATATCTTGCATCTTCTAAACAGAATTTCGTAATTGGAGTACCTGTCATCCTAGATATTGAAAGAGTGATTTAAGTTGAGACACTATTGCTTAAAACGAAGTCCAGAATAGAAATAGAGAAGTAGTAATGATTCTTCAGTTTTTATTCCAATGAGTTCTTTTTTTTTTCATATTGAAAAAGGAAGAGAGAAGGGGAGGGATAAAAGATAAAGATATATATTCGAGTCCACGTTAAAACGATGCTCAATTTGAAATAAAATATCCGATGACTTTCTAAATTCTTTACGATGGCTAATTTATTTAAAAAAAAATAACATTTAATTTCTTTTTGTTCTTATCATTTTGCAATGTATTCCTTTAGAAAAATAGCAACATTAAATACTCTTTTCAGTTGAAAATGAATCGGAAATTATCTCATTACATTACTTCCATGAAAATGATAATTAAATTTTTATAAGGGGAAAAAACTGTGTTTTTTTGGAAATTTAAGACATAGAATATTTTTATGTGACATGTAAAAAATGATTGTTACATAGCGCGATATAACAATCACTATGAAGGTCAAAAAGTATTTGGAATGCTTCATTTAAAATTCACCTAAACATATATCGTCTGCTAGCTTTTAACAAACAATTCAAGGAAGGAAGGTATTTAATTTTATCGTTTGCAAATAAATTAGTTTCTAAATTAGAGAAAAATTTTCACTCCACTGAGTTTCCGAAATGACGGCGAATGTTATTGAACAATGAACACGAACTAATTTTGTTACCGCAATTGAATTTCTGCTACAAATGTATTTGAAATGCTGCTAAAATCTTTTAAAGATTTTTGTTAATCAAAAATCATCGGCTCTACCTGCTTCGACGATTTAGTTAACAATTTCTTAGGTTAAGTCCTATTTTTATTCGTGAAAATAGCTAAAACATCGACAAATCTCCAAAATTGATTGATTTCTTAAATATAATATCCAACAAATCCTCATCGTACTTCATTCTCGGTTGGCAAACAAAAATACGATAAAATAGAATATTCCCCAATGCTATGATAAACTACGCAAAGGAAAGTAACAGACCAATTTAATATGATTTCTCATTTTATTTGTTATTTTCACTTTTATAATTTCATACAAGGAGATCATTAATATTATATTTTCTCCATAAACATTTTAAAACTCTAGAAATTTATGAAAAGCGAGGAAATTTTGTCACAACAATTTTTATTATTCAAGGAACATGAAAGCACCAAAAGAAAATTATCACAATTGATATGATGATAATTTAAAATTATGTCCCTTAGTTATGTTTTTTTTTTATCCCTTTTTTAATTATTTTCTCTCTATATATATATCACACACACAGAGTCGGACAATTTAACGAACTTCCATTTTGGAAATTTCTTCATAAAATAACTTTCCAAATAGCGTAATAAAAATTTTCTAAATAAATATTATACCAAAAATAATTCTTCTTTGAGATCCACTTTCCTTATTTACCAAAATATTTCAGCACATTTCAAACTTGTTAACACATTTCATGGGGGAAATGACCTTGAAGTGATTTTCGAAGCCACTTCACTTTTAGAGAGCTCTTTCCCTTTTTGTTTTGCATTTCAAACGAAAAACTCAAACAAAATTAACGGATATTATCAGTAGCAATTAAACTTAAGAACGCATGTGGTGATGTATGTTTAAAATTACTTTTATAATTAATGCAGCTGTAATTTTATGCACACACATTTAGCTTTTTTTTTTTAGTTGAAAATGTGTGTAGTATGATAGTGTAACACTGGATAATGTTTTGCTCTATTCTTGCTTTTCATGCAGATTTTTTTTTTGTTAAGGTTTATAAAATAAATAGTAGATACTACTTTACAAGATAAAGGTGTATCAATTGCCATTTTAATTATGTCTAGTGTTTATGAATTTAAAACCTGTTTTGTACTATTTAAGTATTTCAAAAGGTGATTTTCTATTTAACGAATTTACCATATAACGAACCTAATATCAGGATTTAACAACTTCGTTAAATAGAGGTCCGACTCTCTCTCTCTATATATATAAAAAAAATTTTCCTTAAACATTTTATGTCCTTGTACTGCTAAATATCTATGAAACACGAAGAAATTTTGTCACTACAATTTTTATTGTTTAAGGAACATGAAAATACTGAAGGAGAATTATCGTGGTATCACACTTATTATAATGATCTATTTCTTGGAATAGTGTATAATATAAATACTTTCTTAATGAATTTTGGCTTTATATTTATGGGGCATTTTTAAAAAATATTTATTCTTTTTTTATTATTTTCGACAATTTTTTAAATCAATTTTGATATTTTTAATGAGAGTGAATTAGAACTCGTGAATCATTTTTTTTGTTTTTTTGTGTATATTATTGTAAATTTTTCATTGAAACATATTAACATCCTTTAAAAACAAGTGTTGATTTTATCCCAGTTTTCATGATGTAAGCACGTGTTTTTGGAGTAAAATCGCTCTTCCGATATTAGGAAAATCAAAAAAAAATTTTTTTGATAATATAATGCAATTCTAGTGTTCTAGATATTTTTTTTTTAAAGAAGATCAATAAATTCTTATTTATTTTCATAAGGTATTCATTTAGATTTTATTTTATATACAAATGATATAAATAAGTACAATGCTCATAACTTTTATTTAAAATGCATATAGCTTTTAGTATTTTCTAATAACTATCACAAATATTTTATTAAATAAATATTGTTTATCAAAAAAGTCGGTGGGAATTATCCCCCTTTAAAAAATGAAAAAGACCCCCCTTTAACATACGACCAAGATTCAAGAATTCTAAATTATCTGTGCTTTACCTTGATACGTAGCTTTGTACATTGTCGGCAAATAAACGTGGATTTGCTCGTTCCGTTTCCGAAGGTCTGTAGACAGGAAGAAACTAAGGAAGAAAGTACATTCATTCAAGAGCTGTTATTTCTGATGCCTTTTTTTAATTTTATTTTATAACCGTCGTTAAACAGGCAGCCCAAATTTTGGGTTTACGACTTCTAATGGAAAGTAGTACCTTAAAATTTAAATCTAAAAGAGTTTTTTTCTTTCAAATTTAGAAAAAATTTTGGCCGATTTGTAGAGAAGAAAATAACATTTCTGAGCAAAAATGATTGTTCGCATTCGGCTTGTGCTGACGTACCGACCACAGTGCTGACGTACACTATCTTCAGTGGAAAACGGATCATGGGTTAGTGTTCCCCTGCCGTCAGGCTAACCATTGAGGTTCTTGTGGTCTTCCGCTCTATATAACGCAAATGCGGGTTAGTTCTATCAAAAAGTAATCCCCGAAGGCAAATTCCCCCCCCCCCAATACTTGATCCAGGAGTTCATTTGTCTTCTGTATTGGGTTCAAAATGACAAGGCTACAGTGTTGGACATTAGCAGTTGTAAACCCAAAAATATTGGATCAGCTGTTCTAACGAGGGTTATAAAATAAAATAAGAAGAAATTATTACTTCCAGTTCGCAATGAATGTAGATTTGAGACAACGTCAACCACAGCTGCTTCCACCTGTTGAGACAAAAAGTAACTATAAATAACATTTTTGATTATTCTCCATTTATACAAAAGTCTCATATCTGTTTACTGCATTCACATTTAGAGCTACCCCAGTGAAACCCCGCTATAGTGAACAATGCTTATAGTGAACTCCCGGATATAGTGAACGAAATGTTCGCTCCTTTGCATTGCTACACACGTATAATGTTATTTTTTGTGTATATAGTGAACCATAAAAAATTTGGATATTATGAACTTTTTTCTGTCTTCGACTGATTTATTTTCTTCATTTTTCAAAAAAATAATTTTGAAATTTCTACTTCAAAATAAATATACCGATTTTTAAAACCATCAATGGCATGGAATGAAGCGATAAGTTTTTTTTTTCTTGTTTGCTTCATTATTGAATTGTTTCAGCATTTAAAGAATTCGCAATCTTCCTGTATCTGGACAATGAATTTGCTAAGCGATTTGGTGTGACTATTTTTATGTGCTCGAATAGCTGATTAGACAGGTTGAGAATTGCTCATGAGCTAAAGATAACTAATTTTTTTTTGTACGCAAAAGACAAAGAGTAATAAAAAATAAACGTTAGCAATTTTTTTGTTACTACGCATTATGTTTCAGTCATTTTTATATTTCATTTTATGGGTCACTTATTTAAATAATGTGCAATAAAAAGGGGTAGTTTGGAACCATTAGTTAAGATTAGTTAACCTCTCCTCTACAATAGCTAGGCAATGTACTGGACATTTCAAAGGTATGAAGATCTCACGCACCAATATAAAATCCTATCCAATCTGCAAGCACTGTCCTCATTTGCAACTAGCTCCAGACCATGTTTTTGACTTCCAGGCCATTGACTTCCAGCTCCCTCTTTCAACTTGGAGCACCCCCCATCGAAATTCTTCATGGCCATCGGGCTCCAGAACTTGCAGATCTTGTTATCAAGACTTTTGGAGGACTCTAATCTTTGCACTGCATGCATAGACACGACAACAACACAACAAAACATTCTGCGTAACCTGCATTTAATGTCTTCTACTGCCTATTTCGAATATAGCCACTGCTCTTTTTTGTTTTCTAATTTTTTTTTATTACCTGCGTTTTTGGTGGACACTTTAAACGTTTTGCCCTTCGCGGAAGCATTTTTATTTCAATTTTAACTATTTTCAAGAGATGTCTACGATATTGTTCTTTATGTATTTAATTTCAGTAATAATTTAAAATCTGCCTGGTATGCCCTACATCAATGTTTTCTTTAAGGGTCTAGTGCCTAGTATACATTTAACCGGTTCTTCGAACACTGATCTTTCTCCTAATCAGTCCTCAACAGATATTAAAATATCGAATAAATATAATAATATAAACGAATACATCAATATCAAATTGGATATAACAAATATTTCGGACATTCACCAAAGTGATTCTTGACATTTCACTGGTTAAAGTCAACATTTTCTTGATTTCGAGCATTCACGACAACCTATACATGGATTAATCCTAATATAAGAATCCTGCAATAAAAACTCAAGTTAATGCGAAAAACATGGGTTAGGGATATTACGATTTTCTTTTATGAGTATAGGAGGAGTTAGTGGTTTTGCTTTTTTTTTTTTTTAACCCATTGGCAAAATGGGTCTTGTTTCGGATTTGATGACGTCCTCACACTTTTCAACTGTGTTCAAGAGCAGTAGTAAACAGTGTGTCGTCATTGCATGCGTTGCTATGGCGACCGCTGCTGTTTTTCCTTTTATTTTCAGTAGCAGGCATTATTAATGTATTTACATAATAATAATTTAAAGTATTTTTATATTCTTTTTATTTTTAACGTATAATGACTGTCTTGACGGTGATTTCAATATAAATATGAATGAAGGAAAAGTATTTTGAAAGACGTGCATAGGCAGGATATAAATAATCTATCCGACAGTTTTTGCAACCCATGATTTGAAATGTTTGTGACGTTTAACGGAGTCAATCCAGAAAGAAAGAGTATTTGACCACGGTAACCATTGATCGTAATGAGGAGACTTTTTTGTTTATTTTTTTTTTCGCTGACAAGGGGGAAGAAGATTTACTAAAAATATGCTTACATTATATTTGAAAGGTTTTATAATTGAGTTCTATGAAAGTAAAAGAAACTCACCCGCTTGGACCATCCCAACTCCAAGTTATTGTGTCCTGGAATGAAAAAAAGTAAATAATGTATAAAAGTGTTCCCTAAACACCTCCCTTAAAGTTTATTGCATTGTGGCAAACTATTAAAAAAAATGGCATTGGAAAACACGAAAATTTACTTCAAACATGGCTATTGTTGATGTGTCTTATCAGTATGGGATCTTGGAAACCCCATATATATATAATGAAGAGAATGGCGCTTTGGTAAATGAATGAAATATTTGTTATATCCGATTTGATATTAATTTATTCGTTTATATTATTATATTTATTCGATATTATAATATGTGCGGAGGATAGATTAGGAGAAACGTTTGGAGTATCGGTTAAATGCATACTGGGAACTTGACCTTCCAAAAACATAGATGTGGGGCATACCGGGCAACGGCACTTCTAGTATATATTTCGGACTTCAACCAACCAAAGCGACTAAGTGATTGTCAACAATTGGAAGTCAACAACCACTCATTTCTGTCATGCATAATAACATTTTCAAGAAATAAAGTTTAATGTTTCAGTTTTTGAACCAATAATGCGACATCAAATTTATTATTAAATATAAATTTAATGGTCTGTAAAAAATTTTCCTGTATCTAAACACCAAAAAGGGTGTTCTACTAACTACACCAAAACTAAGGATAGTAAACGGTGTAAGTAGTGTAACTAGTAGTACAAAACTAAGTAGTGTAACACCTACTTCTATAGGACTAAAAAGCAACTGTTGGTTATTCATTACTATTAATCAGGGCTCGAAAAACAGCCCGTCCTCGGTGGTCAAAAATTCCCCGCGGACAACGAATTTCTCGAATCCGACGTCCGCGCGGACGGCCATTTTCCCGTTAATGTTCGTGATACATTTTCAATTTTTGTTATCTTACAAGAGTCTACTGCCTCACTTCTAAAATGACCCTCTAATCTAGAAATGCAGCAACATACTGCGCATGCTCGAATTGATGTTTTCTCCTTCTGGGAGTACTTCAGAGGTTGAAAGGAGCTTTTCAGCAATGAACTGACAAAAAAAACGCATTATGTACTGGTCTTAAACAAGAAGCGTTAAACGCAATTATGAACATCTATCTAAATGGAAAACCTCTTTCAGATTTCTGTGCAGAAACCTCTGTAAATCATTGGCTTGATTGTGGAACTGGCAAACGTCATATTTGATTCATTTAAAAAACGCAGTACCCTCGGATAAATTGTTTCGTCAATTTAAATTATTTATATAAGAAATAAATTATTTCATAAAAGAAATACTAGGTCACTATTAGCAACCTAATATTTCTTTTATTACTGTATAATGTGATCATAGTAACTACTAATTCATTGTGCAATTTATATAAATGTTTGTAATAAATAAGAGAAAATTGTATTTTTATTTATTTAGAAGCTACGGGTTAGTTTCAAAGGAGGACGGGTACGTTGTTGGACAAGCCGCCCTCGGGGACAGGTAAAATTTCTGAGTTTTTTCGAGCCCTGCTATTAATACAAGATGAATAAATAATCATTAAAGAAGATTCAAATTTACTTATTATTAAATTGGCTATGACCAGTTTTTTTTTTGGGGGGGGGAGGGGTGGATCGCCATGGCCATTTTATGCAAACCTAAGCGGTCGGTCGTTGTGGAATATAGCAATAGGAAACAGCAATGACTCAAGCCAAGGAACTGTTTTGCCCGTGAGGTATTCTACATAATAGTTTGTCTACGGTTGGTCATTCTGAGGCCGTCTGATGCTATGGAAACAAGAATCGCGTTTTTCAGGGAGTGTAGTTTCTCTTTACTCTAGGCTAAAATAATAGACCGAAGATTCCCTTTCTCTCGCCGACCCGCAGCAAAACCTGTCCTAAACAGTGACGCACACCCCTACTTGAAATAGTTATACCTCGTTACCATAGTCGCCGCCACGGGTTCAGACGAATGGCTAGGGGATTTCTTACTTTAGACAAATTCTAGGTAGATCCTTTATTTACGTCGCACTAGAGCTGCACAATGGACTATTGGAGATGGTCTGGGAATATCTCTTCAGAGGGGATTGCTCCCTTGCTTTGGTAGCCCCACCACCAGAACTCGAAGTCGAGCACTTTACGGTAGAACAGTGTAAAGAGGATCGATAGCACTCACCCTCGGTCCCAACTCATGTTGATCAAAGTGGTCACCCACCCGCTTACTGACCGCAACGAGTGATGCTTGACTTCGGGAGTTCTACTGGGAACGATCAGTTCACTTGCGGAACACGGGGAGGAATCCTAAAATATTGCCGAGAGAAAAAGATTCCCTTTCATCAAGAGTCACCACTCTAAAAGTTAAAATTTTTATACCTCAATAATTAGTAACCACATTATTTTACGTATTTTTGGAAGCTATATTAAAAATATTATACTATGTAATTTAAATGATTAAGAGTTTATATGTCACAGTGAATGACCAAAATCAAGAGAATGTTAACTTTCACCTGTGAATGTCAACAATCACATGGTCGCTTTGATCATAATTAATGCTAAAAGTTAAAAAAAAAAATTATGTCATAATAAAATTAGTAATAGATTTAAAAATTAGGTATCCTCATTAGATTCACTCCTTGACTAGATGCTTGGGGCCGTGGCGGGCCCCTGTTCATCCCCAATCCATTAATTCTTGGAACAGTTAAATAAAAATAGGTATAATCACACTATACGATAAGGATCGACAGAGCTTTCCAATGAGGTAAACCGTGTTCAAATCCCTGCGATAGTTGGTTGATACGAATTCGCCCTCCGGCTTGCACCGACTAAAGTGCTGACGTGAAATATTCTCAGTGGTAGACGGATCATGGTTTAAGTATCCTGGCCGTCATGCTAACCGTGGGAACTCTTTTCTTCTCCATGTAACGCAAATGCTGGTTAATTCCATCGAAAAGTCCTCCACGAAGGCAAATTTCTCCGAATGCTTGATTCAGGAGTTCCCTTGTCTTCTGGATTGGGTTCAAAATTACAAGGCTACGGCGTTGAACACTGATAGTCGTAAACCCGAAAAATCGGGTCGGCTGTTGAACGACGGATATAAAATAAAAAATAAAGTTCGACAAGCTATAACTTTCTAAGAGTAATAAATTCGAAGAAAATAAATGGCTATGATGTGTGTTATTGATGTGAAAGACAAACATTTTCAAAAAAGGAAAAAAAAGAAATACACACAAGGTGGTTGGATTATGTCGAGAAAGATCTCAGAACTACGTGGGGTCGAATACTCTGTTTGGAGAATAAAATTGATTAAGCTTTTACCTACACTAGGCTGTAGAAAAAGAACTCGGACCCTGATAGCTATTTGCCAGAACGGGTTTCCTGATGCTTTTGCTTGTTTTTTTTTTCATGTCTCTAAAATATTAATTTAAGACGAGATTAGAGCCGTGATGGCTCAGGAAATAGAGCTTTCGCCTTCCAGTGAGGTGAACTGGGTTCGAATCTCAGCGATGGCTGCTCGATACGAATCCCGCATCCGGTTTGCTCAGACCAAATTGCAGATGTAAAATATCCTCAGTGGTAGACGGATCACGGTGGGTTAGAGTCCCTTTGACGCCAGGCTAACCGTGGGAGGGTTTCGTGGTCTTCCTCTTCATGTGACACAAATGCGAATCGGCTGCATCAAAAAGTCCTCCACGAATTCAAATTTCTCCCAATACTTGATCCAGGAGTCTTGTCTTCTGGATTGGGTTCAAAATGACAAGTCTACTGCGTTAAACATTAATAGTCAAAAATTGGGTCGGCTGTTCAACGACGTTTATAAAATGAAAATAAATATTGATTTAGATCTCCTTATGCGAATTTTCTTTTGACAAGCATTCTTCAAATGTATAGCAATTCCGGTGATTAGAGAATAATCTTTGGTAGAAGAGCATTGATTACTGAAAGTCATGTATATCATATACATATATATTATATACATATTTATTATATACATATCATATACATACATATTATACAAAAATAATCCTTATACTTACTGTGGAGTTTCTGTAACGTATGAATACAGGTTGAACTGGCACTCCAGGTGAAAAACCACCTACGAAAAACAGAGATTGGAATTCATTTTTAAAAAGAACATTTNTATATGCATATATATTATATACATATCATATACATACATATTATACAAAAATAAATAGTAAATCCTTATACTTACTGTGCAGTTTCTGTAACGTATGAATACAGGTTGAACTGGCACTCCAGGTGAAAAACCACCTACGATAAACAGAGATTGGAATTCATTTTTAAAAAGAACATTTTTTCAGTTCAAAACGTAATTTTTTTTAATGCACCTTTATAAACCTATTTTAATCTGAAGAGGCATAAGCCAACGTCGTGTAATAGCAATTGTTAGTTTAATAATCTATAGTTATTTAACTACTCACTTTTATTCTTCAAATGTTATATTAGAGTATTTTTGGAATATAGATCTATTAAGAAATAGACAAAATTCTTTTAAGTTAGAATCTGAAAACTACATTAAACTTAGTTTTGAAAGAAAGTGCCATGGAATTTTAAAAAAAAAATATTTTCAACAATTAAATACGAAAAATATTAAGAGAAGAAAAAAAATATCGTAGTACATTCCCATACAACTGAAAAGAGGAGGAGAGGGAAGGGCAAAAGGCATGGAATCGTTCTTCTCCCTAGATGGCGTTGCGATCGCGAATGGTGGTGGCTCAGGGATGGTTTTGGGAAGTTTTGTGGCAAATGGAATCACTCCTGTAGTCTTTATTTACATTAAAATGAATTCCGACAAATACGTTGTAAGCTTAAAGTTTGTTACCTAAAGCGCCACTGATTAGAGGGACTATATTTTTCAACAGGATAATGCCTTCATACACGTTTCTGGGAACTCAAAACTTTGATTTAAAGCTAATCCTTTAAATTTAATGGCGGTGAGGAAAGTCCTGATCTTAATACAATCGAAAACTTATGGGGACTTCTAGCAGGAGAAGTTTTATAAAAATGGCAGACGATATCAATGCAAACAAGATCTTCGCTATCATAGATGTTGAGGAAAAAATTTCCATTGACAGTTCAAGAGATCTTTCAGGATCTATGACTGGGATGGTCATTGACAGTTCAAGAGATCTTTCAGGATCTATGACTGGGATAGTCATTGACAGTTCCAGAGATCTTTCAGGATCTATGACTGGGATGGTCATTGACAGTAAATAATGCACCCCACTATTTTGCTATAATGCTCCCCACTTCGCTGTACGAAGGACAAGAAATACTCTATATACACGTAGAAAAATAGGAGTTTATAAAGGTGCTGTGCGATGGTCAAGGAGCATCCTATATATACATGGAAAATAAAAGTGGGGTCTTAAATGGTAGGGTCTATGAGGAATGTACACATACCTAGTTTAAACTGCAGCAGAGCTCTTCTGTTTCCGCAACCACCTTCTGGGAAAATGAGAAGTTGTTCAAAATCCTTCTTGGATGTGACACGAGAGAGAATGTCTCTGGAAATCTGCCGTCTAGAATCGGGATTGTTGCTTTTTATGTACAATGGCTGCATGTAGTTCACTAGTGCTGTAGAAATACATTCACATTAAGACATAATCACAGAATCAAAGAATATACACTGCTGTAAGAAATGAAGAGATTTTGCAGACCTGGTCGATTATCTCTAGAACTACTGGACCGATTTTAATGACATGTGCATAGAGTGATACAATACAAAACAAATAACCATTCAACAATTGTAATACACAATCGTGATCGTGCGTAACACTCGTTGGAGTAGGAAGGTATGAATAAACAAAGAAATGGGTTAATAGGGAGTAGGGTGCCCTCTTACAGATATGCAGGCCTTGCACCGTGATTTCATACTTCAAATGAGGCAGTTTGTCATTTCCTCATACCTTCCGACTCCAACGAGTGTTACGCATGCGTGTGTATTACAATTTTTGAATGGTTATTTGTTTTGTATTGTAACAATGTATGTACATATCATTGAAATCGGTCCAGTAGTTCTAGAGATAATCGACCAGGTCTGCAAATTCTCTTAATTTCTTACAGCAGTATAGAAAGCAGAAGTCCAGCTCTTAGAATACTTAACTAACTCGGAGAACTGCTCGGATCGATATGTTATAACAGAAAAACAACTTACAGGGTGAACAACATACTCGGATTTAACAGAGCATCGATATGCATTAAGATCCAGCGCATGCGCATAAGAAGCAACGTGGCTGTCAGGAGGTACGTAACCAGTGAACTGGTTGTTTGGCAACTCCACACGTAGGGTTGGGTATAGTTTGTGTAAGGAAAGAATTCCCCTAGCCATTCGTCTGGACCCATGGCGAGACTATGGTAACGAGATATAACTATTTCAAGAGGGGTACGAGGTCATTGTTTAGGATAGGTTTGGGCTTGGATCGGAGTTAGAAAGGGGTTGTTTTTTTTCGGTTCACTGTGTTAGCTGAAAACTGAGATAGGCTCAGTAGGCCTTGGCCCTCTTTGGGCTGTCACGCCACTGAGTTTAGTTTAATTCTATGATATTCTTTATCACACCACCTTTTAAGAAAAGTTGTAATCTAAATTGGTGAATAAACTTAGGAACCGTTTAAAAATTATTAATTTTTGGAGCAAATGACAATATTCCATTATAAATTACATCTATAGAGATTCATTAAATGGTTAAGAATGAAAAGACCAGCTTCATTTTCAATGTGATGCATGTACAAATTATATTTTATGTATTAGCCTGTTTGGTCATCGAAAGTATTAAATTACAGGTGTGCTCACGCCAAACTTTTTATAACAGTATAACCATAATTTTAAATGTGATTAAAAAATGATTGCTAAGCAAAATTATTTATGTTTACTAATTAATCTTAACAGAATCATAAGGAAGATCATCACGCTTTTTGTTGTTGTTGTTGTCGTCGGCCATTAAGGCAGAAAGCGTGAAATTCTTCTTGTTTTTCAGTGGCGCCATCTATGGCCAAGAATTCGACCTCTCCACACCCGTTTTATAGGGCGGACCCATTCGCACATCCATTTATTCAGCCACAGATTGTAATTTTGATAACCTGAACCAGAGAACGATCAATCTTCATATCAGTACCCCTAAAGGTATAATTTGTTATGGGAACATGGATGCCTTTGTGAACCGACAAATTTTAACTCGCATCAGTCACCATTTACTGCTCAGGGAATCTTCACCTGCTGGATTCGAACTCCCATTCTCACGAACGTGAATCCAGGGTCCTACCAACCATTCTATCCTGGCCCAGAATTCAATTTTAATACATATATTTTAAGTGGATTTTCGTAAAAAAAATTATTTTCTGCCACGAAACAATTATTTATCGGGGTTGTTGTGGGAAGTATGGCTATATTACAAAGAAACCAAAACATACTTACTTCCAAAAAAAGGGGCATTTTCAGTGGCGTCTGTGGCAACCATACTAGGACATCCAAGCGCAATGACGACCACCGTGTCCAGGAAGGAGGAATGAGGCATGACTAAGAGGATGGGAGCTTCTTCCCTTGATGCCCTCTGACCTTTATGTGGTATCCAGTACCAGCCACCAATCACGAACATGAAGCGTGCGAGACCAACGATGAAAGGTTTAGCCCNACCCAAATTGATGGTATATTCCTAAGTGACCATCAAATAGTGACCATCAAATGATGTTGAACCATCATGAAACACACTAAAACCAACATAAACCATCAAAATATTTTGATGGGACCATCAAGAATTTTGACTTGGGAGGAATGGAATTTTGAGGGGGAAAAACGGTTCTTGTCCAACCTAATTTTAAAATTTTGTTTCTTCTCTAACCTTGACATTTCTTTTTCTCAGAATCAGTCTTCAGGCACACAAACCGGTTTCCTCTCCTCGATCTTCCTTTACGGACGGCCACTAAGGGGATTATTATTCATTATGCACTAATTGTAATTCATTATGTACTATCTAACCAAATCTAAGATCACAAAAAAAAACTTGTAATCCTGCTTTCATGATATTTGTTAAAAATGTAAAGTAAAGCTAAAAATGCAGATGCAATAAAAGGGAATACAATATTTCGAGTTCTTTTAAAAAGGTAAATATGTAAATAAAACTATTTGGGAGAATCATCAACCTACGCTGCGATCGGAAAAGGAATAAAATAAAAAAGTCCCCTTGTTTCATGAAAACAAAATAGTTCATTACGAAGAAAAACCAGTGTTTTGCAAAAATGTAAAGCATTTGCAATCGTGTTTATAGCCTCTTAAAAATGTGCAAATATTGAAAATTATGTCTTAATTTTGGTGAAAAAATCTTGCGATATCCGTGATTTAAAAAATTGTATTAACTTTTCCATTCAAGTTATCAAAAGTCCAGATAATTTTTATGCAGCAAAATGGCAGATACAGTTTATAATTCGAGTTTTTTTTTTCTCTCAAGCGTATGGCGCTTAAATTTAAGTCTTTCTTTTATTTTCTGAGGCGGAAGGAGGTTCGAAAGACAATTTTAAAAGAGCTCACCGTCTCCATCCACTTATAGGGTCTAGGCCAATTTTTTGATTTTCTGTCAAGCCATGAAGGGTGCAAAGACCAGTCAACCATGCAGCGGCTAATACAACAGCCATGAGCAACAGTCGAATTGGCAACAGTGTCAGCGACAAGAAACACACCTGTAACATTTAGAAACAACAATCATGGAAAATTATTTCTTGAGAGGATTATTTATCTACTAATTTCATATTACTGCTAATTATTTAATTTAATTTTTATATCTACTAATTATTTATCTACTTCCGATCACTGTATTACCTCATCATGTCATGTGATAAAAGTTGCTTCATGATACATTGTTAATTTGTCGTCTTATAAAGTAATGGTGGGGCCGGGATAGCCTTGTTGGTATGGCACTGGACTCATGTCAAAGATGTCGTGGGTTCGATCCCTGCCGGTCGAAGACTCCCCGAGTAGTAAATGGTGGCTGATGCACGTTAAATCTGTCGAGTCACAAAATTCTCCATGTTCCCATAACAAAAATCATACCTCTCAAGGGATAATGGTCCAAGAGTTTCCCTATCTTCTGGATTGGGTTCAAAATGACAAGGCTACGGAGTTGAACACTAGTAGCCGTAAGCTCAAAAACTGGGTTGACCGTTCAACGAGGGATATAAAATATAAGGGAATGATGAGTCGCGATGGATCAGGGAATGCCCTGGTTCGAATCCCAGCGATGGCTGGTTGATACGAATTCCGCACCGAGCGCAGAGCTCACGTGAAATATCCTCAGTAGTAGACGGATCATGGGTTAGAATCCCTCTGCCGTGAGGCTAACTATGAGAGGATCACGAGATCCACGTAATGCAAATGCTGGTGTCATTAGAATCTCTTATCAATTAAGCCAATACACGATATTTCATGGTTTTAAAAGTTGGATTCCTCGATTTCGAAGACGATTTTTCAAAGTACCCTATTGAGGTTGGCAAAGTGCACTGTTGTAAAAATCAGTTTAATGTTGAATTATAATATGGTTTAAATTTACTGCCATCTCATTGTTATATTGAACCAAGTTTCCGAAATAGATTTTACATTTTACTACCACCGTTGAACAGCCGACCCAATTTTTGGGGTTACGACTACTAATGTTCAACTCCGTAGCTTTGTAATTTTGAACCCAATCCAGAAGATATTGTGAGCTCCTGGATCAAGTATTGCGAGAAATTTGCCTTTTTGGAGGACTATTTGATGGAACTAACGCGCGTTTTCGTTACCTGGAAAGGAAGACCACGAAAACCTCTCACGGTGGATCCGTCTACCACTGCGGAATTCCTATCGACCAGTCATCACTGATATTCGAACCCGGGTCAACTCATTTGAAGGCGAATGCTCTATCCTCTGAGCCACCGCGACTTTCTGAAAAAGATTAACCTTAATATGGAGTAAACATGTTAAGATTAACCTGAATATGGAGTATCATGTGAAGTAGTAGTTTAGTTTAGTAGTAGCTAATATCATTTAACTTAGCACTATATTAAGGCTAGCCACATCACTCTTTCTGTACAGTGTTGAACTATAATACGGTTCAAGCTTGCTATAACCTTCATAAAATGTTAAATTGAGCCAATTTTCAGTTCAGTTTGATTTATTAAGATTACGATGATATGGCTCAACTTAGCACAGTGTTAAGTTTAAAAAAGTTCGCTTTAAAAAAAGAAACAAATAAATTTTGAGCATTAATATGACTTACATTTTCTACAACCTTATTGCTAAATTGATCCAAGTTTGCATTTAAGTTTAACCTCAATATAGAGTAAATATGTTATGTAGGAAAGATAATATTGTTCAACTTAGTGCCATATTATGGTATCAAAATGCACTCTCTGAAAAATCAATTCAATGTCGAACCTATAATAGGGTGCAAATGTGTTGCAACCATAATGTTAAATGGAATCAAGTTCCTTTCAAGCTTACAGATAAACATGCATTAAATACGCTAATATTGTTCAACTTAGCATCATATTAAATTGGCAGCAAATTTAAACATTTTGTTTCCATACACCCTAAAATTTCTTAAGGTAGAGTGTATAGTATAAAATTTTTATGAGCTTAAAATTCAGCTATAATTCAAGAACTAGGACTGGACGATGCTAAAATGTTGTCATCGTGACGTATCGTCAAGCTGAGATAGCGATATTTTGGTGCGTCACGATGTTTCGGTACATTAATGTTTAATATTTAGTACTGCGCAAATTCGCAATTAGTAAGTTGCATTCTTTTTAAAATAAACAATGCATTTTTTTATAATTATTTGTCAATATTTAAAGACGTGGCTGTATGAAAAATAGCTGTTAGAAAACATTAAACGGCAGGATTGATTGTAAAAAAAAAAAAAAATTCAACAGGATTCCTTCAATACTTCGCTTTCTCAATCACATTCGGATTCATCATGTCAGCAAAACTGTGAGTCACGATGTAAAAAAAAAATCGGGGAAAGATAACGATTATTGCCACAGTCATCACTGCATACTTACGAACGAAAAAGATGTTCGCGCGAGCTCGCAGACATCGATGTACTATCGGGAACAATGCTCAACATCGCACGTGTAGACATCGATGTAAACGATACATCGGAAAATGTCATACAATCCAAACATCGTATCGGCGATGATTCACATAATCGATATTTTCCGATGCATCGATTTATCACTCAATCCTATCAAGAACCATATAAGGCTTGTTGAGTAGATATACAGAATATGAATTTAAGAATAAATATAATTACTTTAAACATTTGGTTGTACGAAAGTTTCTGTTGCAATGAGAAGGGATTTAATATTTCGGCAGTGTAGGGTGCCATTTCTGCAATCAGCAATCTTCTTTTTTCTTCCATTGTAACATCTGCAATGTGCATCAACAATACTTAGTGTCGAGAAATATGAATAGAATACATTTTTTTTAAGAATACTAGGCAGCCAATCCCCGTCAATAATTCCCACTCATATTGTCCATTTACCCTCAGGAAATCAAAAAACAAGACCGAGTCGCGCATAAAATCCTCCTTTTTAAAATCCACACCGCTAAGGAGGTGGACCGGGCTGGCTGCACTGGGGAAACATTTGTTGCTGTTCATACTTCATGCACTTTATGTGACCACTATTGAATCTAGTGAACGCGGTCTGATCGTCTCTATTACCTTTGAATGAATATTTTGTTGATACGAGTAATATATATGTTCTTAACTAACCTAAATGTAATTAATTATATAATTTATCAACAAATTAACCTAAGAAAATACAAACTGTGTGACTCAACAAGTAATAAGTGAGAAATAATTTAACCTTTTAATGACACTTCAAATCTCTCATAACATTCATTCATCCTCAACTTTCGTTATCAAGGTTTGGTATTACTTTTGGCTAAACGCGAACTGATAAAATAAATATTGCGAGAAAGATATATTTTATTCTTTATAACAATGGAAAAATGGTCCTTATTTTAAGCAAAAGAAAATGAATTAAAATTGCTAAAAAGTCTTGGAAATTGCAGCAATTTTTGATCAAATTAGATTTAAAAAAATAAAAAATAGTGCGTGGAGTCCCTCCCCGCGGAAGAAGTTAAACTTCGCAACCTGCGAAGTTAATTGTCGAAGGATCAGCAGTCCTAATCAACGACTCTTTTTCCTGCCCCGCTCCCTTCCGTGCTCTATAATCACGGTAATATTGTGCATTTTTCCCTCGTGGACCTCTTGAACCAGTGAAAGTGCTTGTGGTTGCCTCATCGTTCGCCCTGGAAAATGTATTTGTATCAATAATGTATGTAAATGCTTCATAATGTAATTTCAGAAGAGAAACATTCAATTGATATTCAGAAGAGACGTACCTTGACATAACCTTAAATACGTCGCTTTGTCCGTGGGATTGTTTTCACTCATTTTTTTACAATTGTTATCCACTAAATTTGAAAATAAAAAAAAAACTACCCTATTAACTTATATGTGTTTCAAAACAAACTCAAAAAATATTTATAGAAAAACAATACTTTTATTATTTTTATGGTAGTTAGAACGAAAACAATATGGAAATGAATGAGGGAAAACTGGATCCTACCACGTGATTTCCCGGCCAATAAAAATGTAGCGTTAAACGTTTAACGCAACCTTGTTGGAAGTCGCATAAGAAGTATATCACTTCAAATAAAAAAAAGCTAAATAAAAATGATCCTTTCAACTGACTGTAGATCGACCCACATTGTTTATTTTTAATGCAAGTTTAACAGATTCTCAAACTAATAGTCAAATTTAAAATTTCTTTTATTCCGTCGTACTCCTTATGCTCCCTTTACACTATACTCCCTATATACTACTCCCTACATACTATATACTCCCTATATACTATATACTCCCAACATACTATTTAGAGTCGCCTATATGGTCCCCCCCGGGGGTCTATTTAACAAAAGCGTGGGGGTCGATCCGAATCGGAAGGGTCGATTGGGGGTCGAAGAAAAAACAGTTCTTAATACGCAAATCTCACATACCTAATTGAGTATGTAAAATTTGCGAATTTTTTTATAATTGACTTAATATCAGTTTCTTTATAGGACATAAATTAATAAACGTATATTTTATTCGGGTAAAGCAAGTATTTACGTACCAGCGCGCAGTGGCACGAACTCTGCACTTCTGGTTTATAAGTCATATGTGCTCTTGTCCAAATGTCACGTGTGACGAGCATTGACGTTACAAACGCAAATATCATACGCAGTTTCAGCTATCTTTGCAAACTGTGAACAGTGTTGAATATTTGCAGTGTCATTATTAAAACTTTCATAGTTTTGGATAATTAGTTATTGTTTCGATGACAGATAAGATGTAACAACTATCGAAGCTCGAACAATACTGTTAGGCTTCCAAGTAAAATTAAATTTATTTAGATCTTCATTGCTACGTAAGGATTATCGGTATTTTTCAAGTCTGCAACAATTAGAAATAAAAGAAAAAGACTTGGAAATATATACAGGTCATCTTCAAAAATTGAGCGCCGATTTTAAACTGCGCTTTGTTGATTTGGAAAACATTGACATCCCTCATTGGATTATTGCTCCATTTTCTGCTCAAATTGAAAACATGGACATCAACCTGCAAGATGAGCTTGCTGAATTATTATCGGATCTTGAAGCGAAGACGCTTTTTAATAATTTAACAATAAGCAAATTTTGGACAATTATAAATATAATGCAATAATATGTAAAACTTTGCGAAATGGCTCAGCCATTTATGCCAGTATTTCCAAGTTCCTATACGGTAGAAGCCGGCTTCAGTCACGTAAATTCAATTTTAACCAAGTACAAAAATAAATTGAATGTGGAGTTTCGAGGGGATTTAAGATTAAAATTGACTAATTTTGAACCCAATGTAGGAAACCTTGCAAGAAAAAAAAAAAAAACCAACAACAAAAACACCAGGCACACCCATCTTATTGATTAAGAAGTAATAAATCTGTAGTTACTTTACATATTATTTCTACTTATTTATAATTACTTATTATTTAATAAATACTTAAATTTAATAAGTATTATATTTAAATTTCAACATTATTATATTTTTCATAAAACTATTGCTACACAATGTACTATTACTTTAATAAATGTTTAAAATCATAAAATAAATGTACAAACACAGTATCTAATAGAGTTTTATTTTAATTAACAGAAAATTACTTTTATGGAGGTCGATGGAGATTTCAAAAAATTATATAGGGGTCGATGATCAAAAAAATTTGGGAACCAAGTACTATTTACTCCCTACATACTATATATTTCCTACATACTATATACTCCCTTTCTGCACACTTTTGTCGTTTCAATTTGGTTATAATTTTTGTGTAGCAAAAAAATTTGGAAAAGAATCACTTAAAAACGCAATAACTTTCGAATAAATTGTAATTTCGAAATTTTAAAAAATAAATAAGTAAAAAACCAAAAAGAAACTCATTTATTTCGTGGGGAAAATTTCCAACTGAGGTCGCTTCATGAATTGAAAAGCCCTATTCGATAAGATAAATCAACACAAATAAAAACCCTGATTCAGCACTTCCTAGAAAAACATAATTCTCTCGTGACTATTGAAAATCCCTTTTATAAACAGTTTTTGATACATTTCGTACTAACTCACCTCATTAAAAAATTCGTACGGATTACCTATTCCAACGAAACAGCCAAAAACAATTAAAACTTATCTTATCCTTCTCTTGAAATTATTAAATGGGTCTCTGTAGGGAACCACGGGTGAATATACAGAAATAAAAATTTTAAATATACGACTTTTTTTAAAAAATTTGATAATTCAGTTACTATTCGCCCGATTTCGTCCAAGTTTTGCATTTTACCATAAGAAATTGCTCTTTAAAATGATGTAAAAAAAATCAGCGTGTCTTAGAATTCAAAACTTTTTCGGTTTTTACTAAATAAAATAATAAATGAATATTTTAAATTATTTCTTGCATTCAATTTTCTAATGCGAATTTTATAATAACGTGCAAAACTTTTTCAATTCGTTTAAATAGTGCAGAAGAAATGAACGTAAAAAGTTAAATAAATATTTTAGGGGTTTCGCACTTTCGAAAACTCTCCTCGTGAAACTATTTTGACATTAATTGAAAATACTTGCTAAACCTCGGTAACGAAATTATACTTATTTATTAATTATTTTTGTTACTTTTACAATTAATTTTCTACAGCTGAGCTGACTAACATAAATTTAAAGTACTTGCTAAACATCGGTAAAAAAGTTTGATTTATTTATTAATTATTTTTACAATTAATTTTCGACGGCGGACTAACATTACTTGAAAGTACTTGCTAAACATCGGCAAAGAAGTTTGATTTATTTAAAAATTGTTTTAGTTACTTTTACAATTAATTTTCTACAGCGGACTAACATTAATTGAAAGTTCTTGCTAAAGGTCGGTAAAGAAATTTTATTTATTTATTAATTATTTTTTTATTTGTGCAATTAATATTCTACAGTGGATTAACATTAATTTAAAGTACTTGTTAAACCTTGGAAAAGAAGTTTTATTTTTTCATTAATTATTTTTACAATTAATTTTCTACAGAGGACTAACATTAATTGAAAGTACTAGTTAAAGAAGTTTTATTTACTATTAATTATTTTTTTAATTTGTACAATTATTTTATACAGCGGATTAACATGAGAGGACAGAAAACGGAATAAGGGAACGAAATACTTAATTAATATTTTTCCTGTTCTATCATTAATGGGCGCTACTATAAAATGAGCAACACAGCTACAAACATTTTGATTCGATTTATTTACTTAAAATTTAACAATAGTTAGGTAAACGCATATTTTACGTTGCACACAAGAATTCCTTTTTTCGTTTCCTTTTAATATTTTTTTTAAAGAAAATTTTCTTTAAAGTTATTGTTTATACTTTATCTAAGTTCATAAATCTTATAAAAAGAAGAAGGAAAAGCAGTGCGTTAACGTAAGCCAAGTTAGACGTATACGTGAATAAAATACGCGCAGATAAATTTTTAATAAAAATTATGAAAAATGAAGCTCTCTTGAATCGACGCGTATGAAAAACGCTCTATTTTGAAGAAGAAAAAGAAAAAAAAAAGAAAGAAAAAGTCAATGCAATTTTAAAAGTTGGCGAAGAAGCGTCGTTTTACTTCTTCATCCATATGCGCATCAGCGCCAAAATGCGTCGTTTCTTTCTTCTTTAAAATAAGTTGTAGATTTCTGTTTGTGAACGTTTATATTTTAAATTTTTGAGCAGTTTTCTTATAAAAATTATGAAAAATAAATAACATATATAANTTTTTACAATTAATTTTCTACAGCGGACTAACATTACTTAAAAGTACTTGCTAAACATCGGTAAAGAAGTTTGATTTATTTATTAATTATTTTTGCAATTAATTTTCTACAGCGGACTAACATTACTTAAAAGTACTTGCTAAACATCGGTAAAGAAGTTTGATTTATTTATAAATTGTTTTAGTTATTTTCACAATTAATTTTCTACAGCGGACTAACATTAATTGAAAGTTCTTGCTAAAGGTCGGTAAAGAAATTTTATTTTTTCATTAATTGTTTTTACAATTAATTTTCTACAGAGCACTAACATTAATTGAAAGTACTAGTTAAAGAAGTTTTATTTACTTATTAATTAGTTTTTTTTAAATTTGTACAATTATTTTATACCGCGAGCTAACATGAGAGGACAGAAAACGGAATAAGGGAACGAAATACTTAATTAATACTTTCCTGTTCTATCATTAATGGGCGCTACTATGAAATGGGCAACACAGCTACAAACATTTTCATTCGATTTATTTACTTAAAATTTAAGAATAGTTAGGTAAACGCATATTTTACGTTACACACAAGAATTTCTTTTTTCGTTTCCCTCTAATATTTTTTTTAAAGAAAATTTTCTTTAAAGTTATTGTTTATATTTTATCTAAGTTCATAAATCTTATAAAAAGAAGAAGGAAAAGCAGTGCGTTAACGTAAGCCAAGTTAGACGTATACGTGAATAAAATACGCGCAGATAAATTTTTAATAAAAATTATGAAAAATGAAGCTCTCTTGAATCGACGCGTATGAAAAACGCTCTATTTTGAAGAAGAAAAAGAAAAAAAAAAGAAAGAAAAAGTCAATGCAATTTTAAAAGTTGGCGAAGAAGCGTCGTTTTACTTCTTCATCCATATGCGCATCAGCGCCAAAATGCGTCGTTTCTTTCTTCTTTAAAATAAGTTGTAGATTTCTGTTTGTGAACGTTTATATTTTAAATTTTTCAGCAGTTTTCTTATAAAAATTATGAAAAATAAATAACAAATAATAATTATTTTTGATAAATTATTTCCTACCTGTTTTGACGCTCATAATTATTTCCCGGACGGAATATTTTTTCCTCTGTGACTATTCAACAAACGGTTCATAAATAATCCCTAATTACGCGGAGTCGATCAAAGAAGGAAAACAAACCTTTTCGGCCGCCAAAACGGACAAGGTCATCAGTTTTTAGTTGTTGGCTTCTCTCCTCTAGACGACGAATTACGAAACACCGATTTCAAAGTTATATTTTGTGAAGATAAAATGTTTAAGATTTGCTTAACTCTTCATTTGCCTTAAAGAGCAATGACTTATTGGCCTTGAAAAGTGATTCATATTTCATTGACTTTTAAATTGGTCAATATTAAACATTTAATGATCAAACATTTTTATTTTTATTTGATTTCTAATCTACATCACTGACCCGACCATCTCCCGCGAATAAATTCTCGCTCTAATATATATCTATATATGCATTCAAAATGTCGAGAATACATGAAAAAATTACAGAATAATTAAAAAAGAGAAAATTATTAAAAATAATAAAAAAAAAAACCGAAAAAAGATATAATCTCTTCTTCAGCTCACACGATTATTTCCTCAAAAAAGAGTGCTTTCCAATATGGTGTCAATATAGTCAAAGCAAAATATATCAATACTATAGTGTGAGAAGCACTTAAAAATATATCACTTAAAAAAAAATAATAATAATAATTTTCTTTTTCTCTTTTCATTATTCGGTAATTTTTCCCCTTGATTAACATTTTGAACGTATTTTATGAGTCCTATATTCTTGCAGCTTATTCCCAGTAAATAAAACTTATTGATTTTCTTATATTTCTCTTTTGTATTTATTTATAGTGATACATTTATTTGTGGGTGGTATGTATATCTTTGTAGCAAGAAATGAAATAAAAAATACTTTGAAGGACCAAGGAGCTCGAAATTCACTACATATGACGAATCATAATCGATGTCAATCACCGCAAATGTGGAATTAAAATAATCAAAACCAGTTTATTTGCTGGGAAAAAGTAAGTAGTTGCTAAGTCTGATTCGCCTGATTTCCTTTCTCACTAAAACGTCAATCTGAAACTCCTTTAAATATACAGACCACTTATCACTAGTAAAAATAAATCAAGAGTGGAAATTTGTTTTGAATAACTTCTCACATAACTAAAATAAATGATTTTAAATTCTAGTATTTTCATCTCAGCTTCACAAAGAAAGCTCAAACTTTGAAACAAATTTAAGATTTTGAAAACGAAAATATGTTTCAGAAATCCTAAACATATTTGTAAGCCCGCACCAGATAAATCAGTATTTAAAATATAAAAAGCTATACTTCCAATTTTTAAACTTAAAGTACAATTTTGGTTAAGTTGCTAATTATCTTATGTTTGGTTTACCTTTACAAAGTTCTTCTTTCTTTTTGGACATTCAATTTTTCAAAACTTTTAGTTGGGATTATATTTAAAGTATTTTGTGTCTACATTTAAAAAATAGTTTTATTAGTTAAAATCGAGTGTTAGTCAATTTTAATGTTTTCATTTTTATTTTTATTTGAGACTACTGTTTCTTTTTATGGGAACTTGCTAATTTGTTTTATTGTATGCAGGGACTAATATATTTTATTTTATCACCGTCGAGGAGCAGCCGACCCAATTTAGGGTTTAGGACTGCTAATGTTTAACTCCGTAGCCTTGGTATTCTGAACCCAATCCAGAAGACTAGGGAACTCCTGGATTAAGTAATGGGAGAAAGTTGCCAACGTGGAGGACTTTTTGATGGAACTAACTCGCATTTTCGTTACATGGAGAGGAAAACCACGAAGACCTCCCACGGTGAGCTTGACGCCAAGGGGACTATAAACAAAGTTTCATATTTTACGTCAGCACTGTGGTCAGCCGGGTGCGGATCAATCCGCCATCGGTTGGATTCGAACCCAGTTCATCTCATTGAAAGGCGAGCTCTCTATCCCCTGAGCCACCATTCAAGGGACTAATACAGGGGACTTCTCTTTTTTAAAGCAACACGCTATTGACAGTTCGCATCCTCAAGTATATTATTTTCTGACATCCCCTACGTACTTAAGCATTGCGCGTTATCAGTGTTGATCATTAAAAAGCAGTTTAATTTAAATTCTAAAACCGAGTATATTGCTTTAAAATGTCTAGACATCGCCTGTAATTTATTTGTTTGTTTATTGAAATTTTATAACCAGAGATCATTCAGATTACGGGCAATTATATACTTAAGTTTTGTTCCGTTTCGGTCTTCAGAACTTGGGTTAATTAAAACCGAAGGAAGGATATTTTCTAGTTCAATCATAGATACTAGTTTGAAGCGTCTTTTTTTTATTTTAACTCAAGTATAAATGCTTATTTTAGTATTTTTTTTTAAACATTTAAATGTATGATGTATTGTATACATTTAACAGAATGAATTCAAAACTTAAAAACCCTTTGAATTTTATTAGTTTACTATTACTGTTTTTTAAAATCATTATAATTAAAAATGCTTTATGTGACACGTTAAAAAAAGCAATGCAACCATACATTTGTTTAATTTTCTTATGAGAATTAAAAATAAAAATCGTTTTAATTGAAATAATTATTCGTAGCATTTATTATAAATTTGATACTATATAGAGTCTAGTGAC